TGGGCTTCATATGAATCGCTGGAAGTCTTGAAACAGACCACTAACGGATCTTGAACAAATAAGATAAGACATTACGACATCTAATTAAGACATCTTCTGTCGCGTAAGACTGACCAAGACTGTAAAAGTAAAATATTATTCCAACGTGATTGTCTTGAATTTTGCGTGAATTTTGCGTGAACGCGAGAGTCTTGGATATTATTCTTGATGCATGAAAAAACCGAATATTTTTACGTGATCAAGTTTTACTGATGGGTATAGGGGACACTTTTTAAGTAGTAAAGGACGTGCGTTTCTCCGCCCGCGGAGAAGACTGGAGACGAGTCGGGGACAGTTTTGTCATGGATGTGATGTTTTACGTGCACAACCCCTCACCGATTTCTCGCCGCGAGCGAAGAAAAGCTCGAGCTGAAGCGCCTGTAATTGGGGCCTGCTCGTAGGCTATTAGGCTGGGAGTTTCCTGACCTTGCAGATAGTTTCATGTAAGATGCACGCAGGTGCTGCGACTGAATAAATTTATGAGAAGTATCTGTAACTTCAAGTGCGAGGTTGTCATATCTAACTCCTAATGAGTCATCATGTTCTAAATCTCCTTGTAGGAACGGTCGTGCTTATTCAACATTACATCCCTCAGTTAGTACGTGCGCTAGGATTAGTCAATTCAGCGGGCCGTAGTTCTGCCCTTAAAGTTCAAAAGTTTGTTTGAATTGAAATCTTACCCCTTTGTTTGATATGAGATCTGATAAATTGTTCACTAACCTCGTTTTCTCGGTCTGAACTGTAAGATAGTAAACCTCGATTTTTCCTGCTGGGAAATTTTTAAATTTAAAGTGTTTCGAATGATGACAATCCCCCTCGACCGAAACAAACCAGCAGTAAAGCAATTCTTTAAGAAGCAAGGAGAACGCCCATAGTCGAAAGAAAAGCAAGTTAAATGAATTCTTGGCAAGCTTGGCTCCAAAACAGGCCACTCCATCTAGATCATACAAGAAACAGGCAAATGGGATTCCAAGAGAGCTCAGAACATTTATTTAAACTGTTCGAGGTTACTTCGGCCTCATGCAATAGATGCAATTTATGCCTATGCCTGTACGCATTGCAGACCTATTTTTCAGTTGCACTCAGACCAGAATTATTTGTCTTTACGTCAGTTGGAACGTCAGTCACCTGTCACCACCTTCTTGGGGCGTGGTGTTTCTGTACCGCTGACCCATTCAAGAGTATTCTACGCATTTCCTTACATCTTTGCCGTCGGATCGAAGCGTGCTTGATACAAGAAATTGTACCATCGAAACCCAAGGTAAGAACCGCTTTTTAAAGATAAATATGAAACAGATTTTATGTCATTGTTACCTCAAACGATAGATTTCCCTCTTTTGTCGTTAAAGGTAGGACAAAAGTGGTGGATCGAAGTGAAACTCTCTAAGACTGCAAATAAGATGGCTTGAGTTTGGTGGGTGGTAACACGCCAAAACAATACGATCTAGTTCGAAACTAAAAGGCAACGAAAAAACGGTCAGTTTCAACGACAAAAATTAGTTATATCGTGTGAACGTTGATTTGGTAGGACCCTCTTTTTTCGGATAAGAAGATATGCATCACACTGAAGCTTTTATATTGAAATCTGCGAATAGATTTGTGGTGAAGCTTCGCTGTAGCCTGCGCTTTCTCAACCGTAAAATTTCTTCTTAAAAGTGCGGAAAGTGGAAATTACATTCATTCACAGCTGGTGGAAAAGACACAAGCTTCTAGAGCTAGAAATGTGGAGCCTTGAGTTTCAGTGAAAATTTATTTCGTCGCAAAGTATCGTTAATATTCCTTCGAATCTGGTCTGTTTCTCTTTGCATGTCACGCAACTCAACGGTATATCGGGACGGCTTTTCGTACTCTTTACGATTAAGAAGTTGTCTTTCAACCAAGTAACTGTGACAGAGGATAGCACCAAGCGAATTTGAATGACCCTCTGATAGAGGAAATGATAAGTGTCGCCTCGTTGAACTGGAAATTATGCGAGGGTTCTTCAGCTTTGCAACGCCGGCATGAGACGGGAACAACTTTGTGCCCAAATATGGTAATGTTAAGAACAGATAATATATTACGCCTATTCTACGCGAAAACGGAAATTTAAACCACGTCCAACTTTCAAGATTTCTTTCCTGGTGAGCGCGGTCGATTTCTCTTTAACCTCTCTTTGCGGTTCTTGAATACAGTATCATTAAATTTCACAAAAGCCTCGAGAAAAGGCTATACAGGCACAAACAGTTGTACTTTAAAACCAAAATTTTTTGTGTTGAACGATGAAATTTACGGTAGTCTCTAGGTTTATAACATAAGCGTTGAACGCGAATTATAATTTTCCACAAGTGTATTTTTCTGTAAGAAATAACTGATTTATTTTCTGTGAATTTACTAATTATTTTCTACAAGCCTACCAATTATTCTGATTTAATATATTATGAATCATATACACGAGGTTTCACGAAGTTTGAATTATGTGCGCACTTTTTTAAGTCAGGGGGAACCGCATACCTTTTCCTTCTATGGCTGCTGCTTATGAGTATTTCTTGTTGGTAAACTTGAGCATTGTCAAGTAATGTAACACTCTGCTGTAAATTTGAGTGTATACTTGCGTTTGTTGCTGAACGTTTGAACCAGTTTTCAACTATCCAACAAGTTACATCATCATGTTGAATATCAACAATATAATTTCATTTTCCTGTTGTCATATTTATTCCTTACATGGAATTACTCTGAATTAAAAATCTAACACGGTTATTACTAAATTAAGCATCAATCTGCTGAGCTTGCATGTTCACAGATGTACATAGGGCAGTTGATTTCTGTCTTGTTGCAAATTGTTAAATTGACTATTAGCTGAAGACGGAAAATTTTATTTCTGGTATGATGAATTTTATTACCGTGACTGATAATATCTTCACCTAGTTATTTCTAAAATTTAGCCTTTTGTTTTAACTCTGTCTTAATTCTGTAGCGCATGGGATTTAATGATATTACAGCTTAATGAAACAAGTAGCTTTGTAGTGTGTTTTAGAGACAGATGCATCTGTAATTCATGTTAATAGTGGTTGTTTTATCAACATTTTTTTTTTATCCCAAACCCCCATATGTAATCTACCAGTGTTTATATTTACCATCCCAGCTATGATGAAGTTTACAATTGCACTTGCCTATTCATCAATAATGTTTCCTTTTGCTATTTGTTGTTCAGGACCTTATCTCCGAAGAGAAATTCCTAAGCTGTCATCATGGTAAGTGAAAGATAATGCAATTCATGAATGACACAAGCATACTTGCCAAAAAAGAACACCTAGTACTCTGATTAGGAGTAAAACATGCGACCATCAGTTAGGAAGAAAGGAATTTCTGACACATTTTGTAAAACATTAAGTAGTAAACATGAAATAGGCAAAAAGAGGAAAGTTGGGTAAAATCTGAGAGAAAGCTTAGGTCAAAGAAATCAAAGTTAGACTTTTCTTCTTCTCTAGCTTGCTGTGCCTACTTTTCCTTTTTCATCCTGAATTTTTAAATTCAGGAATTTAATCCTGAATTTTATCCCCCGAATTTTTAATGAGACTTGCCAGGAAGTTTGATGTTGCTTTTCATTGGTTGGTGATGTCAGATTTTGATGAAACTTGACCAAGATATTTGTCAGATATTAAAAACCAAAGTGGGAGAAGCTTTCAGAAAATTAACATTTTATTCATGTAACATTCCAGCACATTAATGCAACCAAAATATTTCCTTTTGTCCAAGTTCAATATAGATTTTCTTAGGGACTAAGAGAAAAATGTCTCCATCTGTTAGTTAGCCCATCGTCTGCAGAGTGATATTGTTCACTTTGTTTGGATTTAACTTGGGAGGCTGGTTACTCAGTTAAGCAAACAGTGCCAGATTTGTGTTTCAAGACCAAAACTGCTAAAACTTCTGTCATTTTCAGAATTTAGACTTTGAAAGTTTCTCAGTGACATAAGGTTTTCCTTGGTATCTGTTAAAAAAGCTTACAGAGAATCATTTTTTCTGTAAGGTACTCTATTTTGTTGATCATCCCTTAGTATCTGTGACCTGAGAATAAGTTTGGGAGTTTCACTTTTTCATGAAGCCTCGATATTGACATCCTTGGAAAAGAGTACTGTTTCCCTCTGCTTCACCCTTTAAAGTCCCTGTACATTCAAATTTTCATTCAACTTTGGGTAACTTGAGAGTAGCAAGTTTTTCTGAAGGAGTACTTGAGCAGGGAACAGAATTAGAAAATTTAATGTATGTCATGTTACTTTTTTAACCCTTTAACTCCCAAGATCTGATTAGTAATTCTCCTTACTATCTGCCATACAATTCTTATGATGGTAATTCAGAGAATTTGGTATTGGATCAACTAATAATCCCATGATTGATATTCTTCTCTATTCTCATGACTTATCTGGTTGATATTGTATTGATATTGTAAGGAGAAATTCTGTCTTGGTTACTTGTGGGAGTGAAAGGGTTAAGACATGTGAGGATGAGGCTGGTAACTGGTTTGCACATGCCTACCAGTAGAAAGACTGTTAAAATTTTTAATATGTTCAGAATCTAGGCATTAGAAGCTTCTTAGTGATACCTATTTCTTCAATGCTTTATTTTCTAAAGTAGCACACAGAGGGCAATTTTTTCAAGATGCACCCTCTTTTGTTGATGGACCCTTAGTGTCTGTGACCTGGGAATAATTTTGGGAGTTTCATTTTCCCTGGAGCTTTAATTGTGAGATTGTGGAAAAGTGGTCATTCACCATGGCTTCTTGTAAGTCTCATTTGTACATAAAAAAATTTTTGTTCAAATTTGGACAACTTGCAGGAGTCAGATTTTTCTCAGTAACAAAGTACTTGCAGTATTATTGATTAGGGAAGGAGCATTTGAGCAAGGTGCAGAGTTATAAAACTAATGTGTGCCATATTATTTTTTTAAAGTCCTCAGGTATTAAATTGGACGAATGCTGCAAGAATATGTTCTCTTTAGTCAAAGACAAGCACGAACATGCATGGGCCATCATGAAGATTGAAGATAAACAGGCAGTTGTGGTTAAGGAGACTCATGGCAAACTAGAATCCAGAACTGATGTAGAAAAAAACAGGAAACTCTTCGGCGAGATGTTGCAGAAGGTTGAGGAACTGGGAGGGCCCTGTTACATCCTCTTTGACTTAGTTTATGAACAGAGCAGTGGTAGTTCCAAAGATAAACCAATTTACATATATTGGTAGGTGACTGGGCTGGTTTTTTTATTTTATTGTCATAAGAAAGAGAGAAGCTACAGTAGGTTATTGGATAGTGCTCTTCACTAAGGGTTTCAAAAAGTCATTCAAGGCCCTGGCCACATTGTTGTGCTGTGTTGCTGGGCAAGCCAATAAACTTTTAAAGTTCCTCTCTGTGACTAGGAGTATTTTTGGTACTGGGAAATTTCAGAGGAGCCTAACAGAATGCTCAAGTGTACAATTAACAATAGTCTAGGGCGTGAAATTAACTTTTTTATCTGATAGCCACTTGGCTCCTAAATTCTTCAAAGTGGTAGCCAATTCAAAAAAAGTTGGTCGCCATTTTCAAAGACAAACAAAATCTTTCTTTACGCTGTCAGCGTTCTAGATAGACCCTCCAAAATTAAGTTAGGGAAAAGATCTTTAACGTGCTACAAAGTGGACACTAGGATGTATGATATACAATGTTCAGGCTCATCTAAATCCAAGATGGCGTCTAGTTATCGATCGAGATGCATGTGCTACGTTTTGGAAACAAACTTAACGAGGAAGTTTGCCGCGGATTTATCTTTGCAAATTTATTTAATTCACTATATCTCTTGGTAAGGGTATGATGAAACGTTGTAGTCGCCAATTTGGCGACTAACTTTCAGGATTTGGTCGCCAAAGTGAAAAATTTAGTCGCATTGGCACCTGTATTAGGCGCAATTTCACGCCCTGTTAAGTCTCTATTTTGGACAAAAGTAAACAAAGATATGTCTCTGCAGACATCATTTGTTTTGAGAAGTGAGCAGTTTTCTAAGAGATTTGATGCTCTGCATTAACCTGCTACAGCTTTGGGTTGAGTTTCCATATGAACCAATCAGTTTTCACTAACCATTAAATTTATGGTTCTGTTTAAATTAATGGATGACTTTTCTTTCAGGTGCGATGATGACACGGTTGGAGTAAAGGAAAAGATGATGTATGCCGCAACTAATAATGAATTGAAGAAGCAATGTGATGGATTCGCACCATACGAATTGCATGATAAAGATGATTTCAATTTCAAATTTGTTTCTGACGATTTGAAAGGAAAGGACAGGCAATAACTTGTTGCTGTCAAAATAAGAACAGTACCTTTACCAACCACTTTGTGATCTCAGTTTTGGATGAATCAGTATAAATAACAAGCCCGCTACAGCTGTTAGATCTCGTCAGCAAAGAGGTTATTTCAAATAAAGTATGATGAGTGTAGTTGCTGCATGTATAATCTAGTTTTGTTCTCTCACTGCAATGTATTTACGGGAAAAAGGTTAATAAATGACAAATTTCACTAGTTTGGGAATGTTCCTGTAATGAGCAGTTGACATTCACAGCTTAATATATAAATAATGCCCCTGTATGAGTTTTCTGTTATAGAAAGTTTACCCAGTTTAACACTTCCTGACTTGCTTTGTCTTAATTGGCTAGTCAATTGAACAGAAAATATTTTAGATGCCAGCAATCAGATTTCAAAAATTGACATTTTGGCTTTGAAATTCTCCATCTTTGTCATGACTTAGAAATAGTTCAGCATCCTTAGTTTATTGTAATCACAGCTAAGATGAACAAACGAGGAAACCTGCCTTCAATCTTAATTCAGACATTGAAATACATTGATTTATGTTTAAGCTGCAACACTGCAGCTGTAGAAATGTCAAAGGAGAGATATTGACCTGCTTGCATCTTGGAAATCGCGGCATCTGTCAAGAGATACCAATGGAAAACTGGGGTATATGCCTCTAAGAACTGTATGTCAGCACCTGGCAGTATTTCAGTCTTATTTTCAGTGCCTCTGATATTTTTGGTTTGTTATTTTTTTCATCAAAGATCTTATGAAACAATCAATTTGAAACTTGAACTCTAACACAGGTAACATACAAGCATTTCACTGTTGTCTATGTCTGGGGAGGTTGAGAATTTTAACCTTACCGGGGTGGGTGGGGGGTTTGCACTAAAAGTGTGAAGTCTCTCCAGCATAATACATGCATTTTAGAGGAGGAGCTAATGTTCACACAAGTCATCATTCGTTAGCAAATAGTGTAGAAGGACAATTCTTTGACTCTAGAACAAAGCTTTCAAGTGAAAAATGCAACAACAGCACCAAAAAAACTTTGCCCCTCAAAAGTTCCATTGCCCATGGGAATGTCTAGGGAAGGATGTTGACTCTTTGAATTAAAACACATTAGCACTCTCATGTACAACAATTTTATTGAGATTTAGTTGAGAACAGACAGTCTTAAATGGTGTTTATGAACAGGGCCTTACCTTTATGGTAAGCATCAGGTTGAGGTGAATGATTCTCTACATCGCCTTCCTGACCACAAATCAATTCTTCAAAGTACCTCATTTTTTAGAGTATAGAAATTGTTCTATAATAAAATGACATTTTAACCTTTACAAGAACTACTTCTGTACGATAACACAAACAAACTGAGCTTGCGACAATTTAAGTTTATTGGTTACTTAAGGAGTTAAATAGAGAAGAAATGGGTGGAAAAGAAGACAATTGTTCATGTTCCAATTATTTTCTACATGTGAAGATAAATTGATTTGATTGTAACTAGATTTGGTACTGTAGCCTTGAAAAAACAAGACTTAAAAATGATGACTGACTGACCCAATCATTATTGGAGTCGCAGTAGCTAGGAAACAACTTGTGCCAAAGATTGAAAAGGAATTTTACAATTGTTTGATGAAACGAGTGTAAGTGTAAAAAAGTGTTGGAGATGGTACTCTACAATAGATAGTGCAGAACTGAGCTGCAATTATGCCAGGCTTAAACTCCTTGACATTTTTCTTATCAGGGCCTCTCTCCATCCCAGGAGTATAAATGGGTCCAGTAAATTGTCAGGGAAGCCTAATACTAGGGGTAGCCTTGTGATGGACTGGCATCCCATCCAGGGGGTAGTAGTGATGCTCGTGGTCCCTTTATGCTAAGGAAACCTAGATAAACTCTGGCTGGGTATAGACTACCTGGCTCAATTGCAGACCTCCAATCTCCTTTGCCAACCAAACACCGTCTTTTCTGATTTAAATCTTAAAATACTTTGGATTTATAGGACTAATTACTTTAAAGAGGGTGCTGGGGAAAATAACCAAACTGAATGAAAAATACTGTGTTTACTTGAAATCTAAATGAATTCATTTCAGTCAATCAAAACTGAATCTCTAACAATCATTAGACTGAAAAGTTACTGCAACTAGGGGAAGATGTTTTATTCATGTTGTTCCTGTGTTTCTTCAGGAGTGAGCTATGTCAAGTAACATACGACTTGGAGCCAGAAGGCAATAAATGGAAATCATATATCTTTTCTCAAATCAATCTAAAATATTGATAACTGTACTGTGATGTTAATGATTTAATTCCCATAACTGACCAAGACAGAATTTCTCCTTACAATATTATTGATACAATATCAAGCACACCGTGACAAGTGATGAGAATTGTAAAAAGAAATATCAATTAGGGAATTATTAGAGGATCAAATTCCCAATTATCCAAGCTAGCATCATAAGAATTGTATGACAGACAGCAAGGAGAATTATCGAGGAGATTGTGGGAGTGCCATGTAAGGGTTAACGATGATAAAAATAATTTTAACAATGAAGGTATGTTGATAGTACCTTTGTTTTTTGCTATCTTACTTTTTTTTCCCTCGGGATCAAAATATTTCAAAACAAAGCTTGAAGACGCTATTAGTGTCGTTTATGCTGGTGGTGTGTACATGCACTGACGCAGAGGGAACTTCGCTTTAAACAACAAGCATGAAGAAATCACTGCATTGAACAATACGTTTACTTGTCAGCAGTGCTTGATCCGTTTAGAGGTGAAGCGAATGGGAAGGGAATAGGAGTACAAACTGGAGAACTACTAGCGTTTACATACAAATTATAGGTTTAAAGTAATTCAGAGAATAAAAATAATCTAATGCTATGTAAGAGACTCATCATAATCAACGATGTGAGTGCAGAGTTTGAACTGTCGCATATCTTGAAAAACTTTCAGAGCAAAAAATGTAGAGCTAGAAATATGTGCCTTAAGTTTGAATGTACATTCATTTCGTCCCGAAGAACCATAATACTGTTGGGTTGCGTGACATGAATAGAGATAGATATTTAAAGTTCGAGAAATATTGAAAATCTTGTCTCTATGCATGTCACGCAACTCAAAGATTTGTTTGAACGGCTTTGAGAACGCTTTACGAATAAGAAGTCGTCTTTCAACTAAGTGATTGCGACAAGGCACAGTATCAGGTGAATTTGATTTACCTTTGCATGAAGAAAGTGATGGCAGACGCTTTGTTAGACTGGAAATCTACCTCCGTAACGCCGACGCAAGACAGGGACGATATCGTGCCCAAATATGGTAATGTTTAATACAGCCGCGAATACAGAAATTTTTGAAAACTACTTCCCAGATCCTGTTGAGCGCGGTCGATTTATTTCAGTAACTACTGACGTAATTTCGATTATATACTCACATTTGTCCGTGACAGTTTGAAAAACTTTGAATTATGCAAAAACCATGATTTCATATTCCTGTTTTTTTATTCATTTCTTGTATAGTATAACTCTGAAGAGAACACAATCTTTTGAGGTGATGAAAAAAATAAAAGCATCACTTTGCTGAGCTTCCATGTCCTACAGAAAAAAAAGTGCATTTAATTTCGATCCTTCTTGTCGTAATTATGCTGTTATAGTATTGATTCCTATTATGGCATTAATTCCTTATATGGTTGACTTCTGAAGTTAAAACCATTTCTTATTTTTAAAAAGTTGTGACTCACAAAAATATCACTTTGCTGAGCTTGCATGTTAAAAGATGTATATAGTGCATTTGATTTCTGTCTTATCATAATTTTGTGAAAGCCAAGCTGCAGCAGATCTCGCAGGTAAATTTTATTTCTGGTTTGATGACTTAAAATACTGAAGGTAGAAATTTATTTCCCTAGTTTTTACTAGCATTTAGCTTTATTATTATGTTCTCTCTTAATTTTTTTCACGTGGGATTTAACTGTGTTACAAAAGCTGTTGCAGAAAAAAAGTGTTAAAGTGTTGCAGAAGCTTTGAAGTTTGTTTTGAAAAACAGATGCATGAGTAATTCGTCTGAAGAGCGGTCATTTTATCATCTTATTTTGACTATTTTTATCCCAAACCCTTCAAGTATCAGTCTTCCTAATTTACCTTTCCTGCTCTGACTATGTTACTATTGTATACTTGCCTTTCTTTGTTCAGGACCTTATTTTGGAAGTTAAATTCGTCAGTTGACATCATGGTAAGTGTTGGCAATCCAGTAGAACCCCGCTAACTCGAACCACTTTCAAAGGGGAAAAATGGTGCTAGGATCTTGAGGTGTTGAGTCACGAGATTGGGGTTGAATTTCAATTATCCTGTTAATAATTAATAGGGAATAATATCTTAATCATTCTTTTACAATCGACAATAATTTTTGTATTTTCAGTTTGTTTTATAAGAGCTTTTTTTCGTTTAGTTTGGGAAGTAAAGCTGTTTGTATTGCGTTTTCTTAGGTGTTATCATGTTTGTATCAATACCGATTAATGATTTAGACGCGTCAGTCAGCCTTGTTTTGACCTTATGACGTATATTGACCAACGTGTTTGAGTTACCCGGGCGATCGACTTCACCGAGTTCGATTTGGCTGATAGTAAATAACTGAAAAAAAGTGGGAAAAAAATCTAGTCGAAATCGCATTTTGTTCGAGTTATCAAGGAGTTCGGTTTGGCCGTGTTCGAAATAGTGGAGTTTTGCTGTAGTTTTAGCTCTAAATGATCCCCAATTAACCGAGTGGCCCAGGGCACTCTATGCTTTTGCTGTACAGTGTCATTTATGATGCGTTCTGAATGATTAGTTTACTCCCTTTCTAACTTTCAACCATCCAAAATCCTAACTGAAGTTAATAGGTGTGCCCTTTTTTTCTTGAAGGCCTCAGGTATCAAATTGGACGAAAGCTGTAAGAAAATGTTCTCTTTGGTCAAAGACAAGCATGAACACGCATGGGCCATCATGAAGATTGACAATGATAAGGAAGTTGTTCTTACGAAACAACATGGCAAACTTGTATCCAACACTGATTTAGAGGAAAATGAAAGACTCTTTGAAGCCATGAAAGGGAAAGTTGCAGAACTGGACGGGCCATGTTACATCCTGTTCGATTTTGTCTACCAACAGAAGAGTGGTGCTACCAAAGATAAACCAATTTACATCTATTGGTAGGTGACCAGGCAGCTTTAATGTTTACTTTAACTTTTTTTATGCAAGGGGGGGAGGGGAAGAGGGAAGGTGCAGAGGCGTATTGGATAGGGTTTTGAAAGGTCAGGATTAAGGCATGTTGTTGTGCTGTGTCGTTGGGTAAGAAACTTGACTTTCAAATTTCCAGTCTATCTGCCCAAGAGAACATGTGGGTAATGAAGCCTAACAAAATGCTGAGGTGTAAATACACGATAGACTCAATTTGACGCAATGTAAGCACGGACATTTTCTTTCGCGGATATAATTTGTTCTGAGAAATGAACAGTTTTCCATGAGCTTCGATGCCATGCAATAACTTGCAACAGCTTTCGCTTGAGCTCCCATTGGGGCCAATCAGTTTTCACAAACCATTTAATCTACGGGTCTGGTTAAATGACTGGATGAATGCATTGAATGATTCTTTTTTTCTTTTTAAGGTGCGATGATGACTGCGTTGGAGTAAAGGAAAAGATGAAATATGCTGCAACTAATTCTGAGTTGAAGAAGCAGTGCAATGGATTTGAGACATTTGAATTCCACGATAAAGATGACTTCTGTTTCCAAAAGATTTCTAATGAATTGAAAGCAAAAGACAGGCAATAACTTGCTGCTGTCACAAAGAGAACAGCACCTTCACTTGCCACTTTTTTATCTCAGTTTCGATAACTCAGTTTAACATTAAGAAGCACTACGGCTGGTAGATCACGTTAAGAAAGAAGTTAATTGTAATAGAATATATGATGAGTGAAGTTGCTGCATTTATGATCTAGTTTTGTTCTTACACTGCAATGTATTTATTGGGATGCAAGTTAATAAATGACAAATTTCACTGGTATAAGCATGTTTCTGTGATGAACAGAAATGTTAAATGTTTCGTTATCCAGGGTGTTTATTGAGAAATTTGGCAGTGTCAATTAATGGACGATTCTATTCTGTGTACAATTCAAACTCTTACCAGTAAGGCCATTTGAATCTAGCTCCAGAATTATGCAAAGTCACAAGACAAATCTACAATCTCCTTTGCCTACCAAACGACCCTCAATTGTGCTTTCAGGCGTAAAAAATTTAAGGTTTACAGGACTAACTGCTTGGTTGTAGTGAAAAAGAAGACCCCCGAAAACTAAGACCTAAGACCCGAAAGGAAGACCCGAAAACAAAGACCCGAAAGTGACATTTTATGACAGGAAGCTCGCGTCACGTCAAAATTTCATCTCTAAAATTTATTAGACTCAAATTCATACTGTAACTAGTATCAAGGAGCTGCTGATTTATCTTACTGGTTGTTCCGAGCTGCATTCCTTCAGAAGTGAGCAAATTTTGTCAAGTAACGTAAGACCCGATGCTCGAAGAAAATCGATCAAAATCAAACTAATATATTCTTTTCTCAAATTAATCAATAACATTAAGGATAATAATATTCTGATGCTAACAATAACTGAAATAATTTCAATAGTGAAGGTACTATGTGGATACAGTTCTTAGAACCTTATGTAAAGACTTCTTTAATTGCCTTTAGATGGATCAAAATATCTCAAAACAAAGCTAAAATTGTAATGTGCTGCTTCATAGTCCTGCATGCTTTTAGTGTGTGCACATGCAATGAAGCATAGCAGAGTTTATTTTTCTTTAAACAACATTAAACTTACGGCCTCGAAAAAGTCTTAGAACAATAGGTTCACTTATCAACTGTTCGTCCGTTAAGAGGTGAGGCAAATGAATAAGCAGTGGAAGCATGAAGTGGAGAGCTATGCTTGCCTTTAAATGGGTTTTTAAATGATTGAGGAAATAAATGAAAACTAATTATGCTGTGTAAAAAGAGAGTCACTTGTAAGTAACGAGGATTGTGCACAATTCTAAATGTCACATGTCCTGAAAACTTTGGAACTCAAAATATGGAGCTTGTAATATAGGGTAAGGTATTATAAGTTTGAATGTACATTCTTTTCGTCGCGAAGTACCATTAATAATCCGTTAAATCTTGATTATATATGTAAGGACGAGTGTCACGCAACTCAACGGAATTATTGGGACGACGTTTAGAACGCTTTGCGACTAATAGGAGTCGTCTTTGATTTAAGTTATCGTAACAAGGCATAGTATCAAGTAAATTTGAATTTATCTTTGCATTAAGTAAGCGAAATCATACCCCTCCTAGTTTTGCAACGCTGAAGTAAGTCAGGAACAATTTCGTGCCCAAATATGGTAATATTTAAAACAGCGCTACCCACGAAAGCAGAAATTTTATAAACTACTTCCCAGTTTCAAGGTTTCTTTCCTGGTGAGCGCGGTCGATTTATTTATCACCATTTCTGATGAAGCTTCTATACTGTATCATTTAATTTGACAAAAGGTTTATATTAGCTTCAAGACGATTGCATTTTGCGGAAGGAAACTCAGTAGTCATATTTTCTACTAATTGTATTCCAATTGAGTTTACTAAGAATCATCCACATTTTGAATGTATGTTTTCACTTTTGTTAGGTCAACGGAAACGGTAATTTTTTTCCTTTTACGGTCGTTTCATCTGTTGATGATCGTGAGCACTGTTTACCAATGTAACTGTCTGACGTAATTCCGATTGTATACTCGCATTTGTCCGTGACAGTTTGAACCAGTTTGAATTATGCAAAAATCACATTGTCATGTTTAGTACCAACAAGATGATTTTATATTCCTGTTGATTTACTCATTCCTTGTATGGTATAATACTGAAGAGAAGTCAACATTTTATGAGTATTGAAAAATGAAAGCATCACTTTGCTGAGCTTGCATGATAGCGGAAAAAAATGCATTTGATTTCCTACTCGTCGTAGTTGTAATGTGATAGTTTCATTTCTGTTAAGGTATTCATTCCTTATATGGTTGAACTCTGAAGAGAAAACCATCTTATTTTCAAAAAGGTAATTACTAAATAAAAGCATCACTTTGCTCAGCTTGCATGTTCACAGATGTATACAGTGCAGTTTATTTCTCCCTCAGAGAAAGTTTACCAGAATCAAAAGTTCCTGATTGCTTCAACAAACATTTACATCAACAATTCAATTATGGCAAGGCAACTTAATTTGTCATGCATTCTCCCTTTAACTCCTAGAAGTGATTTTAAAACATGTAACATCTTCCTATAACATTAATTTATTATCCAGCAAAAGGGTAATGAGAGCGCTCAAACTTATCAGATAGAGGTTATTTTCTTGATTTAACACCAAATTCATTCAGTCACAAGAAATAACTGTGTACCAGCTACATTTGAGGGAGAATTGACAATGATCAATTCTTGGGAGTTAAAAAATGGGTGAAAAAGGTAGCAAGTGTCTAGAGGATTAAATCTTTAATTCATCCATCATGTCCCAAGTATCTTCTGCATGCCATGATAAATTGATTTGATTGTAACTAGATTTGGTACAGTAGCCTGGAATAAGAAGAAGAATTGAGAATGATAACTAACCAACACAAAAATGTGATTATTCCTTAACTGATTATTCCTTAACTGTTATGAGGGAGTAAAAGGGTCATGAATTATCCAGTTGAATGAAAACACTTGAAACCTAAATGAAGTAATTTCAGGTAAACAAAATTTAATCTTTAAAAATTATTAGACTGAAAAATTACCATGAATAATGGGAGCAGTTCATGCTTTCTTCTTGGTTGATTCTGTTTTCCTTCAGAAATGAGCAATGTCAAGTAACATACAACTTGGTGCTGGAAGGCAATCAATCAAAAACATCATCTTCCCTCAAATTAATAAAAAATGCTATGAAATGTATCCTAGTGTTAGCAGTAATTGAAATAATCTCAGTAGTGAAGGTATGTTGATAGTACTTGGAGGTGTGTTAACAGACGATTTTTGCCTCCAGATGGATCAAAATATTTTAAAACAAAAGTAGAAAAATCAGATCAATATCAGTATCTGGGTAACTGCCCACCTACCCTCTCCTTAATTCAACAACAGACAATTGACAACAAGTTAAGGTTAATGTTGGGTTAGGGGAGGGGTAGCCGGGCAGTTGCCCAGATACTGATATTGATCCAAAAAATCTTGTACAATCAAATTTTAGAAGAAGGTTTTTCCAAGTGTGCTTCATAATCCCATTGCGCATGCTGGTGGCGTGTTCATGGATTGAAGTATAACAGGGGGAATTTTACTTAAAACAATATTAAAATTCCATCCTTGAAAAAGTATTAGAACGATGGGTTCACTTGTCAGACAGCCCATGCTAATGGGCGGACAAATATCTGAGCATACATTTGTGTCAAGTGGAGGCTATTGTTTAAATAAAGCTATGATTGGTTTCCTGCACAGCCTTGGTGTCAGTAGATACACTCTAAAAACAATCCTTTGCATTAATTCCTGGCAAGACTGCAACAATTAGTGTTGCATTTATCAGGCACAAGACATACCATAGTTATGACTTCATTGATAAGCACATCCACAATTTTATGATGTTCAATAAATTGACTTGTCTGTAGCCCAAGGACACATGATTTGGTGTACTGAATTCCAAGATCTTTGACAATTAAAACAGACTCTACGAAAAGAATAGAGTGGTTGAAATATTGCTCATCATTGACCAAGTGTGAGATCAAGACATATGGCCATTGGTCAATTTATTTTTTTGGAAAAATGAAAAAGAACAGGTGCAGTCTTTTGACACCTTGATCAAACAAGTTTAGTCAAAATAAGGACTCATGTGTCCCCAATTCCTTCTGGCATGCTCAAGGAACTGCAAGATAAATTCATGAGGTTTTTTATGGTTAGGCAAGTTCATCTGCAGGTCCTTTCTCCCTCCTTCCCCTCCCCCCCTTGAGTAAAATAGGTTACCAGCAAACTGTGAATGATGAAATGCTGGGTTGGAGATAACATAGGATAGACCTTGAACGAGGGGGTTTGAGAGGTGCCTAATCCTACTCCTACTTTCTTCATGCTAATGAGCTGTTACTTGGTCCTGTGGCTTACAGTCTGACTTGATCCTTTGACAGTCTGAACAGCGCTCCATGTAGGAGAGGCTGTGGCTTTATGTTTAGTGTACTGGACTCCAGATTAAGGGGTCTGGGTTTGCAACCTTGCAGGGTCATTGTGCTGTACCTCTCTTCACTCATTAGCATAAATGGGTAACAGTGTATTGTCAAGGAAGTCTGTTGAAATGCAAGAGAGGGGTTACCTTGCGATGAAATGGCATCCCACCCAGGGGGGTAGTCACTTCATTTTATGGAGACCAGAATTATCTCCAGCTAAATAGACCACTTGGTTGCCATAGCCAAAAAGAAAAATTTTGGCAACTAATTTCACACCAAAAATTAAATTATTCAGTGTCTTGGCCTACAATTACTGTTTTATGAGAACACTAACTGTAAGACGTAGAAGCAGTCAGTACCTTTCTCATCTCACCTTTATGAATATCCCAGCAATATAATTTCAAAAGAACAATGGCAACCACCACAAAAGTCCAAACTACTAAGCTGGTTAATGACAGAAGTTCCTGTAATGATTGAAAAAATAAAAGGCAGTAAATGATTGACATAAACACCATTTAGGGATGTGGGACCTAGAAAGGGTCAGGAGACAAGAGACAGGAGAGAAATGAAAACATACAGACATGAGCTGATTGTTAATCAGTAATAACAGTGTATTGCTAGATGAACATTCTATTTTTGATCAACACCTCCTCTTAAGGTTAGCAGAAATTTGGTAACTCAATTTGTTTTTTCTCTACACCTTCTGCAAAATAAAATCTCCAAGGTTTTTTTGTTGTTGTTGATTTTGAGTAAGCATACTGCTCCTTTATTTAAACAAATTAATTATCCTTCCAAATATAATTACTCCTTATTCCCTTTGGATTTCCATCACACAGTTTCTACCAGTGAAAATTTTCCACTAACCTACTTCATTTTTTTCACAATTCCCCCTCCCCCCACCCCACCCGTTAGTGATGCCCGCAGTATCTCACTCTTTGCCAGCAAAGGGAGCTTGATAGCTCTTATGATCTACTCAGAGTATTCCCCTTGTGTTTACTTATTGTCCAGTTTTAAGATAAAGTCAAGATTTTATTTTTTCCCTCGGGATCAAAATATTTCAAAACAAAGGTTGAAAACGCTATTAGTGTCGTTTCAACAATGAAGGTATGTTGATAGTACCTTTGTTTTTTGCTATCTTACTTTTTTTCCCTCGGGATCAAAATATTTCAAAACAAAAGTTGAAAACGCTATTAGTGTCGTTTATGCTGGTGGTGTGTGAACATGCACTGACGCAGAGGGAATTTCGCTTTAAACAACAAGCATGAAGAAATCACTGCATTGAACAATACGTTTACTTGTCAGCAGTGCTTGATCCGTTTAGAGGTGAAGCGAATGGGAAGGGAACGGGAGTACAAACTGGAGAACTACTAGCGTTTACATACAATAGGTTTAAAGTAATTCAGAGAATAAAAATAATCTAATGCTATGTAAAAGAGACTCATCATAATGAACGATGTGAGTGCAGAGTTTGAACTGTCGCATATCTTGAAAAACTTTCAGAGCAAAAAATGTAGAGCTAGAAATATGTGCCTTAAGTTTGAATGTACATTCATTTCGTCCCGAAGAACCATAATACTGTTGGGTTGCGTGACATGAATAGAGACAGATATTTAAGGTTGGAGAAATATTGAAAATCTTGTCTCTATGCATGTCACGCAACTCAAAGATTTGTTTGAACGGCTTTGAGAACGCTTTGCGAATAAGAAGTCGTCTTTCAACTAAGTGATTGCGACAAGGCACAGTATCAGGTGAATTTGATTTACCTTTGCATGAAGAAAGTGATGGCAGACGCTTTGTTAGACTGGAAATCTACCTCCGTAACGCCGACGCAAGACAGGGACGATATCGTGCCCAAATATGGTAATGTTTAATACAGCCGCGAATACAGAAATTTTTGAAAACTACTTCCCAGATCCTGTTGAGCGCGGTCGATTTATTTCAGTAACTGCTGACGTAATTTCGATTATATACTCACATTTGTCCGTGACAGTTTGAAAAACTTTGAATTATGCAAAAACCATGATTTCATATTCCGGTTTTTTTATTCATTTCTTGTATAGTATAACTCTGAAGAGAACACAATCTTTTGAGGCGATGAAAAAAATAAAAGCATCACTTTGGGAGCTTCCATGTCCTACAGAAAAAAAATGTATTTAATTTCGATCCTTCTTGTCGTAATTATGCTGTTATAGTATTGATTCCTATTATGGCATTAATTCCTTATATGGTTGACTTCTGAAGTTAAAACCATTTCTTATTTTTAAAAAGTTGTGACTCACAAAAATATCACTTTGCTGAGCTTGCATGTTAAAAGATGTATATAGTGCATTTGATTTCTGTCTTATCATAATTTTGTGAAAGCCAAGCTGCAGCAGATTTCGCAGGTAAATTTTATTTCTGGTTTGATGACTTAAAATACTGGAGGTAGAAATTTATTTCCCTAGTTTTTACTAGCATTTATCTTTATTATTATGTTCTCTCCTAATTTTATTCACGTGGGATTTAACTGTGTTACAAAAGCTGTTGCAGAAAAAAAGTGTTAAAGTGTTGCAGAAGCTTTGAAGTTTGTTTTGAAAAACAGATGCATGAGTAATTCGTCTGAAGAGCGGTCATTTTATCATCTTATTTTGACTATTTTTATCCCAAACCCTTCAAGTACCAGCCTTCCTAATTTACCTTTCCTGCTCTGACTATGTTACTATTGTATACTTACCTTTCTTTGTTCAGGACCTTATTTTGGAAGTTAAATTCGTCAGTTGAAATCATGGTAAGTGTTGGCAATCCAGTAGAACCCCGCTAGCTCGAACCACTTTCAAAGGGGAAAAATGGTGCTATGCTCTTGGGGTGTTGAGTGACGAGATTGGGGTTGAATTTCAATTATCCTGTTAATAATTAATAGGGAATAATATCTTAATCATTCTTTTACAATCGACAATAATTTTTGTATTTTCAGTTTGTTTTATAAGAGCTTTTTTTCGTTTAGTTTGGGAAGTAAAGCTGTTTACGGGCGGCCCGGGCGATCTACTTCACCGAGTTCAATTTGGCTGATAGTAAATAACTGAAAAAAAGTGGGAAAAAATCTAGTCGAAATCGCACTTTGTTCGAGTTAGCAAGGAGTTCGGTTTAGCCGTGTTTCGAAAAAGTGGAGTTTTGCTGTAGTTTTAGCTCTAAATGATCCCCAATTAACCGAGTGGCCCAGGGCACTCTATGCTTTTGCTGTACAGTGTTATTTATGATGGGTTCTGAATGATTAGTTTACTTCCTTTCTAACTTTCAACCATCCAAAATCCTAACTGAAGTTAATAGGTGTGCCCTTTTTTCTTGAAGGCCTCAGGTATCAAATTGGACGAAAGCTGTAAGAAAATGTTCTCTTTGGTCAAAGACAAGCATGAACACGCATGGGCCATCATGAAGATTGACAATGATAAAGAAGTTGTTCTTACGAAACAACATGGCAAACTTGTATCCAACACTGATTTAGAGGAAAATGAAAGACTCTTTGAAGCCATGAAGGGGAAAGTTGCAGAACTGGACGGGCCATGTTACATCCTGTTCGATTTTGTCTACCAACAGCGAAGTGGTGCTACCAAAGATAAACCAATTTACATCTATTGGTAGGTGACCAGGCAGCTTTAATGTTTACTTTAACTTTTTTTATGTAAGGAGGGGAGGGGAAGAGGGAAGGTGCAGAGGCGTATTGGATAGGGTTTTGAAAGGTCAGGATTAAGGCATGTTGTTGTGCTGTGTCGTTGGGTAAGAAACTTGACTTTCAAATTTCCAGTCTATCTGCCCAAGAGAACATGTGGGTAATGAAGCCTAACAAAATGCTGAGGTGTAAATACACGATAGACTCAATTTGACGCAATGTAAGCACGGACATTTTTTTTCGCGGATATAATTTGTTCTGAGAAATGAACAGTTTTCCATGAGCTTCGATGCCATGCAATAACTTGCAACAGCTTTCGCTTGAGCTCCCATTGGGGCCAATCAGTTTTCACAAACCATTTAATCTACGGGTCTGGTTAAATGACTGGATGAATGCATTGAATGATTCTTTTTTTTCTTTTTAAGGTGCGATGATGACTGCGTTGGAGTAAAGGAAAAGATGAAATATGCTGCAACTAATTCTGAGTTGAAGAAGCAGTGCAATGGATTTGAGACATTTGAATTCCACGATAAAGATGACTTCTGTTTCCAAAAGATTTCTAATGAATTGAAAGCAAAAGACAGGCAATAACTTGCTGCTGTCACAAAGAGAACAGCACCTTCACTTGCCACTTTTTTATCTCAGTTTCGATAACTCAGTTTAACATTAAGAAGCACTACGGCTGGTAGATCACGTTAAGAAAGAAGTTAATTGTAATAGAATATATGATGAGTGAAGTTGCTGCATTTATGATCTAGTTTTGTTCTTACACTGCAATGTATTTATTGGGATGCAAGTTAATAAATGACAAATTTCACTGGTATAAGCATGTTTCTGTGATGAACAGAAATGTTAAATGTTTCGTTATCCAGGGTGTTTATTGAGAAATTTGGCAGTGTCAATTAATGGACGATTCTATTCTGTGTACAATTCAAACTCTTACCAGTAAGGCCATTTGAATCTAGCTCCAGAATTATGCAAAGTCACAAGACAAATCTACAATCTCCTTTGCCTACCAAACGACCCTCAATTGTGCTTTCAGTCGTAAAAAATTTAAGGTTTACAGGACTAACTGCTTGGTTGTAGTGAAAAAGAAGACCCCCGAAAACTAAGACCTAAGACCCGAAAGGAAGACCCGAAAACAAAGACCCGAAAGTGAATTTTATGACAGGAAGCTCGCGTCAGGTCAAAATTTCATCTCTAAAATTTATTAGACTCAAATTCATACTGTAACTAGTATCAAGGAGCTGCTGATTTATCTTACTGGTTGTTCCGAGCTTTATTCCTTCAGAAGTGAGCAAATTTTGTCAAGTAACGTAAGACCCGATGCTCGAAGAAAATCGATCAAAATCAAACTAACATATTCTTTTCTCAAATTAATCAATAACATTAAGGATAATAATATTCTGATGCTAACAATAACTGAAATAATTTCAATAGTGAAGGTACTATGTGGATACAGTTCTTAGAACCTTATGTAAAGACTTCTTTAATTGCCTTTAGATGGATCAAAATATTTCAAAACAAAGCTAAAATTGTAATTTGCCGCTTCATGGTCCTGCATGCTTTTAGTGTGTGCACATGCAATGAAGCATGGCAGAGTTCATTTTTCTTTAAACAATATTAAACTTACGGCCTCGAAAAAGTCTTAGAACAATAGGTTCACTTATCAACTGTTCGTCCGTTAAGAGGTGAGGCAAATGAATAAGCAGTGGAAACATGAAGTGGAGAGCTATGCTTGCCTTTAAATGGGTTTTTAAATTATTGAGGAAATAAATGAAAACTAATTATGCTGTGTAAAAAGAGAGTCACTTGTAAGTAACGAGGATTGTGCACAATTCTAAATGTCACATGTCCTGAAAACTTTAGAACTCAAAATATGGAGCTTGTAATATAGGGTAAGGTATTATAAGTTTGAATGTACATTCTTTTCGTCGCGAAGTACCATTAATAATCCGTTAAATCTTGGCTATATCTGTTAGCATGAGTGTCACGCAACTCCACGGAATTATTGGGACGACGTTTAGAACGCTTTGCGACTAATAGGAGTCGTCTTTGATTTAAGTTATCGTAACAAGGCATAGTATCAAGTAAATTTGAATTTATCTTTGCATTAAGTAAGCGAAATCATATAGTTTTGCAACGCTGAAGTAAGACAGGAACAATTTCGTGCCCAAATATGGTAATATTTAAAACAGCGCTACCCACGAAAGCAGAAATTTTATAAACTACTTCCCAGTTTCAAGGTTTCTTTCCTGGTGAGCGCGGTCGATTTATTTATCACCATTTCTGATGAAGCTTCGATTCTGTATCATTTACTTTGACAAAAGGTTTATATTAGCTTCAAGACGATTGCATTTTGCGGAAGGAAACTCAGTAGTCATATTTTCTACTAATTGTATTCCAATTGAGTTTACTAAGAATCATCCACATTTTGAATGTATGTTTTCACTTTTGTTAGGTCAACGGAAACGGTAAATTTTTTTCCTTTTACGGTCGTTTCATCTGTTGATGATCGTGAGCACTGTTTACCAATGTAACTGTCTGACGTAATTCCGATTGTATACTCGCATTTGTCCGTGACAGTTTGAACCAGTTTGAATTATGCAAAAATCACATTGTCATGTTTAGTACCAACAAGATGATTTTATATTCCTGTTGATTTACTCATTCCTTGTATGGTATAATACTGAAGAGAAGTCAACATTTTATGAGTATTGAAAAATGAAAGCATCACTTTGCTGAGCTTGCATGATAGCGGAAAAAAATGCATTTGATTTCCTTCTTGTCGTAGTTGTTATGTGATAGTTTCATTTCTGTTACGGTAGTCATTCCTTATATGGTTGAACTCTGAAGAGAAAACCATTTCATTTTCAAAAAGGTAATTACTAAATAAAAGCATCACTATGCTCAGCTTGCATGTTCACAGATGTATACAGTGCAGTTTATTTCTCTCAGAGAAAGTTTACCAGAATCAAAAGTTCCTGAATTGCTTCCACAAACATTTACATCAACAATTCAATTATGGCAAGGCAACTTAATTTTTCATGCATTCTCCCTTTAACTCCCAGAAGTCATTTTAAAACATGTAACGTCTTCCTATAACATTCATCTATTATCCAGCAAAAGGGTAATGAGAGCACTCAAACTTATCACATGGAGGTTATTTTCTTGATTTAACACCAAATTCTCGTTACTCATTCACAAGAAATAACTGTGTAGCAGCTAGATTCTAGGGAGAATTGACAATGATCAATTCTTGGGAGTTAAAAAATGGGTGAAAAAGGTAGCAAGTGTCTAGAGGATTAAATCTTTAATTCATCCATCATGTCCCAAGTATCTTCTGCATGCCATGATAAATTGATTTGATTGTAACTAGATTTGGTACAGTAGCCTGGAATAAAAAGAAGAATTGAGAATGATAACTAACTAACACAAAAATTTGATTATTCCTTAACTGATTATTCCTTAACTGTTATGTAGGAGTAAAAGGGTCATGAATTATGCAGTTGAATGAAAACACTTGAAACCTAAATGAAGTAATTTCAGGTAAACAAAATTTAATCTTTAAAAATTATTAGACTGAAAAATTACCATGAATAATGGGAGCAGTTCATGCTTTCTTCTTGGTTGATTCTGTTTTCCTTCAGAAATGAGCAATGTCAAGTAACATACAACTTGGTGCTGGAAGGCAATCAATCAAAAACATCATCTTCCCTCAAATTAATAAAAAATGCTATGAAATGTATCCTAGTGTTAGCAGTAATTGAAATAATCTCAGTAGTGAAGGTATGTTGATAGCACTTGGAGGTGTGTTAACAGACGATTTTTGACTCCAGATGGATCAAAATATTTTAAAACAAAAGTAGAAAAATCAGATCAATATCAGTATCTGGGTAACTGCCCACCTACCCTCTCCTTAATTCAACAACAGACAATTGACAACAAGTTAAGGTTAATGTTGGGTTAAGGGAGGGGTAGGTGGGCAGTTGCCCACATACTGATATTGATCTGAAAAATCTTGTACAATCAAATTTTAGAGGAAGGTTTTTCCAAGTGTGCTTCATAATCTCATTACACATGCTGGTGGTGTGTTCATGGATTGAAGTATAACAATAAGGGAATTTTACTTAAAACAACATTAAAAATTCCATCTTGAAAAAGTCTTAGAATGATGGGGTTGCTTGTCAGACAGCCCATGCTGATGGGTGGACAAATATCTGAGCATATGTTTGTGCCAAGTGGAGGCTATTGTTTAAATAAAGCTATGATTGGTTTCCTGCACAGCCTTGGTGTCAGTAGATACACTCTAAAAACAATCCTTTGCATTAATTCCTGGCAAGACTGCAACAATTAGTGTTGCATTTATCAGGCACAAGACATACCATAGTTATGACTTCATTGATAAGCACATCCACAATTTTATGATGTTCAATAAATTGACTTGTCTGTAGCCCAAGGACACATGATTTGGTGTACTGAATTCCAAGATCTTTGACAATTAAAACAGACTCTACGAAAAGAATAGAGTGGTTGAAATATTGCTCATCATTGACCAAGTGTGAGATCAAGACATATGGCGATTGGTCAATTTTTTTTTTTGGAAAAATGAAAAGGAACAGGTGCAGTCTTTTGACACCTTGATCAAACAAGTTTAGTCAAAATAAGGACTCGTATGTCCCCAATTCCTTCTGGCATGCTCAAGGAACTGCAAGATAAATTCATGAGGTTTTTTATGGTTAGGCAAGTTGATCTGCAGGTCCTTTCTCCCTCCTTCCCCTCCCCCCCTTGAGTAAAATAGGTTACCAGCAAACTGTGAATGATGAAATGCTGGGTTGGAGATAACATAGGATAGACCTTGAACGAGGGGGTTTGAGAGGTGCCTAATCCTACTCCTACTTTCTTCACGCTAATGAGCTGTTACTTGGTCCTGTGGCTTATAGTCTGACCTGATCCTTTCACAGTCCGAGCAGCGCTCCATGTAGGAGAGGCTGTGGCTTTATATTTAGTGTACTGGACTGACTCCAGATTAAGGGGTCTGGGTTTGCAACCTTGCTGGGTCACTGTGCTGTACCTCTCTTCACTCATTAGCATAAATGGGTAACAGTGTATTGTCAAGGAAGTCTGTTGAAATGCTAGAGGGAGGTAACATTGCGATGAAATGGCATCCCACCCAGGGGGTAGTCACTTCATTTTATGGAGACCAGAATTATCTCCAGCTAAATAGACCACTTGGTTGCCATAGCCAAGAGGAAAAATTTTGGCAACTAATTTCACACCAAAAATTAAATTATTCAGTGTCTTGGCCTACAATTACTGTTTTATGAGAACACTAACTGTAAGACGTAGAAGCAGTCAGTACATTTCTCATCTCACCTTTATGAATATCCCAGCAATATAATTTCAAAAGAACAATGGCAACCACCACAAAAGTCCAAACTACTAAGCTGGTTAATGACAGAAGTTCCTGTAATGATTGAAAAAATAAAAGGCAGTAAATGACTGACATAAACACCATCTAGGAAGTTGGGACCTAGAAAGGGACAGGAGACAAGAGACAGGAGAGAAATGAAAACATACAGACATGAGCTGATTTTTAATCAGTAATAACAGTGTATTGCTAGATGAACATTCTATTTTTGACCAACACCTCCTCTTAAGGTTAGCAGAAATTTGGTGCCTCAATTTTTTTTTTCTCTACACCTTCTGCAAAATAAAATCTCCAAGGTTTTTTTGTTGTTGTTGATCTTGAGTAAGCACACTGCTCCTTTATTTAAAAAAATTAATCTTCCTTCCAAATATAATTACTCCTTGTTCCCTTTGGACTTCCTTCACACAGTTTCTACCAGTGAAAATTTTCCACTGACCTACTTCATTTTTTTTACAATTCTCCCTCCCCCACCCCACCCGTTGGTGATGCCCGCAGTATCTCACTCTTTGTCAGCAAAGGGAGCTTGATAGCTCTTATGAGCTATTCAGAGTATTTGCCTTGTGTTTACTTATTGTCCAGTTTTAAGGTAAACGTAAGATTTTATTTTAGGAAAAGACTGTTGTTCCTCTATCTTGCCTAGTAACGTAACAAGAGGTGGGTGAGAACTCCTGCCGGCGGTGCTTTTAACCCTTTCACTCCCACAAGTGACCAAGACAGAATTTCTCCTTACAATATCAATACAATATCAAGCAGGCAGGTGATGAGAATAGAGAAGAATATCAATTATGGGATTGTTAGTTGATCCAATAACAAATTCTCTGAACTTACATCAGAAAAATTGTATGGCGGATAGTAAGGAGAATTACTAATTAGATCTTGGGAGTGAAAGGGTTAAGAGAACACCGCTTTGGTACGAGAAGCTATCTTAAAACAGCTGGGCAGTGTATGGAAATGTACTAAAAATAATAGAGAGTACATTGGTCCTTTTTATTACCTGAGGAAGAGCGACAGTTCCAACGATGCTAGAGAGAAAGAAAACAAGGAAAAAAGCTCCCGACGGTGTCTGTCTTGAACGTTCTATCTCAATCGATGACGTCAAAACACCATCTCCTTTGAAAGAAACTTTCAGGCTTTGGCCATGTATGCTTAAGCCGTTCAATTCACGCTGTTGGTTTTTCATGCAGGCCCAAAACACTTAAAAATTAAAGTCAGAAGAAGGTGAGCACGAAGTGTCAAGTACCCGCCATTTTGTTTTTACTCAGGATACCCATGGTGCTTCGCAAATGTACCAAACAAACATGGCGGAAAGCGCTCAAAATGTCGATAAACAAAGTGAAGGAAGTTCTGTGAGTGAAACCATCAATAAGCAGGGGTGGTTATCTAAACGGAGTCGTCTTTCCAAACGCTGGGACAAGCGGTGGTGCTGTTTAAGGAAAAATGAACTAACTTATGGCTTAACAGCAGAGGTAAGCTTGAGTTCAAAGTTTAGCGTCAACTTGTTATCGACTTGAAAATGTGACGGTCATGCACGAGCTATGAAGTATGACTGATGTAGTGAAATTTAATAAGAGTTATTTTGGATAAAATATCTCTAGTTCTGCAGTTTGGAATCAACGTAGCGTCTTTAGAATGAAGGACTGACCTTAAGTCTGTTGTTTATACGAGTACATTCGTGAATTTCAACAAATTTCTTTAGACGATCATAGATCACGGTCCTTCGTACTCCAGGACTTTTCTGCAGGCTTTGGACGATAGCTAATGGATTAAGATTGAAGTACAATACATATATTTTCATATTCCTGTAATTTATTTGAATTTAGGCTTATCTTTAATTTCATCTTGAGAGTAACTTGTGTCTCCTGATTTTTTAAGATTTGTAAATTAAAGTACTTGAGATTGCCACCTGAGGTTTCCGCTCACCCAAGTAGAGTATATTTGCTCTGTAAAAAGAACAGAAAATATAGTAATGAAATATAATAAATATCTCAATTATCTTGTTTTCCTGGGCTGTATACGGTAAGTTGTAGAACCTCATTTTTTCCCCTTGGATTTGTGACTTGTGCACTTTGTGCTTGGGCCATAAATCCGAGAGGAAAAACGGGGCCCGTAACATACAACACGGACCTCAGACTTGGGTAGTAGGAGGTATTTGTTTGCCTCTGTGGAAGCAAATGTAAGTAAGTTTTTGATTTTATAAACCTGACAGGCATGATGTTAAAACAAGTTAACTTAAACATGAGGTGCATCTCGCTCTTTTAATTATAATTTACTATTGTTATCATTTGTAGAATCAAGAGAAAGTAGTTCTATTGGAGGGATGTGAGATGTCAGATTGCAACATTGACAAAAAACAGTTTGCCTTTAGAATAAAGCCCAGCGGAGGAAGACGTGTCTACTTTTTTTCAGCTGACAGCGAACAGGAACAACAGGAGTGGCTGCAGGCAATATGCTTTGCTAAGGCATCAGGCAACATGGGGGATGGATCGCAAGCTTGTACAATACAATAACAGCTACAGTACTGTTATCAAACATCTTAGAAGCTTAATCTCAAGCTCAGAAAACTGTGAACATCAGAAATATTTTGAGAATGTTTTGTTTAAAGAAGAAATTAGGAAGATATAAGATACAAGTGTGTGAATAGGCCATCATTATTATATCACATTTCTCTGTTTGTAGGGAGATTTGAGACAAGTTGGGAGAGTTAAGCTGGGGATCTGGCATAACATTTTCAGTACTAAGCCCCTTGCAGATCTTTTGCTTAGCTCAAGGCCTCATATCATGAGTGATGGAATGCTTGTGCTGAAATGCTTATTATGAGGGCATGGTCACACACCATTGAAATACAAAATGCAAGTGTTTTGTTATATAGTTTGCTTTCTTTACCTGATCTTCAGTGCAGTTAGTCATGATGTGATGTATTTTTCATACACAACTCTCTGAAATATTCCAGGTGTTTGCTGTTTGCTGAGTCTCTAAGAAAAGAATATTATTTTAAACCCAGCAGGAAAAAGAGGTCAAGTAAAACTTGATGGATGTTACACCTTAATTTATAATGAACATGTTATTAATGTTATTCTTTATATTTTATTCATCAATCTTGTACAAAGCACAAGCCATTGGTTATGTATTATAGGCTATATTTACTTTAGCTAGTTTGGAGTTAATTTAACCCTTTAAACCCAGTGAGTGATCATCATCTAATTTCTCTTTGCAGTAATACTGCTGAATCATTCATTAAGATCATGAGAATATAGGAAATGATCACCAGCCTAAGAAGCTTTGATTGTTACACAAATTCTTGTTGTGAGTACCAAAAGAAATGTGAAGAGAAGAGTGTTGAGAATGTGGATACTGGTGTTAAGGTTTAAAGTATTCACATATTTATGAATTAATGTTTGTAAAAATGAAAAAAATCTTGGGATAAATTTTTTATTGTCTTTGTTAATTTGCCCTGATTGAGTGGGATTTAAAAAAAAAAACATGGATGCTCTTGCCATTCTATTACATATTTCCCTGCACCTCCCCAAAGCCTTTCTTCAGGTTATCTTAACAGTTGGGTTGTACTCATTTATACCCCCTGGTGGAGAGACACAATGACCTGGCCAGGTCTGGAACCAGGACACCTCCCTCCTTCCCCCTTAGTGTGCAAACTGGTAGGAAGATAAGTGGGTAATGGATAAGTCTCCAGGAAACTGTAAATGCAAATTCTTGAAGAAACTGTTGCAAGAAATGCTATTGCAACTGTATGTAAATGAACTGCAGGACTGTGAAATGAGATACAATTAGAATTTACTGCTCAGAAAACATTAATTAACAGATTCTTATGTAACTTTCACACTGATTGTGAGTAGAAAGCTTGCCAGCTTTAAATGTTTGGATTATTCTGCATATTTACTTTAACTGACGATGGAAAAATTATCTTTCTCATTAAAAGAAACATATTTATTATTTTACCAATAACTTTTTGTTTTTGATGCTCTTGTTATTATGTGCCATGAAAAAAACCTTCCTCAAACAATTCAAGGCAACCAATTTCTTTTAATGTCAACTGTAATCAATATCCATGATGTGAAAAACTAACTTGTGCTGTACTTTCATTTGCTTGTGAAACCAGGAATGATAAAGCTTTCACGAGAAAATAAGGAGAACGTGTCGGTGTAAAGAGGACTAAACGTGCTTTGTTCTACGATACACCTCGGTGTTATTACGGCATATGCAACACTTATTACGTTACAATGCATATCAGTAAAGGTTACTTTCATTTCAATGCTTTAAAAGTCACCTACACCATATATAAACAGTAAATACCAGAAGAACACCAAATAGAAATGGCCAGTAAAATTAACCTGACATGGCTTAAAGGGCAGATTCATTTCCGATCGAGTTTTCGAAACGGGTAACAATGAAAAATTAAGAAATTTTAAGGCTTAATTAAAGCAAAAAAACAGCTTGGTAATTCGGTAAGTGCCTTCAGTGATTTCCGTTGTGTGGTCTTAACCCTTAAAATTCCAAGATCAAATTATTAATTCTCCCTCAAGTTGCAGCACATTTTTTTGTAACGTAGTAATGAGAATTTGGTGTTAGATCAAGATAACAACTTCTAACTGTTTAAGTTTGAATATTCTCATTACCTATTTGCTGGATAATGTAAGGATATTATAGGGAGAAGATTCATGTTGATCACTTCTGGGAGCTAAAGGGTTAACAGGAAGCGATGATGTCTTGTCTGTAAGTGACAAACTTTCAAATTGTGATGACTGTATTGGACATTAATTAGCTGACAGGAACGTTTTAGATTTTTAGATTGAATTTACGTTAGAAGCAGCATTTTAAAAATCTTTTTAAAACTACCCAACATAAATCCTGGTGAAGATTCACTTAAAGGGGATAAAGTTGATTTGTGCGCAATTTGACTGATGGCACGTGCGCACAAATTTTACATCTCCCATCATTCCGCTTGCGCGCCATTAGTTAGACGACTAAATACGCTTTTCATTTTCTCACAGCAAAATTTTTTTGTTTATATTTTGATTAAAAAATCAGCAAAGCTAAATCTGAAACCTGAGGTCTTTTGAAGCTGGACGTAATACTCCAAGAGGTCAGGAGAAAATGTGCTTTTGAAGGAGTCTGGTGCAGACTTTCGCGATAGCGAGTAAATCAGTGGAAACACTCAGACACGTGATTTTGTGGTTATCTCTTCTACGTGGATCCTCTTAGCGTTTTCGATTGTTGCAATTTTATTCCTACATTGAAAATTCAAGATTGCTTTTGATTCGAAGTTTCCTTCCTCCCAAAATCGTACTGAGAGTTACTTAAAGATAAAACTGCTTTGCTCTTAAAAATAAAGTTTGAAACTACAATTTAGAGCTTGAAAGAAATAATTGCAAGTCCAGTGCAAAGTTGAGTCCGTTTGATTTACCTTTGGAGTTTTGTGGTCATCGACATAAACCCACCTTCATCTCAAAAAAGAGAAAAAATAGCCATAGACTACCGAAAAGGATTTTCTTCATTTATTTACCCAAAAGCTATATTTTCGTTGTATGCAATGGCGGAAATCGTGAGATGAACTGATGCTGCAATTCGTATTGTATCAGTTGTATCAAAAGCTTTGATTTTTTTCCGGCTAATATTCTTCCTCAAAATACCACCCAAAGAATTCAAGAAATCGGCGAAAAATTCGTCAAGCTAAAGAATAAGGACCCTACGCAGCACGAAACAAATAAACACTGATAGTATGCAAATGACTGCAAACTCTACAAGTAGAAGAAAAAAATTTAAACATTATCAAATTTTTCTTGCAACCCCAAATTAGAGGATTTTTTTGTTTATTCCACTCGGAATTCGGTTATGAGAACAAATAACCGTGTATTTCATCCCCAAGAAAAAAAAGTAAACATCCACTACAAGAAGAAATTTTTGTTTGCCGGACAAAAGTTTAAAAAGACAACCTGTCGTTCGGCATCCATGTTGCATTTGTGGATGTTGCAGTATTATGGTATTTTTTCGCGTGTCTAATTGACTACTTATTGCTGTTATCTGATAAGTTATTATAACGTCGCTTCACATACCGAAAATTGACGAAATAACTTTTTTTTTGCTCTAAGAGGAACGAAAGAACACATATTAATTTCGTTATGTTTTGTTTGATATCACTTTTGTTCTGGAATGACATCTCTACCTTAGATGTCTCGACAGATAAAAGCGGCTTACGGAAATCCTATTGAGTGAGCATTTGCTAAAACAATCAGTCTAATCTGCTCTTGACTCACTTTAAATTTCCTTTTCATAGAATATGCTATGAGCGAGAGGGATAGACGAATTCAATTGATTCACGAAGCCTTGTCTTCCGATGGCGATGGTTCATGCAGATTTCGTGGGAATGAAAAAAACCGCTTTGACGACAAATTCCCACGAGCAGTTTACGGAGAATAAGAATTGAGCAAAGAGAAATCTAATACTATTTGATATTGGTATTCCATTAGATAAAGTAGCCATAATTCGAAGAGTCTGTAACAGGCTCAACTTAAGATTATCCGTCAAAACAAAGCATGTAAGCAATAATCCAAAATTCCATGGTACCACTGCCCTGAAAATATCTGAACTGTTCCCAGCTTTAAAGTTTTGATTCATTTTTTTTTGTTGAGCTTCAGTAGGTGTACAAAATTGAAGTGACCTAATAGGTTTTATTCGTGAGATCGTTAGGATCCTTGATATGACTACCATTGGCGCTATATGTGGAAATTTTGACACTGTTCACCCATATCAAATCTTGGAGCTTGATCCTTGGAATTCGAGAAATTGTGACGATTCAGATTGTACAAAATAAAAGCTTATATGCAAGATAAAAGGAAAAAGATGAGGTAAAAATGAGAGTTTCACGAAGAAAACCGAACTGGCGTGACGCGCGCTCAGACGTTGTTTAATTTGTAAGCTTCACGATATAGCAAGTGACGTAAATGATTTTCGCGCGTGCGAGTGACAGTGTTTTGTCGTATAGCTCAAGAAAATCGAATTTTGAACATTTTTGTGACCAAGATGGCATTACAGCATTACCTTCTGGTGTTTTTTTACATATTTTAAAACGTAAAATATTTTTTTTGGAACCGGGCTTACGAACAGAGCGCGCTCGTGAAAATATCACGATGAAAGTTAAATATAGCCTTGTTATAATAAATGACAGACAAGTTGATAAACTTACGCTCATCTTAAGGTTCAAGACAAAAGAAGGAGTAATTTTTTTTAGCAAATAACGTTCATGATTTTACGTGCGATCTCTGTATCATAACTTACTAACTCGTTTCATTGCATTGAGTCTGTGTTCGGTTTTCATAGAGTGACGATTTCCCCTGCTGATTGTCCTAACATGAAGTACTTGTTAATATTCGCTACTTTAGTCTGCATCGAATTTTACATTTGCGATGCAGGGATAGACATTGGAAATCAAGTGAGAAAACTTCTATCATTTAAAAAAACACACTAGTAATTCAGCAATCATGGCATTGCTCTTTTTAAAGGCTAAAAAGGCTATAAAAGTCATCATACGTTACGGATTAGTTCTGCATCCAACAGTTCCTATATGGAACAACTCACTTCAGCTTCCACAGTAGATCAACTGTTTGACTAACCTTCCATTTGTTTTATACTTTCAAAGCAATAACAGACAGAATGATTTTCACGGTTTTTTATTGCATTGTATCATTCTTCAGGGGAAATGTGCTATACCTGGAAATCCTATTAACATCAATGTTCACGGAGGAGATGGGACAAAGGTAGAACCATTTTTAATGTTCCATAGTAAGTACTTCACAAAAGAACTTTAAAAGACAAAAAAATCATTTTTACGAAAGATTTGCTGTATTACTTTGCGTGGAATTTTTGTCTCCAACGCTAGGTTTTTGCCAAAATGTAATCATAGCGACGTCTTTGAATGCGCTTTCGCAAGAGTCTTTGTCCTCAGTAGCCGTGGTAGTTCTTTGTATAAACTGGTCAAAGCCGTCTTGAGATACTCGTTTCCCAGTATGAATGAACCTTTTTAAAAGAGATTAGGATCAGCCAAAAGGGGAAGAGGATTATGAAAGATGGAGAGGATTAAAACGGATTTTATCTGAGATATTTAGGCTTAATTTCTTAAGACCTACAAGCCATAACATATTTTAGATCTTCAAGTTATGTTGATGCACTTTTGTAGTTTAGTATGGTTAATTTTGTTTGTCCTTAAGTCAGCCGTTAACATTAAGGAAACACGGTTTGTGTTTTCTATTGTCTAATACATCACAGGCTGGTAAGGGCGAAAAAGGAGACAAGGGGGACCCTGGGTCAAAAGGAGATAAGGGAGATAGTGGAGCCGCTTCTTGCAAATGTCCTTTGCAGGTAACAGATATTTTTTTAAACTGTTTGAGGATCGTACGTGATACCTTAATGTGGAACGGTATTCTAATTTTTTTCTAGCCTCGATTACGGGGAAAGTTTCTATTTCTTGCTTGCGAAGAACTAACATATATGATCATGACCTTTTATTTGAATGCTTTTAAACTTGAAAGTTTAATAGCCTGCTTACCAAATTTGAAAATCTCAATCTGGGGGTTAATTGGAGTTCTTCATGTATCCAATCACTGCCTTAAATATTGTGACCAAAGTATTTGCAAGAAAATGTGACCATTTTGCAGCGTGTAACTTTTAATCGTTGTTTTTCATCGCCTCATATTAATTCTCTTGTTTTCATAGGATCCAACAAAACCATCCGCACACCTTGAAGGTGCCAACAAAAGGGATGTAACCTATCAAGTAAATAAAGGTATATACATTTTATTCTATGAGATAGCTGGATATCAAGGGGGAAATGAATAAGGACTAGTTGACTTTTGTGTAAAGCAGGTTTGTATACGGTTTAAAACTCTTTGGTCTGATTATTTTCACAAAGTTTAGCTGTTGTTTAACAAATTCACGTCCTAAACAATTCTCAATTTAGCGGAACCTTTTTTTGTAAATAGCGTCGAGAAGACAAAGAGCAAACAATGGAAGGACAATTGTTGCATTAATCAAACCTCTTACAGAGAAAGCCTGAAGCCCACGGATTGCGTAAAACCGTGGTTTGGGTTAGACCTCGAGTAAATAACGGGCCTTATCTATTTCAAGAATCGATAGCTTATAATCAGTTTTTTAAGTTTAAAAGGGTTTTCGACGATATCAAAACACAGTAAGTGTAACTTGATAAATTGTACGGAATTGCAGTATCCTCCTAATAAGTCCTATGCTGCTCGCAAAGGTCAGATAACTACTGGAGGATTTGTATATTCGGGTCAATGTTTGAAAATAGTTATAGGGAGGGAGAGGGGCAGAGGGCGGACTCAGGAGACTCGTTTCTCAATTTTGATATCATGCACCTGCGGATTTTTTGTTTTTGTAACTTATTGACATATTCCGTTTTCGATTGCAGTGATAAAGGACTGGACCTTAAGTGCACCGTACAGTCATCTCGCAGGTGGTATGAAATACCGAGATGGAAAACTCACCGTGCCCATCTCAGGACGGTACTACATCTACGAGCAGATCTACTACCGTGGCCACAGAGGCAAACCAGTCAGGATTTCTCTCTTGGTTAATAACAAAGTGGTCGTCATGGTACAGCCTCCTCAGACCCTACGAAAATCTAGTTTCACTTTTTCGACTGGAGGCGTCTTCTACCTGAAGGCTGGTGACGTCATCACTGCAGCTACAAATCGTGTAGGGATTGCCTACATGTATACCTACCACAGCTTCTTTGGCGCATTTTTGATTTGAAAGAAGTCATTTTTCGCGATGTTTGCCAATGAAGATTGTGATTCTATTGTTGTTTTTGGTGATGCATTAAAAGTTGATCAGTGAAAATGATGTCTTATTTGATTAGTTTGCGCTTTCGGACCAGCTATTGTTTATCGCCCAGGGTGGGGTGGGGAATTTGGGGAGGGGGGGATTACACAGGTTTCAGGGGAACGGGGGTGAGATAGTCGTCGCCAGCGAAGCACTAAGGGGAGCATAGAAAATTGACTGCCAACGAGGGGGAGGGGGAGGGGGAGGGGGATTCATAAGATTATTTCAGAGCTTTATGGGGTGAACGGGTAAATTTTTTAGGGACTCAACCAAAATCCTCTGATTCCCACAGGTGGTTAATAATGAGCAGTCCCTCGATGGGTTGAGTGTCGCAAAGGTTGACCTTATCTCAGAGTTTTACACACACACCAACCCTGTAAAAATTATTGAATTTTGATCTTGAAAAGTTTTTTTCATCCAATTTGCAATAGATTAAGACATCTGACGAAAACAGAGTAGCCGGGAGCAGAAGTGGCAATGTCAGAACAACAAAATCTTAAAATGTGTTTTAATGAAAATTTCATTCCCCTATTTACACACTTAATTAAAAAGTAAGGCAGCCTTACTGTCTTCCCAACCAAGTCTTGCGGGCGAAATTTGGATAACAACACTGCATGATATGGATTCAACGACTGAAATGGAAAAGAACGCTATAATGAAAAATTACAAATTGTTTAGAAATGTGTTATCTTGAAACGAGATTCCTTGCAAAAGTTTCGATACCCTCGTCCACATTTTCTTCAAAGTCTGAGATCCACGGATGGTTCAATGCCTTGAAAGCAGTTACTCGCTTGTGAGGATAAACCACCAACATTCGTTTCACGAGATCTTTTGCGTCATCCGACACTCGGTCCCAGTAGCGCGCAGGCAAGCTGTAACATCCCTCCACAATAAGTAACATCAGTTTCCTATCATCGCTGTGCCAAAATGGAGGATATCCCACGAGTAATAAAAACAGAATTACTCCGCATGCCCATATGTCAACCGCTGGACCGATAGGGTCCGCTAAGATTGTTTCCGGCGCAAGATAGAGAGGCGTGCCCTCCGCTGTACATTTGATGACGTCACAATCGTCCGGAAGTCGCCGCGCAAGTCCAAAATCTGTAAGTTTTACGACGAGTTTGCCATCCTTCTTTTCTAGAAGGATATTATCTGCCTTAATGTCTCGATGAACAATCCTTTTCCGGTGAAGATACTTGAGGCTTTCAATGAGCTGAAAGATAAACATCGCAAAGAATGAGTGCGAACAAGATGCATTTCGTCCTCTAACGATTGAATAGTTGTAACGCAACAGCTATCAAGCGAACGATCAGCCAAGTGTATTTAGTGGCCAGATGTTTTTAAAGAATGTTAAATGATGTGAAATCTCTGTGAAATGAGTATTTTTTTTATAAGGAAACAAGAAGCGTAATGCGCATTTGTTATGATTCTTGTCAACAAGGCATGATAAACGCTTTAACTTCCAAATAATGAAAGAAAAAATCTTAAATCCTGGTTCTTAGTTTCGAAAAATGTTCTCCTTATTTTTATCGTCATAGCTAAATGTCCACATCTGCAAAACTTGGAACCCAAGATATGTAATAAATTACTTAACAGCCGGAGCAAAGATCTAAGGGATTCCTCTTGTCTCACCTGTTCCATCATCCCTCGTGTTTCTTCTTCAGAGAAAACAATCTTATTTACAATTTCGTCCAAAAGCGTTTTTCCGTTTACGAGTTCTAACACCACCCAAATGTGGCCGTTTCCGTAAAAGCGTTTGTATAATGAGACAATGTTGCGATGCTGCAAAGTCCTCCAAATGTCCACTTCGTTGTTTATAACCTCTCTGTCAAAATTAGCCTCTTCAGTTTGAAATTCCTTCACTGCAAAACATTCACCTGTCTTTCGCTCCGTGCATTTGAACACTTTAGCAAAGGTTCCTTGTGCTATGAAGTCTTTCATTTCAAAATCTTGACAAAATGTCCGTAGCTCTAAGCTCGCCATGTTAGACTAATGGCTAATGCGGTAAGGAACTGTTGAATCCTGCAAAATAAACAAGTCGATGAGCCTCTTGGTGTTTTATTTACCCCTCAGCGAGTGAATAAGTCTTTTATAATAGAGATGGGTTGAATCGTATCGCTTCATTACAATCATCACGTCCTTCACAAGAAAGAAATGCTCTCAGACCGAAGCCTCAGCGATGTGACGTTGGGTCCCTCAGTAATAAATGTCGCCTCAGGTGTTAGTTACGGCAGATAAGTCGGCAGGTGGCGTCAATCTTGAATGTTGTCGCGTTAGTCAATAAATGGCCTTGGGCTTAATTTTTTTTTTATTTCGCAATTTCGCAAGTTAAGAACGCATTCACGTACATACGATTTTCAGGAATAATTTGTTGAGCACATTTAGATCTATATCTGTGTGTGTCAATAGAGCTTGGAATTTCCAAACTGGCTTGGTGACCAAATAATCGACGCAGTGGCTTGGGTTTACAAAGATAGAGTAAGATGGTATCTATAAACTCGTTACAAATCGCGATTGTGAAAGATTGAATTGATTGAATCAAGAATTATGCTTAATTTTGATTTGCAAGAGAAACAAGTATATGATTGATAGCTGAGCCGGTGTTTTGATACTCGCGGAAGGAAACCATTCCAACACGATCACAGAAAAGCAATACTTACTCAAAGAGGAATCGATGTGATCATTAAGCCAATTAGGTCTAAACCTTGGTCTTAGTTAAAAATGAACTTCACAAGTATATCGAGTCGATCTTACCTCTGAGCGATAAAGAATTGTTTTGTAGATTCACGCGTGTCACTCTCGGCTTTATATACAAGCACGTTTTATCTCGAAGCACGTTTCTACATATGGAACATGTTTCAATGCATCAACAACATTATCAAGTGACCGAAGAACTGAGTTATTTCATGACCTCCCAGAATTTACCGGCGAGCGAGATTCTTTGTAACTTTGTGGTAGCTGTGAGGCGCTCTTGCGGTTTCACGAACGCTCTGGCATAACTTATTCATTGATATGACAGTTGTGGCTGACTTTTAGCCCTTGATAAGGAAACCGCTAAGTGCGTGACGCAGCCGCCTTACGGAACACTGGTCACATTACCAGACAATTAACAACAGCATGACACGCCACAAACAGCCTTGAACGGAAGGCACCCTTAAAATATTGCACGACTCAGTCAGAAGTCTAGCATGCAATACTTGTCGTCTTCACGTATAAAAAAAAATTTGTCTCGTCAGGAGGGTAAAATTCGTGTTTCTTCGCTATGTTATTCAAGCATCACAAGTAACGAAGCGTAAACAAGTAATACATTAAGTACTGATAAAATCACGGATTACTTTCTCTAGATTTTGTATAGTTCCGTCTTAACAGCATTCTGTTAAGAGATTTAATTTTTTTGATAACAAACTGGATTTAACTGTTCAACTGAATGTACCTACTCGGAATGTTACTGCATTTTAACGCTGATTTGTACAAGTAGTGATGTGCTATTTTAGTATTTGAATAAAAGCAATTGTAAGGGCGGTAACTTGATTCAGTTGATCTAAATTTAGAAGGTTTACAAACAGCAGTGAACCAGAGAATATCGGTGTATGTCTAACTACAATCAAGAAATCACTGGAACTTTCAGGTTTTCCTCGGCTACACGTAGTAAACATCAACCCAACTTCTTGACTCTCGACTTAAGCTGTTGATTTGCAAAGACGTTCTTGTAAGTTTTTAAGAATTCATTACGAGGAACAATCAAAAAGTGTTCTTTCTAGCCAAATCTTAAAAGATGCTTTGTCGACCGATAAGTGTTGTGGCTGAGTCATTATTTTGCTTATTAGGTCTATTTTTTCTATATATTTGTGATACACTTTGTAGTCCGTGTGTGGGAATGCAAACAAAAACAATCCATAACATCATTTGATAGGTTTTTCGGACACATTGCCTGGGGTGAAACATGGCTCGAAACAAGAAAATGAAACAATCTGAAAGGGGTCATTCTGGATGATACCGCGGTATATTGTTAATGTATTATAAAAAGGAAAAAAACAAACAAACAAAAGAGAAAGCGTTAACATTTTCCGGAGTTTAGCATCGGCTAAAAATACGGCGAACTTTAGTCTGCAGTGCGGCTTTATAAACCACGGTGAGACAAACTGGAAAATTTGGAAAGGAGGAAATTACATAAATTTGAGCTATTTGTAGTAATTTTATTCAGAGACACGTAACACCCTTTTTTAATGGAAAAAAGACAAAGCATTAAAAGGAAACAGAATAGTAGCAGTTTTCGCCATATTTGTGGCATACCGTTAGATGTGATATAAAAAAAACTCTAATAAGGGCGTGTGTCAAGCTCTTCAGACAGGATATGTCTCGTATCTTTGCTATGCTATCTTCCGTGACTGTTGAAAGAAATTCCAAATAAAGAGGAAAGATTATCCTCTAAAAATCACCTCAAATCCCTCGTTAGATAACTTAACGGAGAGGCTTAAGACAGTTCTGGGGGTCCTAATGACCAAATCCAATAAGCTGTTCAGCTGACTTTCAAGTAATTCATTGATCAGTAACAAATTTATAAGAATATTACCGAGGTCTGGTATATTCAAACGTCAATTTCTTTCCATATATACTTGAACTTGGCAATGGCTTCAGGTGGAGATAAAGGATGAAACGTGAGTAATCTTTATCGAAAAGGTCTGTTTGTTTATTATTTTTGTCGTCGTAGAGTGGGTTGTGAATTGACAAACCAAAGACGAGCACAGAAAGAGCCGTATTTCCATAACAATAGGGGTGAAAATTTCAATATTACGCTGGCTGTGAACAGTATTATTTGTGTAAACATTTGGTTAAGTACAAGCAAAAAATAAATAAAAGGGAAAATATTGTTGGTGCATGCGACCTTTCCTTTTCTCGTCACGTACCCTTTGCCTTAAAACCTCTCATGACTTAAGCTCTCCCACTCACCCGCAAATAAAATCACGCAAATTATATTCAGACATGCCACTCCTCTTCACTTGATGAGCAATCTTAACAAGGTTCGGCTTCTAAAGTGACTTTGAAAGGCGTACCATCGTCTATTCTTGGAGTTGTTATCTGAAATCTTTGAATAGAAATTTAATTGATTTCCATCAGATAACCAACCGCGCTTTGGTGTTATCAGTGTCACATTGAACTTCATTCCTAAACGAAACAATATGCATGTTCATGATCGAAATTTAATCATTTTCAGGTACGTCAAGACAGAGCTTAATCCTCCCTTCCCCACCCTCATCCTGTCTAAAAATGGAAAACGCCCTAGCACATATACTCATGCCATGTTTGCACATAACAGTTTCCTCTGGAACTTGTTTGTTATCATTGAACAGGTTATTAAGACTTTTGTCACGTTTTGTGCCTCAATCACATTACTTTTACAGTCTTCTTCATCCTCAGTTATTGTTGGTCCTTCTTGATTTATCATTATCAATTGTGTATTTTTCATTTTAAGAACTAAATATCTTACAATCTTGAAGGTTGAGAAATGATTCGAAATGACTCTTGCAAGTCATGTTCTACTAAGTCAATTGTTGTAGTGATCATGTTATTACACTAATAAAGCAAAAGAATGATCCTTCCAGGTGGATTACAAATTTTAGTAATTGCAAGTTTTCATTGGATGAATTGTAATTGGCGAAAGTGCGGTTGGGAATCCTTCTGTGATAGAGGATCAAATCTGCTAACATCTCGAATTCCAGAAAGAGGGACTTTCGATGCTCGTCGAGTTTGCTTGAAACTTCCGAAAATTAAGTTATTGTATCTGATGAGTCTCTGGCCGAGACACAACGCCACTTCATACCAGCCACGAAGTATCTCAGCGTTCACTATTGCCGAAAAGAAGCTTACAAGATTCAGGCCTCGACGGGATTCGAAACCGTGCCTCCCGGATACTGTTGGAGCGCTTTTAGCAACTGAGCTACGAAGCCACACGCTGATAACGAGGCAAATTCAGGACGGTTGTTCTTTACGAAGAGGAATTTATCTCATTACAAGTTTTTATCACACTTAGCTGTGCTACGTATCTAAACACACAGAAAGCGCATTTGATATTTGGTAATCCAATGTTTTAAGGCTATTTTATTAAAATGAAACAATCCCAGCCTCGCAAGGGATATCATAGTTGCGGTTTTCTTCGCGGTAAATCTTGAAATGACAGGCAAATACTTTTCATTTCTTGGTTTAGGTGGTCTGCTAACAATAATATTTTTCCAAAGGTGATAATTTAGACCACATAAGGCTTCCAATTGGAACTTTTACATCCCCAACCTGATAAAACAAAACAAAAGATGCAGGTGTCAAACCACGAAATTGAAAGTGGGAGAGAAGAATTGTGAAACTTGATTATGCGGTATAATCCACTCTCAATTCATTGTGATAAAACGCTAATCTAGTGTTGAACATAATGATCATGTTACTCGTAAGCCCCTTGAGCTAGTGGACCTTATCGGCTCATAATAATAGTTGGTCTATTAATACAACATGGACACGTTATTATCGGATGATACGCATTATTTCTGGGGCAAAGGTTACGATGGAAGAGTCGCCAGGCAGTCTGTGAAGCTTTGCATAACTCATTCTCCCCCTAACCAAATGAAACACAGATCTTTTAGAAGAATAGCTCATTTCCTATGTAAAATGTTTCCTTGCTTAATGGCGTGGAAATAATTATCTTTGTGGGAAAGAGATGAGAAAGGGAGAGTGAAAATGGAAGTGTTGTACAACCTTGCGTTGGATGAAAAGCATTAAAGACAAAACAAAAGAACAGGCGGTTACGCAGTTTAAGCACCCGACTTGTTGCTTCGTTGAATGATGACAATCAACCTTTTTTTTTTCCTATAAGCGGAGCAAAACCCTTTTAAGATTTCAAAGGACCGCCGTCAAAAATGATGTATGATTGAAACCCAACGCACGCGAACTAAAATGACCAACTGTAAAGGTTGAAAGTATTGATACCTTTAACATGTTCAACTTTTGCATCTTATATCCGTTACAAATGGGTATTGATGTTTTTTTAGCCTTATCCCATGCAAATGATAGTTAATTGTGGAAAAGGGAGAGCAATAGATCACTTGCTATAAATCAAATAGAGACAGGGATATTACCGACTCTGAAGTCACTAGCTCCTTTCATGCGCGGAATCAACTCGAACTTCAATCTTCGACAACAAAGCGAAGCGATACAAGGAGATGCCACGAGATCCGATGTGGTGCGTTCTTGAAACTGATAAATTGGAAAATTAAAGGCAAACACCTGACAGTAGAAACGCAAGCACCGAAAGCACTCAGTTTCAGAAACGAAGGCACCGAAAGCACTCAGTTTCAGAGACGAAGGCACCGAAAGCACTCAGTTTCAGAAACGCAGGCACCGAAAGCACTCAGTTTCAGAAACGCAGGCACCGAAAGCACTCAGTTTCAGAAACGAAGGCAAAACTTAAAAGATAATCAGTGCAATTTCTATGCCGAAACATCTTTACAGATGCACACAATAGATTATGACCGAGGAAGAAAAATCACCCCTCTATGAAAAAAAATTGAAGGTCAAACAAAATGAAAGAAACTGTAAAAAGTTACATATAAGGAGCTTCATTTTTTTAGGCTTCCTAAAAAAATGTTTCCATGTAATCTGCTTTTACCGGATCATCATCAAAACGGCCTATAGCAAGTGGATCAAAGAAAGTATGCGTTTAGATCAGGTATTCAAATCAAATTAGATGCTAATGAAAGAAGGAAGCTCGTATACGAAATCGAATTAAATCCCTTATTGCGTTCAACGTTGGACAACGCATACTTTGGATGTCGTTTTTCAGTCCCACGTGTCTTATGACATCCCGCGGGTATTGATCTGAAGCTAGACTGTTTCCAGGCTGGACTGTTTCAACTTTTCGACGCCATGTTGGACTGACTGACACACGTGGCCTCGATCTCACGCGGGTATATATATTTATATGTACTCCTTGGGAAAATATATATATATATATATGCAGTTAGATGCAGTTATATATATATATATATATATATATATATATGAAATGCAATTATTTGATCGAATGACATAAGTTACTACAAATTAGAACTGTGAGGGGCGCTCCCATTTCATTCCATTTTTTTCTTGCAAGACGTGGGAATAACAGTTTTGCAGCTTTGCAAGGACACTTGAAGATTTTGATTTGGGATCCAAAGATTTTGGCTGGGTTAAATAAAATTTACCTAATTCCCCCTAAGGCCCTTTAGTAACCTCAGTTATGACCCCTTCCCCCCCTCGTTAGCAGCCATCATATAGTTCGCCTTTATGCTCTGTTGGGGACGACTGATACCCCCTCTGTTCCTTCTGAAAACCATGTGACCCCCCCCCCCCCCCAAAAAAAAAAAAAAAAAAAAAAAAAAAAAAGAAAAAGACTTTCTTATTTCCGTGATATTAATTGCAATGGAACAATATCTGTAATCCACTGAAAATTCTTTTAGCATTGTGTTGAGGTTATATTTGATTGTCTGCCAGACTTTCATTTGTTTTACTAGATTATCATCGAAAAAAAGGCATGCAAATTCTTAAAACCCTGGTAACGTATTAACTATTCTTTGGTTCCTATTTGTTTCAAGGACAATAGAGGTCATTTTAACTTATTTGTTTTGCCTCTGATTTTGTAGGCACCCTTTGTTGACTTAGAAACGAAAGCACATGGACCGAATAAAGGTATTGCGATAAAGTTCTATTTGACATATATTGACCAGTTTTGAACTGATTTTTAGAAAATGTAAACAACTGGAGAAAAAAAAAAATACACTGAGCGTGAAACAGGGCTGAAAGACGGAAGCTGTTGTTACTGGATATGTAGAAACTACGTTATATCAAACTTTCTGTGGAAACAAAAAACAGCTTAAGTTATTGCATGTATACAATCTCGCTCACTTCAATTCGATTACTTTAGTGCAATTCCCGCTCGATAGAACTAAGAACATCAAGTTGCCTTGAAGAGTATTGCCAGTCATTTTCTGTTTTTTCGAACTGTTTGTCGTTGCATTCTTCAGTTTTATTCGGCGTTATTGATACGGGGAGCTCTAGGTGACGAATGACGACGTTGAAAGGAAATTGTTTCGCGTTGGAGCGGGTAGAAGCCGGTTAAAGTTTAGCGATTTTGTTTTTACCTGTGTACCATATCGATCAGGAAGTGGCGATATTTATTACCTCGATGGAAGTTACAGAAGTCAACACTAATAAAATGAGATACAAAATATTTTAAAAAACATGAGGGTTAAGATAAGAAAGAAAAGTCTTTGGAGACCGACTGGCGTCTTCCATTTGTATTTTAAGAGTGGAAAAGTTAAAGTCCAGTCGCTCAAGATTAGTTTTGTTTACAGAGCTTCTGACAACAGGAACAGAATCTAAAGGAGCCGCCTCACAGCCATAAATAGCCAAATTTAAATACGAAGTACAGCATCGACACGAAACATTCTTCATTCTCAAGTGATTCTCAAGAGATAGCAACTGCATTTAGAACTGCATTTAGGGAATCCGGCAAAGAAGTTGTTCTGGAATTATTTGGTTTGTAAAACTCTGCTCCAACTTAAACAAGAGAACGTAAGTTACAGAAGTTAAAGAGCTTTTATCGTTCAGTAATCTTTAGTTAAGGCATTTGGATTACACTTATTGAAATAATAATGATACTAAAAACAATATGAAAAATAATTAGTAACACAGTCATCTGTAACACGGTAAACTGACGGAATCGAGACGGCAGTAATGGGACTAAACACAAAATTTTGGAACTCAGGATCATGATGGACACTGTTTAAGTAAGTGACGGAGATGCATCCCGGGAAAGCGAAATTTTGTCAGCGACAGAATTGTTTAATTTACTATCATTATTGCATATAGTTGACCGATCGGCTGGATTTAAAAATGAAAAATGAAAATATTCGCTGTTACGTTTCCACTACCACTGATTCCGAAATATGATACAAAAAGAAGACGGATATACCTCTTTTCGAAACTGGTCTACACTGGTAATCGCTTTGGCTTCAGTCGCATTTTCGCGGAACTTTTGTGCACGCATGAGAGTCTTAAGTCTGACAAGCCGTCGTTTGTGTGTTTAGTAGCTATCGATAGCTAAGTTTCAGTTGTCCGAAAATGGTCTTGTTAATGTCTTTGCTGGGCATTCCTAGCTCAAACTAAAGTTAGAAAGTCACTAACTACATCATGTACAATTTATAGATGTCTGCAACGTGACCATTATTTCTTCCCACTGAAACGCAAATGGTTAAAACGGCTGGCTTCATTCTAATATCATGCATTAGCATTGCTCGATTAAATTTAGCGAGAGTATGATTTTTGTTATACTCGAACGAATGACGAGTCTCATACAGGTAGCTGAAAGGTAGAAACTGATTTCACCATCGTTCCTTCCAAATTAAAATGCCCATAAAAAAGGAAGGAATTTTGAACTATGTAAAGCTTTAACCGTTCAATTAGGCTGGAGCTTAATTTTGGGAGAATGCCTTAAAATACTCCATTGAAAATTAACGTGTAAAACAATTTTTTTTTCTTGGTCTTCTCTTCACATTCGATCAAAGTTATCTGCTGTATAATGATTACTTGACATAATTTTGGGTCAATCAACTTTCCCTGACGCCTCAAAAACAAAATACTTTCTTGAGAATTGAAAGAAACGGAAGTGACTAATATTTCTTATTATACATTTCGAAGGCGCAATACATTTAGCAGTTCTCTGAATTTCTGATAAAATGAACATCGCTCCAGATGTAATAACTTTCAGTTCTGGGCCTTTTTAGATTTCTTCTCAGTTTTTCATCTTTTTTAAGGATAATGAGCAATCAGTTTCGTTCGCTCTTTCAAGAATGACTAAATCAATTAATCATGACCTATTTTTCAGGTAACATTAATTAGGAATATCTCAAAGATATTTTTTTCACCGACAAGGGTTTTGCATCGTCAGAATATGGTTGTTTTGCCATTCACTTTTATTTTTGCCCATTCGTAAAACTGTCACTCGAGAAAACGCTGGCGACAGCTCCTTCATTTTAGGAACGTTCTTTCCATTGGCCTCTCATAGTTGTATTTAAGCGCGCTTCGAACGAGTATCGTAAAACCGAGATCAAAGCAGTCATGATTGGCCAATATTATGATGATATTGGCCAATCATAAAAAGAGGAAATATATTGGGGAGCCAAAGAGACCTCAATATACAAAACAAAACTGCGTGAAGCACGGGAAAACGCTATTGACTAAGTCACGATTGGTATTAGTTTTGTATTTGATTGGTTGAGAGAGGATCGAGAATTCTGAACTAATCACAAAACAAAGAAGAGCAAATGGAACGCAAGCTCAGACTTCTTATGACTCCCTATTCGACATTTCTCTGAATACGTTTTCTAATTGATTGGTTGGTCAAAAAGGTGATTTACGTTCAATTGATGAGCTGAAAAACCTAACCATTTAGAGTTGAGATCTGTTCGTCGATCAACTTTCCTACAACTATATCGAGAGTGGCCACTTTTTGTGGTAGCTTTTCACCACTGAGTTTCGCCAAATTTGCTGCCAACTTGGCGTGATTATTCAAAACTTCCCTTTCTGAGAATTTGTCTTTGTTTGAGCTCGATAAACATTCTTGTTTGAAAACAATTAGAGCCGACCAGCCGCGTAAGCACGAATCTGTCACCACTGTGATTAGCTTCAGCGTTACAGTCATAGAGACCCCAAAAGCAATTCAGCTCACGCTATTTCGGCTGAACTCTGCCTCGTCATCACCCGCCTGGTTATTCGCCCGCCCGTTCTCTGTGGGTAATTAATTAATTAATTACTGGTAATTCACATTAATTCGGTTATTTTTCAGCCCAGCCTCCTACTTAATGTTGACTTAACCCAAAGGGACGTATATCTTATAGTTTGATCTTTATCTTTCTGATAGCTGGCATTCCCGGGTGCGTGTATACGATAGCTTTTATTTTACTCACTATTTGTCGAATGAACTAACTTCACTACCAATACTTCTGTTGCCCATAACTTAAACAGGTAATTTACCATGTTTGGCTTTGCGTATAGATATATCAAGAATAACTGCATTCATAGAGGATAAATCAAACAAAAATGCATTACCTCTGACGGTCTTATACCAAATTGTCTAAGGGCGTCATTTTGCCTAGACTTTTTCATAGTCAATGTAGCTTGTTCTTGATTTAGACAGTGAGCTTATTTCATGACAGCAAACTGCGTGAACAGAGATTTTTTTAGGAGTCAGTAGGAGACAGATTTTCAGTGTGTTGTGTTAACTAATGGTTCCTGATGTCAGTTTGTGATAACAATCAATACAAAGGTGTCAATTCTGCAATAATGCGTTGAGGCTTGTCGCAACCGCCCATTTCACTTTTGATTTCTAAGAATTGCAAACAAGTATGTTATTTTAATGGTTCCATTACCTGATGTCAGTTTGTATTAACAATCAATACCAAGGTGTCAATACTGCAATAATACGTTAAGGCTCGTTGCAATCCGCGCATTTCACCTTTGATTTCTAAGAATTGCAAACAAGTATGTTATTTTAATGGTTTTATTTCCTGATGTCAGTTTTTATTAACAATCAATACCAAGGTATCAATGTTGCAATGATAACGTTGAGGCTTGTGGCAGTCAGCTCATTTCACTTTTGAATTACAAACAAGTATGTTATTTTGGTCATAAATGATCAAAAATTTTGATGGAGGAAGTTTGATGATTCTAATCCTCCTCGAATCACTCGGTTGTGCTTTAAATTTCAAGTAGAAACGAAAGTTATTAAATGAATTATAATCAAACAGAACGCCATAATTCGAAGGAATTAAATTTCATAGGCTCTGAATAATTATGTCGCCCTATTTAGCATTACCATATAATGCTAAGCGACATAATTTATCGTGAAAGAAAAGACAAATGAAGGAGTCAAATACAGAATTTATTGCCTTGCATCAGCCATATCTTAATACAGTGCTTTATATTTAACCTCAATATGCACTTTATCATGACTGACGTATTAGGCCAAAAAACAAAAGCAACAAAGGTGATAACAGATTAAGACAATCATATTTATCAAGCAGCTTGTTGAAATTGACTTCTGATTGCGGAAGTTGATTTTTCCTACGTCGTAGATATTGGGCTGTCATTCACGTTTTTCCGACTGCCGTACCTGCGGCGCCGTAGAAAAACTGTTTGGCTTTCCGCTTTTGATTCACCGCTGAATTAAACTTTCATTTCATTTGCAAGTTCATAAAAAGGAGATTACTAGCGTTGATCTTCTGAGTCCAACAAGTTGAAACAATTACATTTCAATCGTTCAGAATTTCCAATAAACTGTTTTCCGTTCCACTAACTCTATACTTTCGTCTAAGGCTAGCGATGCTGATACGAGATACAAATCGCTGGATTCTCCATTATATATTTTCTCTTTTAAATGTGGGCTGTTCTATTTCGTTTCAATAATACCTGGAACTCTTTAGATTTGACCGTATTGAAGTTTCCTAGTTAAAAGAGAAATCCGCTTAAAATCCTGTTAGTATAAGTTATATAAGTTTATAGAAAAGCTAGGCTCCCCAACAATCCGGAGGTTTTCATGATAACTGAAAATTTTAATTTATGTCACGAACAGTAAGAAAGAAATATCAGATGATTTGATTTCAGAACTGTCAAATGGATTGTTTTCAGCAACGACTTTTAAAACCACTTTATTTAATTTCTTCCTCGTAGTTTTAAGTTGCCACTTATGCATAAAATAGGCTTGCTTACTGATTTTATTGCCTATGCCTTTGCAAAAAACCGTTAAATTGTCCGAAGCAAACTCTGTGTGAATTTTACTTCGAACTTGCTCGGAAAAATCACCATTTTTTTTTGTAAAAGAGAACTGATCTGTCAATGTCAACTATTGAAATAATTTTGTAAAAATTGTTTTATTTGACGAGTATTTTTTTCCTTCTAGTTACGAAAAATTTTCTGTTAAGTTAATTAAATAGGAAATTGTGGAGATATTCTGATGCGTGATGCAAACTACAAGGTTACAAATCATGTATGCTTTTTCAATTTCAAGACTTTTCTTTTCCACGCAAAATACCCGGAAATTTTTCAAATATTTCCCATCGAACTTAATAAAACAAAAAAAGGCATCTCGAAAGATTGTCAGAAGAACTTCTCCAATTTTGGACGGTAGCCCACGTCATCATCGATTAGATGTTGTCATAGCATGATGCGGTACTCAAAATTTGAATTCATATCACGAACGAATTGGTACTGGTAAAATGATTTTTGAAGCTATGGCTCCTAAAATTGCGTCAAAGAACTATTTTTAGGAACCAGTAATTCGTTTTGCTAGGTATTATCTGCTTAATCTGCTGGTTGTCCCTTTGACAGGAACTAGCTTTCGAATCTTCGCACATGACAGGGTTTTTCAGCTTCTTATTCGAATATACTCCAAATTTCTGCATTGACAGGACAAGGTAAGAGAGCTTAAAATTTTCCTCATGTACAACGCACTTTGTAATACTTTTACTATAACCAGGAAAAAAACATAACACTTTAGATAAAGAGAGATAGCAGACTTTTAAAACTAAATATAAATCTGAATTTCCCATAACAGTTTTGATTTAGAATCATAAAGCATATTTCCAAGATGTCTTTTATGGAACTGTTTTTTTTTTCGCACTGATATGCGATGTTATTCGGATAAATTTTGTGGTTTAGTTGTTTCATTGGTTTGTGCCGCCTAAATGATGATTTTGTAAATGGTAAGAAACTGTGATATTCGTGGATTTTATTCGACAATATTTTTGCAATTCATGAGCGAAATGAAAGGCCACTTAAGTTTTTTATCGCAGTATCTATATGTTCTTATCTTACATTGTACGCCTATGTTTTTTTTATTATCCATGAACGCAGTTGGCCTCCTAGGAAGCTTTTGTAGTTACTCTGAAAAATTGTTCTGCCCTGAATAGATAGGAAAACTGATCCCACAACCTGACTGAGTAATATTTAAAACTAATTTCCCTGGTGAAGAAATGCCCTTAGAAGTTCTTGAAAGAAATAAATCGAGCGCAGTTTAGTATGTTATTTAGGTAAACATCTATTTCCGAAAAACCCCAAACCAGTGATATCCGGTCCAATTCATATACTTCTTCGATTCAGTATATAAATACAACATCTTTTTTGAAAACAATCGCTGTCAGATCGAAATTCGTGCCGACACCAGAACATGTAATTTCTGAATGCCAAGATATCTTGTGCATTTGATATGGTTTATTAGTGAACTTTCAATCTGAGCAAAAATATACTTGTTTTTAGCTTTAAGTTCTGAAATTTCGTCAGTTTTCGGTATGGCGTTGAAATAAACCTCATCTGTGAACACTGTGAGAAAACGAAAAAGTTATAACTACTCAATAATCTATTTTCATCCTTGGGTATTTATTTCTTATGCGGTAAATTTCTGTTTTCTTTTATTGACGTACTCTTTTACCGACGTATGAAGCAGGATATTTGTTATGGGACAGACTTCATTCCTGCGCGATCAAATCACCGGCAAATTGTTCTAATTGAGCTTACCGCAGGCGCTTTTGATCTCAAAAATGCAAACAGAATCTTTCTGACCTTTTCTCCCTAAAAGAGAAGAAAAAAAAAGTCACCCTATTTGAAATACCGCGTAAAAACTTAAGTAGTCCTTTATATCCTTGTCGGAAATAGAATGTTAGATTTTGGTGATTGCAATTTTCGCAAATCCTCCAGACAACACTCCATTTTCAAAATCCCTTAAAATTTATATTACATTTCTCACTGTTTTTCTAATTGTCATCTAGAGTCTTTTTTCATTAAGGAGGATTACTGCAAAATGAGAAACTGATAATTCTTATTGATTGCTTTGCCAATACTGACAATATGATTTGTTTCTATGGTAACTGATGTTCCAAAAACTTAAAAGTGATATAGGCCCCTCTTTTGGAATTCACAAATGTTCCTGTCTTGTCATCAGATCAGAGCTGGTCTTTCTTTTTTTATTGTTTAGTTGTAATTAAAAGAAGGCCTTGGAATATTCCAAAAGAGAATTAAGTTTCTTCATCATTTAAATGAGTTTGTCAAATCAAATTCATTTTTGAGAAGTGCCTCTTAACGCTTAAGGCTTTCCTTTGCAAAGTAGTCCGCTGTAAGGTATGGAAATAAGACAATAATCCTTTTACTTCTCAATGAAAAAAGTCGAGTAAGTCTTATGTTCAGAGGCCCTCAAATTTTAACTCACCTTTCGCCTGCTGAACTTATTTCATTACATCTGCTTCTGATGCCAATATCATTTTAGCTAAACGATTATTTTTTTCGTCTATGTGTATTCAAGGATAGTTTCCATTATGGAAGAAAAACTCAAACGAAAGCGCGCGCTCTTGCTTTTAATACCCCACTGTGTCAAATACCCATTTTTTCTTCGATTTTGTTCATAGAGAAGAATAGCTCCTTCTTGATTCAGACAGGGAGTTGATTTCAGGACAAGCAACTACACAAAAAAAGAATGTTTTTGGAGTCATTAAAAACAAATATTGTGTTTCGTAAGCTCATGGTCCCACTGACTGGTGTCCGTCAAAACAAAGTATTCAATATCGCAGTGGTAAGTGGAGGCTCATTGGAACATGTTAAGCGCTTTTTATCTTTGATTTCTGGGAAAGGAAACAAGTTTGTTGTTCAGATCTTATCAACGGTGATATATCTTTTAATGAAGGAAGTTTGCAGATTCCTCTTAACAACTTTCTTTTTGCATTTTAAAATGCAATTTTAGAACTCACTCATTTGTGCTTCACATTGCGACTTCAAGTCTTAGGAGAGTATAACTCTCATGAAAATTCAGTGAAAAAGGAAACAAGATGAAAAATCGTCACACCTAGCGTCAAAATATCAGTTACGAGATTTTATACCGTAAGTTGGTTTATCATCGTGGTAGTATAGTGCATTGCGATAACGCTGATCAAGATACACATGTGATAATGCTGTACTAGGAAAAGAGGAAAAAGAAAAAGGTGAAATATCGAGTTTATTTCCTGGCAGTAGCAGTGCCGTGTTCTATATTTATCTTTAGGATGTACTTTGTTATGACTGATAAAAAAAATAGATAACAGATTTAAAAAAAACATTTATTGAATGCCCTGTTAAAATTTACCTTAGTTGTAATGCACATTTTCTCTCATGTTCGTGTGAACTTATTCTGAAACGAGGTGCAAAACCGTAATGTTATGTATTGTGCAATATTTTCTAAATTCTAACACCTATTTTTACATTCAGTAATAGCCGGATCTTTTTCCAATTATTCTGCCAGTCAGGAAAAGTTCTCCTAGTTTGCACAACATCCTACGCCACCAACCATCAAATGTTGTCATAACAGACATGACAAACGTTTCCATAACAGACATGAGGCATTTGAATTCGTATCGTCAACTGTATTTAAACTGAGATACGAAAAATATTGGTTTTTCTTTTAGAACTATAACCTTTGATATTGCTTCAGAACGTTGTTCCTAACAATACTTTTTCCACTTCGCCAGGCTTTAGTTGCTAAAAATGAATTTTGGTACCATGATTTGATTTCGACTGTTTTTCTTACAGGCACTAAGCTGCGAGCTTCCACGCACGATACAGTAAGGACATCTTTACCAAGACCAGGTACAAGAGCCTCAAAACTTTGCTCACGCAAAACATTTTGATTATTTCCAGGAAGTAATGATAACTCTTAAGGAAGAGAGACTTAAAAAACGGACTTTTCAACCTAAGTATAAAACTGAAATCAGTCATCGGAGTTTGATTCAGAAGCATAAAGCATATTGTCTTTATGTTTTTGAAGCTTATAATTAAGTACTGTGAAAAGGTACTGGTGTAAAGATATGCAGTGTTATTTTTACGTTGTGGCTTAGTTGCTTCACTAGTATGTATTTAAAGTGGGACGTTCGTAGATCTTGTCCGAGAGAATTTTTGCAATGTAGTTCACTCTTAAACTTGTTAAATGAAACTTATCCTAAAATCTCTATGTTAAAATGTCTATTATAGTAGTTCAATTTTTTTTAACATCCATGAACATAATTGGCTTAGGACGCTTTTGCAGTCGTTCTGAAAATTTGGTATGCTCAACATGCATTAGAAATTTCCGCAGCGTGTCCTTGTGATATTTGAACTGACTGCCCAGTGAAGAATACGTACTTATTGACAAAATGGGAGGACCGAACGGGAAAGTATTAGGCTCGTTTTTCTATGACGAACGGACTAGACGCAGCTTGGTTCTTGTGTCATGAACACGAGCCAAATATTTTCTCATTCGACCCGACTCAACTCATTCAATAAGCGTTTTATCATGTGACCCCTGCAATTTCTTATTCCTCTTTTATTTCCTTGGGTCGCATCTTGTTGGGCCGTACGGCTTTTTCCAGAACTGCTCACGTCATTGCATATTGCCCGACCAAATATTGGGATTTATTTCTGAAGTTTTTCAATGAAAAAATGCGCTCATTCTCGTACATGTACGTGTCACAAAAAAAAATGCCCTTAGAAATCATTAGAAGTTAAAAAAAAAAGTCATCTACCATTCAATTCATTAATAAGTGTACATCTATTTCTGAAATCCTACCCCAGTAATATCAAGTATCGAAATTCGTACATATATTTAAAATGAACGACACTTTGATTATTAAGAAATCTTGTGTATTTGATATGCAGTGGTGATCGTTTAATTTAACAAAAAAAAAAATACTTTCTCTCAACTTGAAATCTTTTCAAAAGTCAACTTTCTCATGTTGTATTTTGTCTTCTATAATTGACAGATATTTGTCGGCTATCGGGTTGAAAAACCCATCAAACACTATTTGAAAAGAATGAGTAATTTCTACACAAAAATGTATATCCATCTGTGGGTATTTCGTTTCTTTTGCGATAATTTTTTTCGATTGACGTCAAAAGGAAGTAGGCAAGATGATAAGGGTCAGATTTCCTTCGTGCACCATCAAACCGAAGGCATATTTTTCTAACTGAGCTTACTGCATTTGATCTAAGTCCCTTTTGTCTTGCCGAAAATAGAATATTAGATTTTAGCAAGTGTTATCAAGGCAAATCCCTTAGATTACAAGTTATTTATTTCAAAATCCTTAAAAAAGATTCATACTTCATTCCATATCGTCTTCATTTCAAATACAATTGTCATTTAGCGTCTATTTTCGTTGAAGAGGATCTCGGAAAATAAAAAAAAGTGATAATGCCCTCATGAGCTGAGGATTGTTGAGCTAATATTGGCGATGTTATTTGTTTCTATAGTAACGGGTGTTCGTAGAGCTTGAAAGAAATATAGGCTTCACTTCTGAAGTAGATAAATGTGCTTGTACTGCTTTTAATACAGAGGTGGTTTTTGTTTCAATTTGTTCCGCTGTGAGATCAAGAAGGGCTTCAACTACGTACACCAAAACTGAATACAGTTTCTTCTACATGTCTTAAATTTGTTAATTCAAGCTCACTTTCAATAAAATTATCAAAACACAGAAGCTTCCGTTGCGAAGTCGTCCGCAGTTGCGTATTCATCAAGAACATCATTTTCTTTTTGAGAGTTTTTGTAAAGGCCTCCGAACATTTCAGTAAAGGGTTCCATCTATGAATTTTCCAAGTGAGAGATAATCCTTGAAGATGAGCAGCTCTCAAAGAAATAGCAGAAACGAAACCTGAAAAAATTCTGGCTTTCACGGCAGTCGAACGCTTTTGTTCCAGGTACGAGTTGGGTGACACTACTAATTATTGATCTACAGTGAACCATGCGGAGAAAAAGCAAATTATTTGTGGATTATTCGAGGAATGGCCTCAAATTTACTTTCGAATCGTGGATTTTACTTGAAATGTGTGTCGCCTTATGAAAGGCTTAAAATTTAACTCTTTAACAATAAATCAAACGTAGCTCGTTCTGTGAATGACAGAGATAAATTTTCACATCTAGAGAAAGTGTGGGTACTTATTAACTTTCTTACGACTACAACTTGAAATGCGTTAATCGTTTGTCAGTGTACTATGATTTGCGATGTTGGAATTCATGCCGTAAGGCATCGAAATAATGATTAAGAACATTTTAAGTTTTTTTTCATATGTATATCCCGAAGATCATCATTGATGTGCACGATTGATGAATGCCTGGTTGATTGCTCAAATGTTTGCGTGAGGGAGGCGCGACTCAACTTGTTTAGATTGTGAATTTAAAAACACAAGTATTGTAATGACATCGGGCTCAAAATCAAGGAGGGGCTCTGCGAAGTTTCAAGCATTTTCTCTTCTCGTTTACTTGAAACAAAGTACACTTTAGGACTCAATATAATTTTATTATGTGCAATTAGAAACAAGGAGCACCATGTTTCTCCAGAAAATAGCACCAAGCGATTGAGTAAACGAATAAGCTTAGAATTAGGGTGAAAATATGAGCAGTTTTAGATTGTAAAACCATATTTAATAAATTTTTTGTGGTTGCTTATTTGGAAATTGTAATTTGTAAAGAAAATAGATTTTATAAAGTAATGATTTGTCGACAGAAGACCAATATGAACGAAGCACGCAATTAGGATTTCTTTGTTCCTACTGTCAACAGTAATCAGTTTTCATGGCAGGTTCTGGATCCTATGCTGCTTCGTGTATTCAATATAGCTGCATGGCCACTGGAAGAGCCTAAGTAATCATCTTTTACGTTTAAAATTCCTCTAAAGAGAAAATGAAAATTCTTATAAAAATCCCCAGACTTTATTGCAACAGCTTTTCCAGTTGGCGACAGGTAAATTGTTCTACCATAAATGAGACAACTGGTTGCGACAAGAAAATCTTTGAGACCGTTATGGTAAATTTGTATAAGAAATTATCCTTTTTTTTTATATTTTGGCGAAAAATGCGTTTAATCGAATAAATATTATCATCCTTGATATCTTTGTCTTTAATATGTTTTAACAAAGCTTATGTAAACCCCCATTGAAAGTAGTAACTGGTCAACAAGGAACGAACAAATAGTAGAATGAAAAAAACAATTTGCATATGTTATCGCTATAATTGGTAAAATCGTCAAGAATTAAATGCCATTATTGTTAAACCATACCATACAGGGTATTTACCAGATTCGGTTCAGTTTTCGGGATAAGGTGCAAAACTATTCTTTTAAAAAAAGGTCAGTTATTTCAGCGCCCATGAGAAAACAGCAGATACAAGGTCCGTCCACCGGAAATGCCAATTAGTATCGTAGGCAAACATATTTTTCGCAATATTGAACTTGTTCTTTCTGTTGACAGAGTCAGAACTCCAGTGAGAGCTGCAATATCGTGGCAGCGTTTAGCTTGGATAGAGTAAAATTCCGGGCTGCTGATACAATTTTGGCAACTCGAGATGCGATTGTGCGTCGGTTTTATGTTGCTGTTGTGGATTTGCTCTCTTTGTTACAACGGAGAAGGAGTCCCTGGAGATTCAATCCTGCGAAAGGCAAGATGTTATGCAAACTGCTTCACCCGGGTAAGTTTATTCCAAAATACTTCACGTCGAAGAAACCGCACTAAGTACTCTTAAAGTTTGAAATGAGTTTTTTTTTCCATTAAAACTCGACGGCTTTAATTCGACCCTGTATAAGTCAGAGTTAATCGTACCTCAACTTCACATTGTAGCTTTGACAATACCTTGTCATGCTTACGCCTTTAAAACGTTCAATGATAATTGAATCAAAGAGACTATCGACTAATATCAAATAATTTCTAGCGTCTTTAAAAATTTCACGCAACAGAAACAAAACGATTTTAACGATCGAAAATATAAAAAAATTGATTGGCAGCTAACAAGGCAAAATCAAATCCAGTTCTTCTATTTTAAAGGCAAGACGATTGAGTTTCCGACCGGAAAAGATAATAAAATAAAGAATGCAAACTTTGTGTGCTGCAAAACTTCATGACCGTCGTTTAATGAATAGCGCTGAACCGAAAAATCTGTTTTTCTGTACACGATTTTTATGAATCAAAGCTTTAACCATGGAACACTGGGGGCGATTCTTTCGGTAAAATAAATGTTACATTTGCATTTTTTGCGGTGTAATTAAATCGAATTTACCTTGAGGTGAGTCTAGACCACTGTCTTTGAAATGAATCATTTCAGAATTTTTTTTCGAGCGTAAGCCATGGTTAAGTTATATTATTAATTGTTGGTCAAGTTTTGTTATTTCGGGAAGGAATCAACTAGATTCTCCGTCTGATATCTGGTTTGCATGAGTAAAGGCTACGAATTGTCACCTGCAGGAGTCTTTGGTTTAATTTTATTTCTTAAAGAGTGATTGCAAACGGTAATTCAGAATTGTAATTGACGCAGTTCACCTGAGGCGTGCATTTAATTCTGCAAAATCGAGAAACCGGATATACGGCATAATTGATAAACTTGGCGATTCTCACCGTTTATCTTACCATCAAGGAGAGATTAAATTGCGAACTCTATTTTTTTGTTTGTTACTGTGCAAAGAAAACATAAGCCCACGCTACCGTCGAAGCGCACAGGCCCATATCTCTGATATTTAGAACTGGTGTGAAAAATCTTGTTTTTTGTAGAACAATTTTGACACGTCCAAAGTAATTACTTTCTTGAAGTGCAAAATGACAAGTGTGTCTTTGTAGTTGACGAATATTTTCATGTTTGACGATAGCTGCCTTGAATTTTACCGCTTAAGTTTACATTAAGGTACATTTGGTTTGCGGAAGACGTTAGTCTTCTGTTTTCTTAAATACGCGGGTTGAATTTACAAATGGTTTATTTCATTTCAGTCAGTAAATGCTTGGCAAAAATACTCACATAGTCTTTGGTGTGTGTGCGAACTTTACTGAAAGTAGATTTAACCTTAAGAGCGACAAAATAATTAAATTAAATCCAATAAGGACGATTTGAATAAAGCTATGCTTACAGCATTTGACATGATAACAAAAGGGACCCTCAGTGTAACTCTAGCTTTTTACCTTCATCTGTCGCTTCGTTTAAATAATTAACAACAGAAAACGATCTAAAAAAAAATTTCACTCGAAAAGAAATTATCAATTTTATTCTTTTACTGACAGATGAGACCGATAAATAAAAATTGCAAATTTAATTTGCGTTTTATAAAAACATTTTGACGATAGTCTTCCTCAAATATTTAGAGGCAACATAACAAAAAGTCGACAAATAGGAGAGGTCGACGACCCGTGCTTAGTAGCCTTGGGAGAAAACTGAAATTCTGCGTTAAGTTACAGCTGAGAAAGAGGTTGAAGCAGAGTTTTTAGTTTGTTTTTTTTTTGGGGGAAAAATTTAAGTATTGTTTTGACATGATGTAATTTAATTAGTTTATACGTCTTGGTAAGAAATGATTTCCTTAACAATAAGGTCTCTATAGCTACGATATCCTTTAGAATTGTAACTAAACCTATTTCTCTTTTCGTTCAACAAAAATCTATCATTCACATTCAGTGGAATTTTCGATTATTTGCCTCTAGGAGAATAGCACCCGAAAACCTATCATTTCCGGTTCATGGCCATGTTCGAGTGATTTCTGCGCGTCAACAAAGGATTTTCCGCTTCTAATCTTTTCAATCCCTTTATATCTTGTGTATGGAGAAGCAATGTCGAGCCAAGATCTGCGTCGAAGGGCTCTTCGATCAGATGACGCAGTGGAAGCAATAACCCGATTAAAATTTTGAGACTCTTGAAGAGCTTCGTCAACGCTTGTGCATCCTGTAGAATTTAGAGTGCACTTTCTAAGTTTTTCGGTAGTAACCTTTTAATTTTGTCCACTTTTTGAAATCCTCATTCCTTCTTATTTTGCTTCTTTCTTTCTCCTCGTATTTAAATTTTTATGTAAAATGGTTAACTTGGAAAAGTTTAAGCGACTATCATGAAATCAGTATATCAGCCCCTCGGTGTTCCAGATATCGAATGCAGGTCTTCAAGTTACATACAGAGTCTATTTGAATACATTAATTTTTTTCTGAGGGTAGAAATTGAATGTAAACTGCAAGCCCTTATAGATTTCTGTAAGGACTCGATTGAAACCAACTGTTATGGTGAGAATTTGTACCAAGGACCGACCAACTTCGGTTTGAGTTTTTTGATTAAAAGCTTTTCGAATGATAAACAATCAAACCTACTTTGAATTTCTCAGAATCTTAAAGAGGCTTTTATTAAGATCGACTCTACCGTGCTCTATGGTGAGATGTTGGCCAATTGCCGAATTCTTGTGAATCAGCAGTGCGTTCTTTACCACTTTTCATGTGAACTGACTCAATACGTGCAAAACGTTTTGTTTAGTTTTAAGTTATTTACCTGTATTGTTGTGAAAAGTTTTTAATCAGTACCTATTTGTTTTTTTAGTATTTATAGCCTTACAATCTTGTCATTTTTTGACTTAATAAGGACGTAATGTTGACGTCGAAACGTTATTAGAAGTATTTTATCGCAAATTTTTATAGTTAAATACTGCTAATTCCAATGATAATAATAATGATAATGATAATGATAATGATAATAATAATGATAACAATAAGAAACATTAATCGACCACTCCCCCAATGGCCTGGGGGTTTTCAGGGCCAATATACTGTTATAGGCGAGACTTTGGGACTTCAAGTAAGTAAGACATGACACACACATGCCTGAATGCTTAAAAAACATTTTGACGAAAAACACTTAAAATGTTTTTCTAATTTCTACTAGAACGGGGTTAAGAACGAATCAGAGACTTCTTGCCTGACACAGGCCTGTAAAGAGGTGAGTATTCTTGTTCATTTAAAACCCTGCGATAAGCTAAAACCGTATGTCCAATACATTATTGAGTTTTCAAAACGGCGCGTTCGGATAAAACGCACAAAGTAGTACAAAATCTGATAAAGGACACTTGGCAACACCTCGCCCGAGTCGGTCCGAAGGTGTTGTCACGTAACAAGGTTTGGGTACCGACCAATTATTTCAAGTAAAAGTGAGATAAAAAATGATTTACAAAAATCAGCCCAGGCTTGAAAAGCAGATTCCCTTCGTCTCTTGCCGAATGTTCATTCTCGGTTGATTTTTCTGCTACCAGTATAATATTTCAATGTACCAGGGGCACGAAGATCTTTCTGACTATATAGTTCATTTTCAAATCAATGATGATTTTTCTTCTAGTGTCTTGCACCTTGTAACGCGAAAAGGACATTTCCAGACGAGAACTCATGCAAAGCAAGCTGTGTAAGTAGCATTCTCGTTTCCACATCCATTTATAAATGTTTGTGATATCTCTGAATTTCTTGTTTGTTGAACACCGAAATAAAACTGATTGGCACCTCGACAAAAATGAAATTCACAACCGTTCAATGGGAGCGAAGAGCGAATTTTAGCCCTTCAAAGTAACTGGGTTATGATTCTTGTGTTAGGTTCTAAAGGGCTCTTGGACCGAGAGTGCCTGGTGCGATTATTGTTATGTGCTAATAGTATCTCTTATTACTTTTGATCATGAATGGGTCCTTGCGAAGTTTCCGGGAAAATGAGACGTAGAGGGATGGTGAGTGGAGGAACCTTCACTAGACTAGCAACCCATTTAGGATGATCGTTTATACAGTAGTGTTTAAAGCCATCGGTATCTCATTGCAGGATTGTGCGTTGTGTATTTGGATTACAACGCTTTTCTGAAGCTTTAGTGCTTATAACTGGAAAGAGTCGTATTCCGTTAGCACCTCCCAGAATTTTCTCCATTTTCCGTGAGTTAGACTCTTTTCACTTTTGTGATGATACCAACATAAACAATCATCATGAAACTTATATAACTAATGACAGGGCTTTCTTACCCACTTTAGAATGTGCACTATGAACTTTTACCTCAACGGCCTAATCTAATATTTATATTTTTATTTCAGAACAACGCCAATAGTTGTTTAGATAGTTGTGAGTTCCTGACATGGCTGAAGAATTTCCAGTCCTTATCTAATGGTGATGGATCCTTACTACCAGTTCCTGGGCCACTAAATGTGACAATTTTGAATTTCACATCACTCTCCTTACAGTGGTCACATGTCCCAAACTCAAATGGCACTCCTGTTTACTTAGTTGAAATAACTTTTGATGGTGAGGTATCCAGATTAGGTCCGTTCTATCCGAACCAGGTAATTTTAATTTCTATTTGCGACAATCATTGTCCTTCTCACTAATTCATGTTCAGGACTCTAGGCACTGTGCTATAGAGCCCAAAAACCGAGTCTAAGGTCCGCACTGTAGGCTAAGGAGCGAAGCGCGCTGGCCATAAATCCGAGCGAAAAAAAGATCCATAACTTACAGTGCGGACTGAGAAAACGAAGATAGTAATGTAGTTATTATATCTCTGGGTTCAAATAGCGGGGGGAGATTTCAATTAAAAAAAAATTTGAACTAAGAGGGCAGTACTGTAAAAGACGCCCACTAAATTGACAAATTTACCAACTCGACCAATTTACCAATCATAGCACACGTTCTAACTGAGAGATCTATTATGATTTGATATTGGTACTTGGGAAAGGATTGTGGGAGTCTTAGTTCAACACAAAATTATGCCTTTTTTTTCTATTCAATATTGAACAAAAATTAATTAAAAAGTTAAAATGATTTATACTTTAAATATTCGCTGGGAAATACTGGTCTGAACAAATGGAGGAAATAAAATTATTAGCGTAAAAGTCCCATTTAAATTTTCTTGTCGATATGCATTTTGAGAAGAGTCCATTACGTGATGAGTTTCCTAACAAAAAAGTTGTATCATTATCATTATTAGTATCATAACTGTTATTATCAAGTAGAGCGCTTTTCGACTGAATGTCGTAAAAAAAAAAAAACAATAATTTCAGCTGCCAATCATACGAAAGGAAAATGCCCTTAGTGCCAATGAGAACTCAGAGTAAGAACAAGCTAACCAAGCAAAACGCGGGAAAACGCTGGCGACCAAGTCGAGATTGGTGTTAGTTTTGCATCTGATTGGTTGATTGAGTGGCACGATTTTTCTGGACCAATCGCAGAGGAAAGTAAAGCAAAACCAAACAAATCCTGGATTACTTTTGACACTCAATTGAAAATTACTTTAATTATCCTCAATGCTATCCTTGTTGATATTTTCTTCCACCGTGTTCAGCTGAGACTGTTCATTTTCTGATTCATGAAATTTAACGTTTCTTTTATCTTTAATTTCCTTCTTTCGCCAAACCTCCTTTTCGAGAAATAATATTGTTTTTGTTTTTTATTTTCATTTTAGGTCATCGTCGAGTCAAAGGTGATCTTCACCTTTAATCACCCGTGTACCTTTACTCCAGATATAAACCAGCGCGCTGAGTTCAAAGATATTAATTTCTCGTTTAGAGTTGCTGTTCTGACAGAAAACTCTTCTTTAAGCTACGGAATCAAGTCAAATAGCATCGGTAAGTGAAAACAAATGTTTAGGCCACTACGGGAGCGAAACCCATGTCGTGGGTTCAACTCCCATTCAGGGAGAATTTTCGTAATATCGCCCATCTTTCCGCTGAATCGTTTACACCGTTCAGTGGATAACACAAAATACAAGGTACTGCCATTTTAATTTTTAAATGTTTTAAGTTCCATCATCTGCTATTTGGTGTCCTTCTTCATGTTTTCTAAAGCCTCTCATTGACGTGGGCCGGAGTCTTAAATCTTCGAATCTGATTTGGAAATCAAGCGCTCGTAACCGAACCAGCTTTTTATAATAACGACCAAAGTGTGGATTTTTTCCACACCATACGCAACGAAGCGGAACAGTAAACCGGCAAAAAGATAAAAACATGTTATTAATCATAACCATTACAATTTCCTCAAACATGATTGGTGCGTTAGCTGCTTTACTTTTTACTACTCATTCCACAGAGTTGGACAATGTAATCGGACAGTTGACTGTAATCGAACACCTGTAATCGGACAGTTGAAGTAACCAATCAAACCAAGTCCACTCAGCCAAATCCACCAATCACAGAATTAATCACAATAACCATAGCAACAACCACTTATCCTAAAAAAATTAAGGAATTTCCAAAATGGAGAAATTTTTTTCCTTCAGACATTGTCTCTACCAGAGATATTTGACCTAAATGCATTTGTTGCTTTCGGAAATTGCAAAGGTTATGATTAATTGGTAACAGAACTTCTAATCGTCCAATTCAGTCTGTAATCACGAGTATGATTACAGACCGAATTGGATTCCTCTCGGTCCTATTACCATTATTTATCGTCTAGGTTGGTACGTATGGAAAAAATACTGTGCAGTTTTTCTCATACAGACCTCCCACTCAGTAGATAAAATAAGTTTACTTTTCCAGAGATTGTCTTATACTCGATCAAATCGCGTTCCATTTTGGAAAAGCTTTCACTTAGCTTTATCAAATGTCTTTCTTTATTTGTACCAGCCTTCCCAAAGCCAGATCCAGTAACAAACGTGACTCTGGATAGCATAGTGTACGATGGTAACCACGATGGAAATAAATTACTGATGACATCTTCTTGGAAAGCACCTAAAGGTTGAACATTTGAAGGAATTCTCATTTGAGTTCTCTGGGCTGAAATATGTTGTTTTTAAACAATAAGAGGAAAACTCGTTTCATCTATTTTTAAAGGCCCACAATGACTTCCCCATCTTCCACTCTTAAAACAAATTTAAAAATATGAAGTCATTCCTGAAGCCCTTTGATTGAAGAGTTCTCTTCTCAATGCAATCTTTTCTACCATCGATCGCCTCATTATTAGAACTGCATTTCCTCATTGTTAACAAATCTCCCCTACTCGACAATCCAAGACGGGCGTACATTTCCGAAAATACAATTTACAGCATTTTTTTTAGATAATAAAGGCCAAAAACATAGGCTTGCTAACAGAAACAGTGTTTTCGAATTTTCTATTTAGGACAAGAAAATATTGTTTCAAACTACGCCTTGCGTTGGAAACAGGATTCTCAATGCCGAGGAGGCATCCTTTTCAGAAATGGAGAAACCACAGGGGTAAGCTTATGAAACAATCAAGCATCCTAGAATTACTAAGGAGTATTTACAAAAAAGAAAGAAATACCCATAACTTAACAACAAAACGCACCACAGAAACTCAAGTCATACGGGTGACATGAAAAGAAGATGAACTGCATCGCAAGTATGGTCTCTCGTAAGATACGTATTCCTCATGTTAACCCCTTAAGGGTGGGGAAGAAGTGTCCTTGCAATGGACTGGCATTCTATCCAGGGGGAAGTATTGCTAACCCTAGTTACTTTATGCTACGAACACAGACTTTTCTACCTTCTAATATGGTAACTTCCAAATTGAGAAGTTATGTCAGTAGAACTAATAATTTTTGACGTTAAAAGATACTTACAGACTGTTGACCGACTTGAGATATAGAATATGTAAATAACAGTATTTTCTCGACTAGTGTTTTTTTTGCAGTAGTGATAAAATTGATATGCTAATAATAATAATGATTATAAAAATTATAGCTATAATAATGACACTGTCACCACAATAAGGGCAGCTCTCGTCACATAACACCCTTAATCTTTGAGGGACGTATAAACGTCTTAAAATGGGCCCTTTGATATCCATTTTTCACAGCCTCAGACACGATACACTATGTCCCTGTATGAGAAAATGAAGAAATGTACCCACGAGCTCGAGGTAAGATGGAATACACTGTAACCTTTCATCGAGACAAAGATACTAAATTTTGTGAAATTCCACGATTCACATTTCCTGAGAGCGACGAGTCTCATTCGGATCAGAAAAATGAAGATTTCTGTTCAAGTATTTACCTTTTTTGTCAAGCATGTGACAGATTGATTTTATATCGTTCTTTTTAACAATTATTTTTATATTAATAAAGTAAAAAACTAAAATGTTGTTCTCATCTTCTCTATGAGAAGATAGAGCTCGTTTCATTGAAAGCTTCGGCTGTTCTGAGTTCAAAAATCTTTATACTTAAGATTTAACTTTTATCAATGTCATTTTTTTTGAAGGTCTTTACCATGATTGGCTGCAGTGTGAGCGTTCCCGCAATTTTAATATACACTTACCCAGGTAAAATAATCACTTGTATCATCTGAAATATAAGCATAAATAAGCTGACTTGAACCGTAATAAATTTTTGACGTCATTTCCAGGTTGTCAAAACATCACAAGTTTTCCAAAAGACATCTGCTACGAATGTGAGTATTCTCTGCAACTGATACACGTAAATTCTCGTCAAATTTGTCTTCAAATATACCAATGCCGCCATTTTGAATCCTGCTCGAATCTGGGCGCTCCACTTTTTATGTCATCAGTAATTACTAGTGAGTCTTACTCTGCTTTTCCCATCTCTTGCTTTCCTTCTGATGAACAATTTGGGGCCACTCAAAAAGACTTGTGCAGTGCAGCGGTCGATGGGAATTGAGCGTTGTGGTTTTGGTACGCGACCTGGTTACCAAGTTATCCTTTCAAAATGGCGGCTCTCAGTGCCTCACTTTGACACATTTCAAGAAATCTTTGCGGTGCAATGCCTCCAATGCCAATGGTCTAAATTTTCTTTATCCTATCCGCCCATCATCATGAAACTACAAATTTACTGTTTGGGCCGGAAATTTAGGCTGTAATAGACCTGCTCCACAAATGCGGGAAGAATAATCTTAAGGTTCATCATATTATCACTCATCATACCAAAAAGGTTATTGTAAAGATGCAGATAGAAGAAATATGTACTTATGCTATATTACTACTAAGTGTTTCTTTACTACAAACCGCCTTCCACAGTTGACCCTCCAGATGCACCAATGGCAGACAGGATAGTCACTAACATCCGTCTCGCAGAACCTATGACACCTGCACCGGACTACAGATTTTATGCGACGTTTACCTGGAACCCGCCAGTTTACCCTTACAAGAACATAACTGAATACGTGTTTATATTGTACAAGCAACCTGGAAATCAGTTTATAAACTTGGGTAATGAGAAAACTGTAAGTTTTTTCATTTGTTTATTCGTTGATAATTTTAAATTGAGCGTCGAAAGATATCTGGACTGCCGTTGTTTTTTTGCTTAAATTCACTCTCTGGTTGTTCCCGGAAACGTGCCCATCTGTTTCAGCCTACCAGATGCACGACTTGGTCACTCGCGTTCTCCCGCGCTTTAGGCTATTTTTTTGTGAGTTCTCATTTATCCTGTTGTGATTTGGCCTTGGTTGTTTTACAAAACTTAATAGTGAAGAGTGATCTACGATAAGATCAATAATAACTACAGCTACAAACTACAACCTCAAAGGCGCAGGAATCACAAATAAGTAAATTATTTAACATAAGTCAATGAAAAAATTGAACTTCTCTTTGTTTTTTCAACTGCAGCTTTCTAATCGCAAGACCGTAAGTGATCTTTTGCCAGGGACGATTTACAAAGTTCAGGTGAGTCGAAATTCTACTAGAAAATGTTTATGTTACTCTGCAAGTATAATCAGCAGGAAAGGTTCCTAGGGGGCAAAATCCTAGAGTTTGACTTTGGCTCAGTACTTTTCGGCCCCACCAAAATTTTCCCTCATATTTCGAATTGCATACTTCGACAATTAGCAGTCTAATCGAATCAAATATGTTTGCCCGAACTAATGGTTTACGCTTTTGAAGAAGGTTCCCTGATCAGCTCTGATTGGTGAATAACAGTTAGTATTTCAAGAGAAAACTATTTCATTAGTTCTCTGTGCCTTTTCTCCACAGGTCTATCCAGTGTTTCAAGATGGAAGGCCTTCGTCAAAATTTAGTGATGCAACTTTTACTACTCCGGGTGAGTGATGAAAAAATGAAATAACTTGAATAAGAAGTGGGAAGGTAAAGGCCCTGGAGATTTTGAAAAGCTACTGCCCATAAAATAACAACATAAATTCAATTGCATTAACTTTGTAATAGAAACAAGCAAAAAAGTAAAGGGTAAACTAAATGAGCACCTGGCATAACAAGAAAAATTAACTCTTGAGCATAAGTATACGGCTTTAGCCTATACACTTTCCCCTCTAATTTTTGGAATCGCTTGAAATCGATAAACAACACCCTATTTTCAAAAGAGGTTTAGTTTTCCCTTTTTTTCGTGAAAATTGTTCAGACACCGGGCATATCGCCATAGGGTAGTTTTATGTGCAAATCAATTCCTGTTTGGTTTTTTTTCCTATTTTTTATTTCACTTTTTTTTGCTATGACAACAATATTGCAGTTTGGTGTAGTTCAACTTATTTGTTGTATTCTTTTTTTTAACGCTTTCATATATGATAAATAGAGAGCAGCTATTCAGAGATTGCACCGAAACATCTGCGAATTGTATTTCTTTACATCATGTTCATTTAACAAATCGACAATTTTGACCACTGTTTTGACGGATATCGTTGTCGGTAAGAGTACAGACCATATCAAACCATTGGTTATTTTTACGGCAATACCGACGTCAAATAAAACGATTCTTTCAGTGCGTGACCATTGCGTTGACGCTAGCAGCGTTGTCTGTACTTTGTCTGTAAGGCAAATTGGCCAATCAGATTGCGACAATACTGCTCTGCATCCCAGGGCCCCGGTCCCCCTTAACCGCGTAAAATGTAAAATTTAGGGAAGTTTTATGTTACGTATCGCCAATTTTCGCGTTTTGTACGAAAACACTTTTTACCATTCAAGATGATTAAATATTTTTTATTTGACACTGATTTTGTGGTTTCTCTTTAAAAAGCAGAATTTTGATTTTTTACTATCTTGCAAGTCACACAGACCGAAGCTATCCGATCATTCATAGATGGACATTTTGCACGAGCCCAGAGCAAAGCATAACAGTTTACTTTTGTTTGGCAAGCGAAGCTTTTCATTTGGCCTGAGGAGGAATACTTTTATCCGCGTTTTATTCTTCAAATTTATCCTTATGCAGGAAGCTATTTTTGATGCAAAATACGCTCAACTTAAAAAACGAAAAGTATTCAGGTTACCGGTAGTGCATGATTATTTTTTATCTTGCAGCCTGCTACTGCCCGGGAATAAGTTGCGGAGAGAAAGAGATCGTAACTTCTCCAGAACAGTCGACTAATGAATAAAGCATATTAACTATGCTTAATATTGGTATTATATAGTGTGGTCGCTTGATTAAACAAATTTAAATCTTGTTAAACTGATTAAAAGAATTATATCAAATAAAGCAAATTATGAAATCAGTAAGCGATCGCATCTTTGTTAAAAACCACCTTAAAATCTAAATACCTAAAACGATCTTGGTTTTTTCTAAAATAAGAAAACAACAGATAAGTTATTAGTTTTGGAGGGGAATAATTATGTTTCATATCATGCGCCACTTCAAAATCACAAATTTCGATTTTTTGAGTGTTTTTTTTTTAATTTTTGCTGACGCTTAACGGAAATTCTCTGAGGTAAAACAATTTTGTTTTTGCCTCTGCGTGGTCCCAGTCTCAGTCTTGTTATTTCTACTGTTCAGTACAACATAATTATTAAAGACAGTTTGGTTCGACCCAATTGATGTGACGTGAATTTTGTAACATCTTGTGAAGACTTGAGCGAACGACACATTCAACACGTTTAATGTTTTGAGTATCGTTGAAAATCACAAGGCAAGGATGTTTTAAAGAGGAGTCAGAAAGGAACTTAACCCTTCAATCTCATAAGCGTGCAACCCTAAGTTAAGGCCACTCCCTTTTCGCGCGATTTTGGGAGCGCATGTACTTAAAGGGTATACCGCATTTCTAGTGAAGGACAGGTGTCGATCAAATTTAGAATCAGCTGACTTCTTCTTCTAAATCAATTCAATGTTTGACCTTTGCAACTATTGGATTTCCGTAAAATTGAATAACCGACTTACTTATTAAATTTGAAAGTGATAGTAAAAACATTATAAAAAATTTCCAATGAAAGTATTTTCATGGATTCAATAACTTGTATTGGACTTGATGCGAATGACGTCCTTAGAGTCGATCCATATGTCACTCTGGCGTTTCAAATTGAAATTTTCACCGTGATGGACCAGCCAACTTTAATTAGAATTTCGTTGTGTTTGCTGAAGTTTAAATGTAGTGATCTTGGATCTTGTTTTCAATATTACTATGAAGAAGAGGATTCCTCCTTGAAAAAATTGCCAACACTGTGAAATGTCTTTGACAATGTCAATCAACAACTTTTCAATCTTTATTTAAAATGAATTATAATTTCGAAACATTGCCCGTTGAAAAAAACTAAATGGTTCCATATTCCGTAGAGTGGTATACCTTTAAATGGTAAAAAAAATGCAAGAGTTAGATGTTTGTTTCTCATTAGTTTCTTGTCGACAAAGCATGGCTCGACCTAACATCGTGAAACAACTGACAATAACAATATCTTTCTCCTTGCTGTTATACCAGGTGTTGATCCAAACGAAGTGAAAGTAACCCATTTGACCGCTGGCCAATTCACCGAGTCTTCAGACGGTGGCAGTTTCAGTGTTCCTATATCATGGGAAAAGCCAATTTTTAACTACAGCACGCTTGTCTTTTACACATTTTGGTACAAGATCGGAAGCAAGAATAGCACAGAGGAACTGATGGTAAGAAACTTTGTATTGAAAACTTTAAGACTAAATAAATATTTGCTTAAATTGGCACCATTATATCGACTGTTAGCATGAAAAACCAAAGCCATAAAGAGGCAAAAGAAGGCATCATATACACGAAAGATCACTTAATACCATCAAAAGATTGACCCAGACAGATTGGTGTTGAAGCCATTACAAATTATTAATAGGGCCTATCACTTTTCCCGAAAACTTTTTACGCAAATAAATGCGAGACCCCTTCATCTACGATTTCAAATCGTCGACCTAAGAATTCTTTTAGCCCTAAATGAGGTTTTTTTATTACTTTAATTTTATTGATGGATACAGCAACAGGAACATTCTCTAATTAATCGAGGATTTTTCAGTTTCCGGAACGAAACTTTCTGACATCGACTCTTTGACAGACTTCTAAACCACCTTGTTATAAATAGTCAACAGAAATTGTCTTTTCTTTGCCTGGCAAAGGACTAATCATAGCATTTTTCTCTCTCGTTTTTAATTTGGATGTTTTAAATGATATATTTTGGTTGCTATGGATACTAGTGCTTTCTCTGAAGTACCTGATTGTAATGTAATGGTTCTGACTCCGAACTCTGGAAATGTTTTCCAGATAGCATCTGTTTATGTGACATTTTAGACACCATTAATTCTAAGCTTATGACCTATCTTTTTTAAAAATATCTTTTTAATAGCAATTTTAATCTTGTTTTCGTAACATTGATTTAGTTTCCATTCATTGCCCATTTTTGTAAAGCGACAGGAGCTTATTCATCCATTTACCTTTATTCTAATATTTATACTATGTTTATTTATCAGCCTAACGAGACATATTTCAACATTTCTGGAATACTGCATGGTAAACTGATCAGATATTGGGTAAGCTTATGTCCACAGATTTGTCCATTTGTACGGGGTGAAACTAGGAATTTCTGATGGCAGAAGGGTTAAAGATTTTCACCTGCCTCTCAACAACAATTCCAACCTTAGTTGAGGTTCAAGTCTTCCATATCCTGGTTTTAAGCACTGCCAATCTAGTGACGAAGAACTCGTTGGCGTGTAAATCAATAGACTAAGTAAACATTTCTGGTATTATTACTTCAACAATTTAAACGAGCCATAGAGTATTTATTTCATCTGCGATTCTTTTCAGGTAACGCCGCATTACCAACACAACTGGATCAAAGGAGCACAAGTGTATGGAAACATTACAGCGCCTGGTGAGAATAAGAAAAATACATGAAATAAATGGATGGGTCGAAGATGTTAGGCTATTCCTTAAAATGGATATCAAACTTTTTTCAGGAGCGTGTTACTATAGTAAAGAATGATCGAGCAAGGATATCAGTCTGACGTCCCCTTTTGTTTTTAGTAATTAACCTTCCAAGCGAATCTGTTTTCTAACTAACTTTGATTGATTGATTGATTAAGCTCTTGGCTCCCTGTGGAGCATAATTTCCTTCCTTAATGTGCTTCTTTCAGAGGCTGCCATTACCAGCTGGTGCCATGAGTAGTTCCATGTTTTCATGTCTGACTTTATTTATCTTCTCCACGTATTCTTGTATTGATATTCCGTAGTAGCTTACAAGTTTACGATGATTTTGTTTAATGTCGAAGATAGCCCATATCATTTCCAGTTAGGTCCTTTTTAAAGCCACAATCCGTGAAAACAAAACACTTAAAGGTGTTTTTGAATGTTTGCAGTTCCGAGTAATGACGACACCGAAATCAAAAGCCTAAAGTTCGGAGAGTTCGTGCGTGAGCTCGGAACTAGCAGATACTCCATAAATGTCACGTGGACAGGACCAGTGTTTAATTTCACCTTGATCTCCTACAATATCGAGTACGAATTGACGGGATACCAGTCAAACAGACCTACCGTGCAGATTAATGTGGTATGGTGACTTCCACTTATCTCTATAGGGTTTATTGTACTCATATTCTTGCTAATTGCCCGTGTTACTGAGTTTTTTTTAACTATATGGGAGATTTCGAGGTTGTTAAATGCGTTGTACACTTTAGATGAACGTGCGTTCTGTCTCAGAAATTTCAAAGGTCAAAATTTCATGATTTTAAGGCAAATTTAGTTTATTTCATTCATAATCTTTATTTTAAAAGAAAGAAAGGAAACACTTAGTGTTCGTATAATTAAACCTTTACGAGCGTCTTTGATAATGATGCGTCGCTTGTCAGTGTGACAAATCGTGGCTTTGTTGCAATTATATGGACAGAAAATTGATAATTCTACCATTAATTTTGAGCCGGTAATTAAAATGACTCTGAATGAGTTAAAATGAGTTGTTGGCGGCTAAAATACTCGTGGGATGCATCTGAACAGCTTTGGTGTTGGTTTCAATTCATTTCTTTTATAAAAAAAAATGATCCTTTTCTGATGCACCATTTGTACTTATTTGCTTTTAGGAAAAACCGAAGATACTTTTGTCGGGAATAAGACCTAAAGAATTTATAAGGATTAAGGTAAGCTAGATTTGAAGAATTATTTGTCATTTTTGTATAAACCCCCAAATTTTTTTGGTTTCTGGCTGTCATATTCTGTTCCCATCTTCAGCATAAATATAAAAATGCTTTAGCGAATAAAGTAGGTATCATGAAAAATTTTTATGAAGTTAATTGCTCAAATGGCGGTGTCATTAATCCAATATTTCAAGTTAATTTTGGGTTTAATTTCAACTTTAACAAGTGTTTTTGGTCTTAAGTCTTGAGTGCTCTTATCCGTTGAAAGTTATTGGCAAACTTTCTCGTTTCCTCGGGATTTCTGGGTGACGTGTTATGGCACATTTTTTGGCACTGTTATAGAAATTCATCATATTTCACATGCTCGTTCTTTGTTTTTTATTTGGAAGGTTAAAGCAATGTTTTCCAATCCCAACGTCAAAGGGAAAGAAGCAACACTCTCGAAAACTGCCCCAGGTAAGTATAAACAACAGGTTTAATTAACGTATTTTTTGTTGATTAAGATGTCATCAGCTTTTTTTCGGATGTTTTGGTGATATGGACTCAAAGATCAAACGTAATTGACTTAGGAAATGTAGAAAAGATTGAAACCTTACGCAAAATACTGGCTGAACGCTTCTGAACGAGGCTACTTATGGAAAAATGCTAGACAAATTCCTATCTTACCCTTGTTGATGAATAAAGAAATCAAAGGTGGCGTTCGGCTTACAATCGAATCTTACAAAATGTTTCTGTTTCATTTTAGCTGCCGATCCAAGCACACTAAACGTTCGAAACTTTACCTACAACTCTCTCAACTTAAGTACTGTAAGGATTAAGTGGGAAAAACCGATTTTCAGCGAAAGTAACGTCACAAAATATGACCTGAAATACAAACGAAGAGGGAATCCAGACAGAAAAAAGGCGTTCCACTTCGAGATTGATGAGGTAAGACCAGAAAAGGTACTGCATACTTGAACCGACAAGTCTGGAAAATTGCCTTCAATGCTAAGTAGCCAGTATTTCGGCAAAAACTTTGGCAAAAGGTTAGGAAACAAACAGACAGGGCCATAAATGACAAGCGTCATGGATCACTTACGTACATTAGTGAGTCAGATAGATTCCAAACATTCGTACAGATGCGAAATTTGATTTTCAAAAATAATTTGTCATTTTACCATTTTACTAGGGGAGGACGTATTTTGCCATTCATGACTTAATCCCTGGCGACAGTCTAGTAGTAATGGTAAGGAACCGATGTCCTGTACTTTGAGTCGTTGTTTTCGTTTATGTTTTCCGAGTCTTAAATGCGCCTTGGAATTGTGTGGGGTCGATTCAGATCTTTCTTCGTCTTTCATGAATCCGTTCCTTTAAAAAGGAAATAGTTTTGTTAAGTAGATTTTATGAGACCAAAACTGTTTGCATAAGCTTGTCCTGCCCAAGTAGAGCATTATCCAGAATATTTGTCAAAACGATGAGTAGAGTATAACTTTTTTCAATTTTTAATGTCTTCGAAGGTGACGCCGATGTTTGACGCTACTGCTATCGCAGGAATCACTTTAGAAACCACTATAGAGCCTCAAAGTAAGAAAGGAACAAATCAAATTAGGGCTTTTTTTTACCTCCTTGTTTCATATCACAGAAGTTTAAGGATATGTTTAGCCAGTAGTGATGTTGTTGTATAGCTTGTTGACTCAACAATAAAAACTATTTGCTGAGCCAAAAGGATCAATATAAAAAGGACGATAGCGTGGAAACATAATCCTGCTCGAGCAAGAATCAAGAGAAATTCAGTTCAAATATAATTAATGAGAAAAAAGCTAAGGGTTCCCTTGTTTGTTCCAAAATCCCGAGTTAAAAGGTTCAAACTCCTTTCAAAATCTAACCGAGTACTTCCCAAAAATTTCGATAAAAAAAATAAGAAACCAAGATGTCATGCTTGAGGAGACTAAGGGTATGCGCAGTAATAAGTGCATTAAAATTTTGTATTGAGAGACAATTGACTGCACTCTCTACTTAAACGATAATTTTTCAGAATTTTATACAACACTTGACATTTGAGTATTCGTGCGTACTTGACGACAACATTTCTTTTATTTTTCTGCTTTTTTTTCTTTTCAAAGAGCCTGACAACCAGGAAATACAAGTGCAAAACCTACGTGTAGGTTCGTTTCTCGAAGACGAAGAAAGCAACACTTTCAGCGTCAATTTCACCTGGGAACCTCCGCCATTCAAGTTTAGCACTGTGCACTCTTACACTGTGTCTTATGAATTATACGGAGGTTATTCAAGGGAAGAGCTTTCTTGTCCACCGTTTCAGATGGACAGTCGCCGATTAGGATGTTCCAAAAGTGGAGATGTAAGTTTGGATAAGATGGGCGTGTGTAACGCAATCTGTTCGTCCTTTGTAAGAGACGATTAAGGATTTCAGTAAATGAATTTTCATTAACCCCACCGAAATAGCAGAAAGTTAGACAGTAGTTAGTTATACATATTTTCCATTTACAATAATATTGAATATAAGAACGAAAGTGACGACGAGAACAGGAACGAAAATTTTAGCGATAGCCGTTGTCATAGCGAGGGCAACGCCATGTTTTTTGTAATTGTTTGCCATTTGCGTTCATTCAATAATCCTTTCATTGGTCTCCTTTTATAGAGCTTGACATTTGTGCAGATATCTGGAATGTATCCACGCGAAAGCGTCACTGTGAAGGTATATTGCATTGGTTGTAGTTCGAAGCCCTTTTTTGCCAACAGCGCAAAACGGCATTGACGTTTGACAAAAACTAAAAATTCATCAAGAAGTATTTTATCTTCAACTTCAAAAACTTGTGCAGCGTGGGACTCTTCTTAGGAGGCAAAATTTTTTAATACAACCAATAAATCTCTTGCATTAGAGAGACACCTCTTTGTCTTGACCACCTTCCCAGGGTTCAAGGGTGCCTCTCGAAGGCATTGCATGAATTGAGTAAAACCTAATCGTTAAATGTCTGATTTAAAATTTTTAGGTTACGCCCACTTACAGCAACTCATACATCACTGGGGAAATGGCAGAAGAAATAGGAACTGCGCCTCGTAAGTAAACTTTCTTTTGCATTTCACCAGTCAGTTATTCGTTCAACATTTTATTTCAGCTAATTCCTCTAAAGACTCTATTTAAGGATTATCATAATTAGCAATGTGATGAAAGTACCGATCGACGACTCTGTGTAAAACGAAACTTCTATCCCATAGTTTTAACTGATGCAAATGGCTACTGATCTTAACTTTGGCGATTTGTATCCTGTCTAAAACAGAACCTAGAGAGGAGCTTGTTCAGGTTAATGGTTTGAAGTATGATGAGATTTTCCCGACTGCCAACAACACTTTCCGCACGACAGTAAGCTGGGGGAAGCCACTTTTCACCCACAGCGATGTACAACACTACAGTTATAAAGTGGTGGCCATAAATTCTCCATTACGGAAAAGGAGGGAAACGCTTTCAAACACCATTATAACAACGGTAAGAGGAATTATTTTTTATCAGATAAGAGAAAACGCCAAAACAGTACTTGCAATTACCCACAAGATGTGCAGTGAGGTCCATGTACTGTACAAGGTAACTGAACAAAAAGGATCTCAGACTTGCTGTTTCTTAATTTCTACCTCAAATTTTCTGCATAACTCAAAAGGACATCAGGGAGAAGCGGTGGCGTTAGGGTTAGTGCGTTGAACTCCACGTCCTGAGAACATAGTACTCCATTCTCACAGTGCTTTTCTCCATCCAAGAGCATGGATGAATATAACCTAAATGTGTGAAAAGCCTGGAAAAATGCTAGGGGCAACCTTGTGATAGCTTAGTATCCTATTCCCGGGGGGAGTAGAAATACTCCTCGTTGCTTCATGCGACAGAAACTGGGATGAGCACTAGATGGAAAGGCCACTTCGCTCGAGTAAAGAAGTTTCAAGACATTTAACTCAACCAAGATGCTAATGAAAATAGAGGCGATTTGAACCTTTTATCCTGGCTAATTTGATCACCAGGAAATTCTGGGCGAATTTCAGAATAGATTGAAGCAGGCGCACTTGGCGATATTGCATGTCCATCGAGGCAAATTTGTCCCTTGAACTTGGTCCTTGGCTCTGTTCGAAACAACTCAAATTTTGGCGGCAGGTTAAGCTGCAAAAATTTGATTACGCATACGCATAAATATGATTACACATACTCATTTTCAAAAAAATCCACTATTCATGACTCGCCGTCTATGTGGTTTCTCTTCCGCAGACTGGTACCAATGTTACGATCAATGGGATCAGTCGAATCGATGGAGTCGAATTCCAGGTAATTTAGCATAATTCCTTCGCGTGAGCGAAGCTCAAGCTGTCTCCCCGCGTACAAAGGTTAACTGGTGTAAGAAAGTTAGTTATACGTGTAACCGAGATATTTAATAATAACTAGCATTGGATGAACATAGAAATTTCAAAAAATAAAGATCAACGATGTGAGTTTCATATGTAAGAGGAACATTGAGATATGGCTCTCCATTAGAAGGGTAGTGGAAGTCTTATCGCGCAACTGCTTGGGGCTCTCTGTGGTAGCGGAGCTCTTGTTCGCAAGAGCTATAATTGGCGACAAATTAAAATTGTAGACAAATTGACCTTTTAACCTCCTATTAATTCAGTTTTATCTCATTTGCCCTTGTTAAGTTAACCCATCGCCCCCTTCCCACCCAAACATGTGGAATCGTGATTCCATGAACTTTTAGCTAGATACAGGCACATTGAATAGGGGAGGGAAGTTCTTGTCAATGATTAAGAGTGTGGTAGAAACAGGAGTGTTATTCTACACATAAATAGGACTCTTCATCATGATGTGTCAAATCATTTTGACACTGATTGTAGCTTATTATGGAGTTTACTCACTTATTTGTGTCTTTTCAGGTTACTCCAGTATTCGTTGTGTCTGAGGTTACAGGTGCAGATGCCAAGATCTCGCTTGCCTGGAAATCCCAAACTGGTAACTGTTATATTTTTATTTTTGAAACGAGAGTAGCCGGGAATTTGGCGTCATCCTCTCAACTAATCAGACTCAAAACTAAAAGCAATCGCCATTTGGTTACTCGTGTATAGTCTTGGTTAAAGTTTGCCTGTTTTCACCTTGACTTCTTATTGACTTTTCGTGATTTAACTTATGATAAACTTGGTTTTGGTTTTGCGACACTCAGTCGAGAAGCATTCAAAGAAAATTCTATGCGTTACTGAAATATCTCCTTACATATATATTTTGCTCTTATGAAGTTAATAAAAGGTTCGACTTTGGCGACGATTACAGTGATTATGACGATGATGCTGCTGCTGATGACAAGGATGATGATGATGATCATTATTTTCAGATAAAAATCCTCTGTCTGATCCAATGACCGCAACTGAACTGGCTGGGCTTGTCATAGGAGTGATACTAGCTGTATTAATAGCAATAGCGTTACTCTTTTGGTGTTACCGCGAAAGACAAAGGCAGTTTGGAGCTAAAGGACGTGTCTCTGGGTATGTTGATTTATCGTCTGATAAATTTCATTTACTTTCTATTCATCTTTCATTCATTTATTTCTCGCCTTCGCAGCAAGAATGCTCTAATGATTGATCATTGGGAGGTAGATGGAGACTCAGTGACCCTGGAGGAGGAGCTTGGAGAGGGGGCCTTTGGAAAGGTGTACAAAGGGGTCCTCAAGGAATCTACATCACCATCACGGAGACTCTCCATCATGCGTCCCAAAAGCCCCATGCGTAGAAACACGCTCAAGCAGACGGAAGGACTTATTGTAGCGGTTAAAATGCTACATGGTGAGTTGAATTTATGTAATGTTCTCATACGTAAACGCCTTACACAAATGAAGAATATCACACCCCGCTGGAAGTGGTCAAAAGTCAAATACAATTATCATATTTCATTACAGGAATGGCAGATAACGATCAACGCAGAGAATTTCTCGAGGAGATACAGCTAATGAAAGCCGTAGGAACGCACAAAAATATTGTTAATATGCTGGGTTGTTGCACTGTGGAGGAACCAATGTTTTTGCTTGTTGAATATATTCCTTATGGAGACCTTTTGCATTACTTGCGAAAACGTCGAGGAAAGGTATTCACCTTACGCAATGTAGCATCAGGGTAGAAAAATAGCTCACTTTCACAATCGTTTTTTAAATGAAAATCCCCATTTGATGTGGGGAAACCGTAAACGAATCCTGCGTCGAGGAGCCTGAGTCATGTGGATACCCTTTCGGTGTCATTCCTATACTGAAAGACATGAGATCAGATATCTCGAGTAATAACTTGAGGCGGACCTCCTTACGAATAATGGATAATTTGCTGAGGTGAGACTTAATCAAGTTGATCTTGATGTAAGTAATCCATTGCAAGATTTTGTCTGTCTCATTTAAAAAGTGGCGAATTTCGAAATAACTATGAATCTTCAGGCAAAATTCTTAGCTCCTTAAATATGTCTACGAGATGCATGAATTATGCAGGATTACGGATGATGGGTCGCTTAATCGCTCTGACGAAGGGCTAACGCTCGAAACGTCAGCTTTTTTACCCTTTACGGTGGCTAATTTACGTTTTCAACCCAGTTGTTAACACTAAATTACCCGCTTAAATGTATGGTCGGTTTAGCAAAGCAATAGCTTGCAGAGTCGCACCGAATTAGGATACTTTTCTGCTTAGGTTAAGAGTTAATGACTGCTTAATGTGATTCTCAAATTTATTTTGCTTAGATTATTAATGAATGTTTAATCTAAGTATTAAATATATTTAGTTTATGAAAACTCGTAATCAATTTTAAGGATTGATGTGCTTCCGCGCGTTAAAAAGATCTTCTTTTGTCTTATTACATAGGTAAAAGAATATCTTGGTGACGAATCACGTGGTCCCTATCGTTCCACATACTGCGAAACATACGTTATGGACAAGCAGTTTGGAGAAAGAACAACAGTGGTAAGATAAAATAAAACCCCTCCTATCTTTCTGTGGACAATTTGTTCTGATAATTGTGTATTCATGTTTTATGCGTGGTAATGGAGAATTAGTCTTAAAAAAGTTGATGAAAAACTAAAATTTTGAGCCCTAGAAAGTCAGCAGGAAAACAACGACGTAAAGGGTAACAGTAACATGAAAGTTTTAACTGGAAAAGAGAGAAAATACGGCAAAGCCAAAAGAAATGAAAAGAATTAGAGATCTTAGTATCATTAGTCAAAATCAATTTTTTTGCCAGCGCGTGTTTTTTAAATTTTCAAATAATGTTCAAGCACCAAACTGAACAGGTAAGAAGTACGGACGGAAATACGTGCTCTTTAATAGCTCAACCGTGATATCTTTGTGACCAATTAAGGATAGCAATCAACTTCATCCTTCTCCTTTTTTTTTATTTTTATACCTCTTCCGTTACGTTCATGCCATTTCCTTTCAGGCCACAAGGAGTGACCGCATTTATGTAAACAGCCCTGATGCACCAAAAGGTGACGATGGAAATATTCAAATTCTATCATTTACACAATCTGCCAAAACAGAAGAGAGAGGGAGAGAAAATTTAGGAATGAACCAAGATGAAGTTCATGAAGACGCGGAAGACGACGAGGAGACTCTCACCCCAGGAGACCTTTTAGCATTTGCCTGGCAAATCAGCGAAGGAATGGTGAGACACTGATTTGTTTGAATCAACTCAGCAACAATTTGATGCTTACCTTGCGCGAGGCATTAACAATTTGCTAAATTGTTCGGAATGTCACAAGAATGAACATCAGACTATTTTCTAAAGAATATCACACTAGCCTTGAGTTAGCGAAGGATTAAGTGATTATTTTGAAGACGGTCACTAATATGCACAACAGAGTTTTCTATCTTTATTGCTTGACCCTATAGTTGACTTGTTCCACGCAAAAATGGACTAGCGTTTACGTGCTCGAGCGTGAGTTATTCTAGAGATTTCTTGGGTTTTCAACTGTCATCGAATGTTGGGACGGGAACGAATCCACCAGCAGGTCGGGTACGAACCAATACCAACCGGTTAAAATATTCAGAATTTGGGCACGAATCGACTGAGTGCAAACCATCCGAGGGTACGAAACGACTTGATATCAACTTGGGATGCGACTCCGTTAGCCTGCAACCATCAGAGAGATTGGTCTAGCTTTCCTATCATTAGAAGAACTACACTAGAAACGCATGAATCAAATACTATTCCCAATAAAAGATCTAAACATAGAAGAGGATATGTAGAATAAGCTCTTAAGGTCATCTGTAATAAAATTGTGGTATCACAGCAGTAGTTTTTCTTGCTTCAGTTGTTATCACTTGCCAAAAAATGTGGAGCTGGGTCAGGTTTAGTATATTTGAGTGAATGCATTATTTTTACTGATAAAGAATTCTTGTGATGTCAGGTTGTTTCTGTCATGGATGAAGTCTCCTAAATTCTTATTTTTGCTTTTAATCTTGCAGGAGTATCTGGCAAGGAAAGGATTCGTGCATCGCGATTTAGCGGCCCGCAACGTTCTTGTTGGTGATAATAAGATAGCAAAGGTAGCAGATTTTGGTCTGACTCGGCACGTTTATGAAGAGAAGGTTTATCATGCAAAAAGGAACCGGAAACTTCCCTTGAAGTGGATGTCAGTTGAGGCCATCTTTGATCAAACCTTCACAACTCAGAGTGATGTGTAAGTTAGAGTTTTTTTCTAAAATGACTTTGATTTTTATAGGCTGTTCATAAAAATTGAGTGACAATTGTTCATCTTATTTCAATGACTAGGTGGGCTTTCGGCGTGCTCCTGTGGGAGCTGGTAACATTAGGTAAGAAAAAAGTTCCCTGAAATTCTTTTCGTATATTGATTAATACGTTAGTCCACAAAAGCTAGTTGTGCGTAGTTTTTAAGCCAGTCCAATCCAACGTAAATTTGAAAGAAAGCCAATAAGACCTCACAGTAAATAGGTATTCAGGACATTACTGAAATAATCCCTTTGGCATAGATTGGCAATTGGTTGTTTCTCAGCAATTGGCTGAACAAGTTTTGTTCCTGAGTTTCTGAGGCCATGGAGCACTGAAGCAAAACCAAAGCAATATCGTGTGGGCCGGACATGTAAAGCGGCAAAAAGCATTTAAGTAACACAAAAACAGCCTCTAATACACAAAAAGTTTATTAAGAAAGAAGAACTTCATTATTCACTGGCACAACAAACGATGTAGACATTCATCTTGAATTACAACCTTGTAGCAAGTCCTGCGAAACCTGCGAAACATAACAAACATTACCTAGCGAAGCAAAATTCTACACAGAAACTATCTAACAACTTACCATGACGATGAAGGGACGGCATAACCGAGAGAAATCACAATTTTAGCATATCATAAACGAGGGTTTTATTACGTGCGATTTAAAAGTGAACAAGCTTCTGAAGCATTTTGGTCTTACGCGTAATGGACTTAACATTAACGACTTGCTGAGGAAGAGCCGCAACAGCGTTGTACTTGTTTTTGCATTTTTACGTTAATGACTTTACCAACTCATTTTATACTGAAATTTCTGAGGCGACCTCTTGCAGGTGGAACACCATACCCCACAGTAAACAACAGAGAGTTGCTTCGTCTTCTCAAAAATGGATATCGGATGGAAAAGCCAGACATCTGTAACGACGAAATGTAAGTAGCCATGCAGGTTATTTTTGTTTGACGTTAAAGCATTGATATCGCACATAAATCGAAATTCCAGTATTGCAAGGATCGAAAGGGTCTCAGTTTACAAGAAGAGAGCATGATCTGTCTTTCACCTGGTTTAATACCAGTTGAAAAAGACTGAAACGAAAAACAATTTCTTCTTTAGCTGAGTTAAGCTAGGCGATGAAATCATTTCAATGGCTCAATTTACGATTTTACTTTGCTCTTACTGTAATATGATTTTAAATTACAACAATTATCATTTAATCAAATTCATAAAATGCAATGGACGAGGAATTATCAGCATCTGAAGAAATTCTCAAGCGACTAACACCCCTAAATTGAACCACTACAGGTACAACCTGATGAGGGAATGTTGGTTGGAAAATCCCTTCGACCGACCAACTTTTACCCTAATCCGAGAGAGACTGGAAGAGATGATGCAGAAAGACAACCCATATTTGGACTTCAGCGTCCTCGATGAATCTCGGGATTATTACAATGTGCCGTCTTTTAACAGTTTAATAGATGAATCTGAAGATGATGTGTTTGAAAAAGAAGAAGGCTATGAGTTACTTGAAGAGGACCATAAAGAGATAATCATTGAAAAAGATCAGCCTATCAAGGACTCGAATAAAAACGAAATTGCTCCCTCGCCAAAATCTTCAAAGGAAGAAAATAACGAGCCAGTTGATGTAGACAAGATTGAATTTAACAACATTGCTTTTCAGAGTAAAGACTTCAATGATCTCAAAGAGGAAAAGGTAGATTTTGACGCTCTTGAAATGGCTCTGTATCGCCATGGCGGCAGGCATAGGAGCATTGTCCTTTAAGCAGAAATGATGAGCCAAGGGCACCCCGAGAACAAAACTCAAGCCGACCAAAAGTAAGAAAGAATCCAACAAGAAATTTGATATCTATCTTTACAATCATAGCACTTAAAATACTCCATATTTTGTTTCGTTTTCTCATGTTATTATTTTTTTTTTGGTCTAGTTATTTATCAGAGAAAAATGTTTGCGAAAACCCTAATTTGCAGTTTTCATTTAGGTTTTTTCACTTTTTTTTTAAGTGGATTTGCAACTTACAAGTTAAACCAATACCCTTAAGACAACAGCAATTTTTGCATGATCCTTTGACTGAGAAAACTGTAAAAAAAAATAAATCCTCTTTTAATAATTAAAGTTGTTTGTGTTAAACTTTAAGAGAACATTGCTGAAAGCACGAGGAAAAAGGTTCAAAATTTGTCTACTATCGTACGCAGTATAGATATACTAGTCGTTCGAAGCTTAATAACTAAACAGGCTGATCTCGTTTTTTAATTCGGTTTTGCTCAAGCTCCTCCCTTTATTCAGTAGCTACCAGCGAATAGATTGCGAGTAGCGTGGCCAATCAGACCACAGCATCTGCCATAAACAATTCGTATTGCATAGCATTTAATTTCAATTTCTCTTTATTTTTCGGCGCTTAAGAGGCAGATGTTAGACAAACATTTATGAGTCCCAATTTAACTGGGAGTGACTCTATTACTAATTTTCAGGAATAACATCAGTGGTTACTTCACGGGTTCATTACGAAGCAACAAAATGACTAGCTCCCAGTTGGCTTGATAGCTTAATGGTAGAACACTACACCAGTATCGTAGAGGCCATCGGTTCAATTCCCGCATACAGGCTTGAAATTGTTCTTTTCAGGCTTTATTTTTACTACTGCTAAGGAAGTGTTCGTTACCGCGAAGATCACTCTCATGTTCAAATATTATTAGCGTTATCACAATTATCGATATCACTACCATTGCACGAGAAAATTATCTTACCAGAGCAAAAGATTATAATCTCTTGTCCAGAATTATGATGACAAATTTAGGAAAACGAAATTAAAATTTTTATAAATAATATAGCTAAACGAACCGTATACCAGTAACAAGAAAATACTTTTACCGTAAATTTAGGCCACAACTTTCCTTTTGTAATTATCCAACTATGGAAAACCGAACGTAACCAGCAGGATCTGGTTTTCTATTATATTTAATAAATATCGCTATTAAGTAGCTTATAAAAGACATTTCAGGTCTTATGAATATCCTAAAAATTGAGAAGGATTCAAATAAATTCTTCTCAATCCTTTAAAATTTGCGAATAAAGATGTTTTGGATTGAAAAGTTGTGGTTTTTGCCAGACTTTAAATGATCGTCCAAAACAAAAAACAGAAATCTGATTTTCTGAGTGATTCCTGGGTGTAATAGAGTGAAAAATCTCAGTTTTGAGTTTGTACTCGGGGCCCTCAGATATATAGCCTTTTGTTTGGACAATAATAACAACCGGGGGGAAAATGAAACCAAACATGACAAGGTTCCGCTACTTTTAAGATCAGTATCGTTAGAAACCTCAATATATACAAAAACAAAACTGCGTGTTGCACGGGAAAACGCTAGTGACCAAGTCACGATAAGTGTTAGCTTTGCATTTGATTGGTTGAGAGAAATCTGGATATTTTCATCAGAAAAATAGTGTGGACATAATTCTTCCCATGTGGCAGCTGGTAAAAGATGGATATTAAAAAAAAAATATGTCCGTAAGAAAAAGTGCACATCATAAAAAAAAACACCCTTCACACCATAACATTATTATGTATATTCTCCTTACTGTTCTCCACCCAATGCCACAGGTTCTGACAGGGAGAATTTATTTAAAAATCAAGAGCTTCTTTAGTTGGTGATCATTTCCTTTATTCCCATGACCTTAATGTTTGATTTAGAGGTGATACTGAAGGGAGAAATTAGATGCTAGTCACTCTTAGGGGTTAAAGGGTCAATTTGTAATACTTAGAATGACAGAAGCATTAAAAACGCATTGAGCTTTTTCCTCTTCACCAGTAAGTTAATTAGATTTTGGATTCTACATTCAAACTGGGTGAGATTAAATTTATTCATATATGCTTCATTATGGTTTGTTTACTTGGAAAGGTAATTGTTGTTATAGCTTCACAGATGTTTTGGTTGCTGTAGCAATTAACATTCAAAACAAAGTTTCATTTAACATAGAATGTTTCAAGATCTTTCTTCCTTTCTCTTCAATACCATTTGTTATTTCTGAAGCACAATTCAAGGAGGCAGGTTATTAAAAAAAATTACAACTTTTGATTCAGGTAATTATTTGAATATGTGAGTAACATTTAATGTTTTCACATGTAAGAGGATGATCAAGCTGAAATAGCCTCCAAAGGAGTGAACTCCACTGTAACAATTAGGTGACTACTTTGGAAACTTGAGCACTTGGTAAATACACCTCGCCTTGCAATTCTGATGATTACAGTTTGCTGAGGTAAATAAAATGACTCAGTCCCCATGCAGGAACTTTCCGCATAACCAGTACAGTCATATGCTATGAGATAACTTTAGAAAAATGCATTTGTGTTGGTAGAACTATTGTAAGTACAGTACCACCTAGTGACAAAAATCAACAATTTCCTGTAAGCATGAACTTTTGGGAGAAGTTATGGTGGTAATTGACCATTTCATTGCAAGGATGCATAGGATATGATGATTGCAAAGTATATCTTTTAGATTTCAAACTTTCAACTTTTTATTGATTGTAACTTTTTGCCATATCTATTTCTCTGTGCCTTAAGCCCTCAAAGTTAAAGCAGGTGAATCAATAACATGACTTCTTTTGTTTGGAGTTGTGTGATTATATAATTTTGCTGTGTAAGTTACCACATTGTATATGTAATATTATTATATAGATTGCATTGAATACTCTTGTTCAAGCTTTCATTAATGTATTCTGTTTCTTACCAATGCTCATACCCAAACTAAACATTGATGTAAGGAATTTTTCACAAGATGTGCGAATTTTGAAGGGTGGGATCTGGAAAAGCAAGAATCCTCCTTTAATCAGGACCTAAATTAATGAAGGCCCTATAATGCCTTAGCCTTATTGGTTAAAAAAATAGATACTTATGAATATTTATTCAAATAACATAATCACTATCAGTCTCATTCACTCTCACTTTCCATTGAGCTTATGGAAAGATTATAACCTCAGTATTTTTTTAAATGAAGAAGGAAAGCCTGTCCTCTTATTACAGATAGTTCATTTGTGCATTATCAGTACAAACCTGGTCTAATTTGTACAGGGAGGTGATTGTTCCAAGTAGGCTAACCTTATAAATTAGTTATGAAAATTTCTTGAACCTGCTGTAGTATGAATATTATATAGACTCAATTTTACCTCACTAACCTAAACTAAATAAATAGAAACTCGAAATTTATTTGTTATGCTTTTGAGGTGTGCATCAAAGTTTCAAATCATCGCAGGCTTAAAATACAGTTTTATAGGAAATCTGCATTTGCGTGTGTTTTTAACGTATAAAACCAGGATTATGACTACTTCGAATGACTTTATCACGAGCCGTGCAGGTATAGGCAGTTTGCCCACCTTTTTCATTAGTACACATTTCTTTTTTCCAAGAATCTTGGTTATCCGGCCTAAGCTGAATTCTAATTTTCAACCAAATTTTATTTTCTTTCGAATATTCTTAGATTTCCTAGTATCAGTTAATATTCATGTAATTAAAATAATAACATGAGATCTTACAGATGTATGGCACATTATTTTTTTCCTGTTATCCTACAAACATTTTATCGTTTTAAAATTGAGATAAAACATTAAGTAAAAGCATATTAAAATATGTTGACGACGTTTCGACGTTTGGCTAACGTCATTATCAAGTCAAAGAGTATCAAAGTCCTCTTTTTTTGATGAAACTATCGCTCTTATATACATAAAGTCCAAGGATCTAGACACTTCTTTAAAGAACTAAATTAAGAAGACTAACACGGTTTCTAAACGTGGGTAATTACATAAAAAATAGAACGTTCCAGAATGTTCATATACAAGAAGGCAAGAAGGTCACGGCTGGATGACTTCTAGACTGTTCTATAAATTTTCTAAGACTTAATTTAGACAATTTTTCGTAACAATAATGAGGGGCTAGAAAATAAACTAACAAGAGCTCCGCTTTTAGGCTTGGCTAAATCTATATATTAAAGCATATTGTCTTTATGTTTTTGTAGTTTATAATTTAGTACTGTGGATAGGTACTGGGGTTAAGATATGCAGTGTTATGTTATTTTTTACGTCGTGGTTTAGTTGCTACACTGGTATGTATTGAATCTGTGACGTTCGTGGATCTTGTCCGTGAGTATTTTTGCAATGTAGTTCACACTTAAAACTTGTTAAATAAACTTATCCTAATATCTATGTAGTTCACTGTTTTTTTTTATATCCATGAACATAATTGGCTTAGGACGGTTTTGCAATGCATTAGACATTTCCGCAGCGTGTCCTTGTAATATTTGAACTGACTGCTCAATCAAGAATACGTACTTATTGACAGAATAGGAGGGCCGCACGGGCAAGTATTAGGCTCGTTTTTTCATGAGGCACAGACTAAACGCAGCGACGTTCTCGTGTCATGAACACGAGATAAATATTTTCTCATTCGACCCGACCTGACTCAGTCAAAAAGCGTTTTATCATATGACCCCTGCAATTTCTTACTCTTTTTTTATTTCCTTGGGTCGCATCTCTTTGGGCTTAGCGGCTTTTTCTATAAGTGATCACGTCATTGCGTATTGCCCGACCGAATATTGGGATCTATTTCTGACATTTTTCAATAAAAAATGCGCTCTTTGCCGAACATGTACGTGTCACAAAAATATTGCCCTTAGATATTATCAGAAGTAAAAAAAAATCATCTGCCATTCAATTCATTGATAAAGTGTACATCTATTTCTGAAATTCCATTCCCAAGTAATATCAGGTACAGTTTAACTTACTTCTTCAGTGCAGTAAATAAGTGAAAAATTTAGGTTATATCATGCTTGCCATTCGTACAGATCCATATTTCATTCCATATTGTTTTTATATCAAATACAATGTCATTTAGAGTCTATTTTTGTTAAGGAGGATTTCGGAAAAATAAAAAAAAAGTGAAAATGCCCTCATGAGCTATGGATTGTTGAGCTAATGTTGACGATGTTATTTGTTTCTATAGTAACAGGTGCTCGAAGAGCTTGAAAGAAATATAAGCTCTATAGGCTTGAACTACGTATCTCAATCTACGTATCTGTATGTGACATGCAGTGTTGATATTTTAAATAAACAAAAAAATATTCCTTCTCAGCTTGAAATCGTTTCAAAAGCCAGCTTTCTCACGTTGCATGTTGTCCTCTATGATTGACAGATATTTTTTGATCGAATTGAGAAATCCATCAAACGCTAGTTGAAACGAACAAGTAATTACTGCACAAAAATGTATATCTATCTGTGATTTCATTTCCTTCCTGGTAATTTTTTTCGATGGACGTCAAAAGGAAGTGGGCAAGATGATAAGGGTCAGATTTCCTTTGTACACGGTCAAACCGAAGGCATATTTTTCTAACTGGGCTCACTGATCTAAGTCCCTTTAGTCTTGCAAATTCCCTAGATTACCGTATGTAATTAATTGAAAATGTGCGTCCGTTTTATGTTGCTGCTGTGGATTTGTTCTCTTTGTCACAACGGAGAAGGCTTCACTAAAGATTTGAATTCAGTCCTGCGAAAGGCAAGATGTTATGCAAACTGCCTCACCCGGGTAAGTTTATTTCCAAAAACTTGACGTTGAAGAAACCGCCCGAGGTTCTCTTAAAGTTTGAAATGAGTTCTTTTCCATTTGATTGAAACTCGACGGCTTTAAGTCGACCCTGTATAAATTAAAGTAAATCTTACCTTAACTTCACTTTGTAGCTTGACAATCTCTTGTCATGCTTATGCCTTTAAAACGTTCAATGATAATTGAATCAAAGAGGTTATAGACTAATATCAAATAATTTCTAACTAATCTAATTTCTGACGATTAACGATCGAGAACATATAAAAAATTGATTAACAGCCAACAAATCAAAGTCAAATCCAGTTCTTCTATTTTCAAGGTAAGATGACTGAGTTTCTGATTGGAAAGGATAATAATGCAAAGTTCATGTACTGCAACACTGCATGACCATCGTTTAATGAATAGCGCTGAAACGAAACATCTGTTTTTCTGTACACGAGTTTTATCAATCAAAGCTTTAGTCATGGAACTTTGAAGGCGTATCTATTGTTTTTTAGTATTTATAGCCTTACAATCTTATCATTTTTTGACTTAATAAGGACGTAATGTTGACGTCAAAACGTCATTAAAAGTATTTATCGCAATTTTTTATTTAACAAATAGAGAAGCCTTGACTGTGCTCTGTTCTGTTATAAAGCACGCAAGAAGCAGCTAGAGCACGAAAGAAGTGTAGGGAGAAACACGAGACGTAGTCGAGTGTTTCTTCCCACTTCTTGAGTGCTCTAGCCGCTTCCTAAGTGCTTTATAACAGAACAGAGCACAGTCAAGGCTTCTCTATTTGTTTTATAATAAAGAATCCGTTAAATTACCCAAGCATTACTTTCAATTTTCAAAACAAACTTTATTTCCAAAGCGAACAACAATGTCGTCAGCATGCTCTATACTCTCATAAAGCACGCTACAATAAGCCAATCAGAATCCTTGTTAGAATGGTTCAAATAATCTGATTGGCTGCACAAGACTAAAGCTGTCAAAAGTGTCAAATCATCAAAGTTCAAAAACCATCAAAGTTCACATTCTACGATAGTTTACAAACTAAAATAGTTCGGCAAGTCGAATTTAACACTTTTGCCTGAAGTTTTGAAGTCTCTAATACAGAATCTCGAAGTGAAATGTTCAGTGAAATTCAGCCGAATTACGGCTCATAAAAACACACGAATTTTTTCCACATGACAAGGTAGAAAACAAGCTGTTCAAGGCGAGTGTTTTTTGAATGAAAGACAGCCGAATTCACCGGAACATGAAGATCGCTCGTGATGACAGCGCCGCAAAACTCGGCTGCAGTGACTGATGTGAATTGCCACTCAACGTATCGGAAAGGATATCAGAGCAAGCTCTTATTTTTTCACTCGAAGGGCGGCCGATGTAGTTTCTGAGGCTTGCATTACTGTGATGACCGGAGACCGCCATGATGAGCGAGCCGCGATGAACTTCGGCATGATCATATTCGCTCAGACACCGTCATGATTAGTATGAATTTTAACAATTATGCAGTTTGGTTATATTTTTCACCTTTTCTGTTTTGTTCTGTTTTGTTTTTGAACACTGAACTTTATATACTATACGAGTGTTAGCCGTGTTTGATTTTTATTACCATACGTAAGCTTGCAATCTAACTGAGCATGAAAATCTTTAAAACTCGGAATGTTTATTCTGTTTTTCCTTTGAGGATTTTCGTATCTGCTCACGTTTTAATAACGTAAATTACGGCGCCTGGTATGTTTACAAACCTTTGTTTGATTCTTCTGTTGCTACTTGCCGGCTCGCTTCAGTTCCGAAATTTCACTTTCAATATCGGGAAAAAGCTAAAAAGAAGTCCCGGCAAAGGTCGAACATAGTACGATTGGCAGATGGCGTGACAGCTTTAGCTCAGTTCTATGCTCTATACTCTCATAGAGCACGTTCTTTCAACCAATGACAGCGCGCGTTATATCCGAACTTTATTATAAAGTTAAATACTGCTAATTCCAATGATAATAATAATGATAATGATAATAATAATGATAATAATAATAATGATAATAATAAGAAAAATGAATCCACCACTCCCCTAATGGCCTGGGGTTTTTTCAGGGCCAATATACTGTTATAGGCGAGACTTTGGGACTTGAAGTAAGTAAGACATGACACCCAAATGCCTGAATGCTTAAAAAACATTTTTCTAATTTTTACTAGAACGGGGTTAAGAACGAATCGGAGACTTCTTGCCTGACACAGGCCTGTAAAGAGGTGAGTATTCTTATTTATTTAAAACCCTGCGATAAGCTAAAACCATATGTCCAATACATTATCGAGTTTTCAAAACGGCGCGTTCGGATAAAACATACAAAGTAGTACAAAATCTTATAAAGGACACTTGGCAACACCTCGCCCGAGTCGGTACGAAGGTGTTGTCACGTAACAAGGTTTGGTTACCGACCAATTATTTCAAGTAAAAGTGAGATAAAAAATGATTTACAAAAATCAGCCCAGGCTTGAAAAGCAGATTCCCTTCGTCTCTTGCCGAATGTTCACTCTCAGTTGATTTTTCTGCTACAAGTATAATATTTCAATGTACCAGGGGCATGAAGATCTTTCTGACTATTATAATTCATTTTCAAATCAGTGATGATTTTTCTTCTAGTGTCTTGCACCTTGTAACGCGAAAAGGACATTTCCAGACGAGAACTCATGCAAAGCAAGCTGTGTAAGTAGCATTCTCGTTTCCACATCCATTAATAAATGTTTATGATATCTCTGAATTTCTTGTTTGTTGAACACCGAAATAAAACTGATTCGCCCCTCCACAAAAATGAAATTCACAACCGTTTAATGGAAGCGAAGAGCGAATTTGAGCCCTTCAAAGTAATTGGGTTATGATTCTTGTGTTAGGTTCCAAAGGGCTCTAGGACCAAGAGCGCCTGGTGCGATTATTGTTATGTGCTAATAGAATCTCTTATTACTTTTGATCATGAATGGGTCCTTGCGAAGTTTCAGGGAAAATGAGACATAGAGGGGTGGTGAGTGGAGGAACCTTCACAACCCATTTAGGATGATCGTTTATACAGTGGTGTTTTAAAGCCATCGGTATCTCATTGCAGGATTGTGCGTTGTGTATTTGGATTACAACAGTTTTCTGAAGCTTTAGTGCATATAACTGGAAAGAGTCGTATTCTGTTAGCACCTCCCAGAATTTTCTCCATTTTCCGTGACTTAGACTCTTTTCACATTTGTGATGATACCATCTTAAAAAATCATCATGAAACTTACATAACTAATGATAGGGCTTTCTTACCCACTTTAGAATGCGCACTATGAACTTTTACCTAAACGGCCTAATCTCATATTAATATTTTTATTTCAGAACAAAGCCATTAGTTGTTTTGATAGTTGTGAGTTCCTGACATGGCTGAAGAATTTCCAGTCTTCATCTAATGGTGATGGATCCTTACTACCAGTTCCTGGGCCACTAAATGTGACAATTTTGAATTTCACATCACTCTCCTTACAATGGTCACATGTCCTGAACTCAAATGGCACTCCTGTTTACTTAGTTGAAATAATGTTTGATGATGAGGTATCCAGATTAGGTCCGTTCTATCCGGACCAGGTAATTTTAATTTCTATTTGCGACACTCATTGTCCTTCTCACTAATTCAGTTCAGGACTTTAGGCACTGTGCCATAGAGCCCAAAACGGAGTCCAAGGTTCGTACTGTAGGCTAAGGAGCGAAGGGCGTTGGCCATAAATCCGAGCGAAAAAAAGATCCATAACTTAAAGTGCGGACTGAGAAAACGAAGATAGTAATGTAGTTATTGTATCTCTATTACGAACTCGACCAATTTACCAATCATAGCACAAGTTCTAACTGAGAGATCTATTATGATGTGATATTGGTACTTCGGAAAGGATTGTGGGAGTCTTAGTTCCAGACAAAATTATGCTTTTTTTCTGATAAATATTAAACAAAAATTAAATAGAAAGTTAAAATGATTTATACTTTAAATATTCGCTGGGAAATATTCAATATGCTTTAAAAACAAGAACAAAACTGGACTGAACAAATGGAGGAAGTAAAATCATTAGCGTAAAAGTCCCATTTAAATTTTCTTGTCGATATGCATTTTGGGAAGAGTCCATTACCTGATGAGTTTCCTTACAAAAAAGTTGTATCATTATCATCTTTAGTATCATAACTGTTATTATCAAGTAGAGCGCTTTTCGACTGATTGTCGTAGAAAAAACAACAAAAGAATTTCAGCTGCCAATGATGCGAAAGGAAAATGCCCTTAGTGCCAATGAGAACTCAGAGTAAGAACGAGCTAACCAGGCAAAACGCGGAAAAACGCGGGCGACCAAGTCGAGATTGGTGTTAATTTTGCATCTGATTGGTTGATAGAGTGGCACAAGTTTTCTGGACCAATCACAGAGCAAAATAAAGCAAAACCAAAGAAATCCTGGATTACTTTTGACACTCAATTGAAAATTACTTTAATGATCCTCAATGCTATCCTTGTTGATATTTTCTTCCACCGTGTTCAGCTGAGACTGTTCATTTTCTGATTCATAAAATTTAACGTTTCTTTTATCTTTAATTTCGCCAAACCTCCCTTTCGAGAAATAATATTCTTTTTGTTTTTATTTTCATTTTAGGTCATCGTCGAGTCAAAGGTGATGCTCACCTTTCATCACCTGTGTACTTTTACTCCAGATAAAAACCAGCGCGCTGAGTTCAAAGACATTAATTTCTCGTTTAGAGTTGCTGTTCTGACAGAAAACTCTTCTGTAAGCTACGGACTCAAGTCAAATAGCATCGGTAAGTGAAAACAAATGTTTAGGCCACTTCGGGAGTGAAACCCATGTCATGGGTTCAACTCCCATTCACGGAGAACTTAAATAATATCGCCCACCTTTCCGCCGAATCGTTTACACCGTTCAATGGATAACAAAAAATACAAGGTACTGCCATTTTAATTTTTAAATGTTTTAATCTCAATCATCTGCTATTTGGTGTACCTCATCATGTTATCTAAAGCCTCTCTAAAGACGTGGGCCGGAATCTTAAATCTTCGAATCTGATTTGGAAATCAAGCGCTCGTAACCGAACCAGCTTTTATAACAACGACCAAGGTGCGGATTTTTTTCGCACCATACGCAAGGAAGCGGAATAGTAAACCGGCAGAAAGATAAAAATATGCTCTTAATCATAACTATGACAATTTCCTCAAACATGATTGGTGCGTTAGCTGCTTTATTTTTTACTAATCATTCTACAGAGTTGGACAGTGTAATCGGACAGTTGACTGTAATCGGACAGTTGAAGTAGCCAATCAAACCAAGTCCACTCAGCCAAATCCACCAATCACAGAATTAATCACAATAACTATAGCAACAACCACTTATCCTCAAAACAATTAAGGAATTTCCAAAATGGAGAAATTTTTTTCCTTTAGACATTGTCTCTATCAGAGATATTTGACCTAAATATATTTGTTGCTTTTGGAAACTGCAAACGTTATGATTAATTGGTAACAGAACTTCTTGTCGTCCAATTCCTCTTGTTCCTATTACCATTATTTATCGGTCTAGGTTGGTATGGAAAAAAAAACTTTGCAATTGCTCTCATACGGACCTCCCACTCAGTAGATAAGATTAGTTTACGCGTTCCATTTTGGAAAAACCTTTCACTTAGCTTTATCAAATGTCTTTCTTTATTTGTATCAGCCTTCCCAAAGCCAGATCCTGTAACAAACGTGACTCTGGATAGCCTAGAGTACGATGGTAACCACGATGGAAATAAATTACTGATGACATCTTCTTGGAAAGCACCTAAAGGTTGAACATTTGATGGAATTCTCATTTGAGTTCTCTGGGCTGAAATATGTTGTTTTTAAACAATAACAGGAAAAATCGTGTCATCGATTTTTAAAGGCCCACAGAGACTTTCCTATTTTCCACTCTTAAACAATTTAAAAAATATGAAGTCGTTCCGGAAGCCCTTTGATTAAAGAGTTCTTTTCTCAATCCAATCTTCTCTACCGTCGATCGCCTCATTATTAGAACTGCATTCCCTTTATGTAAACAAATCTCCCCGACCCGACAATCCAAGACGGGCGTACATTTCAGAAAATACGACTTACGGCTTTTTTTTAGATGATAAAGGCCAAAAACATAGGCTTGCTAACGGAAACGATCTTTTCGAATTTCCTATTTAGGACAAGAAAATATTGTTTCAAACTATGCCTTGCGTTGGAAACAGGATTCTCAGTGCCAAGGCAACATCTTTTTCAGAAATCGAGAAACCACAGGGGTAAGCTTATGAAACAATCAAGCATCCTAGAATTACTAAGGAGTATTTACAAAAAAAGAAAGAAATACCCATAACTTAACACCCAAACTTCACGACAGAAACCCAAGTCATTCGGCTGACATCAAAAGAAGATGAACTGCATCGCAAGTATGGTCTCTCGAAAGATACGTATTCCTCTTGTTTACCCCTTAGCTCCAATGATTGACCAAGAGAGAATTTCTCCTTACAATATCAATACAATATCAACTAGACAAGTAATGAGAATAAAGAAAAATATCAATTTGGGGATAATTCATACTAAGTTCTCTGAACTAACATTATAAGAATTGTATTGTTGAAAGTAAGGACAATTACAAATTTGATCTGGGAGTTAAATGGTTAACAATCAACCCCAATCTTATGTGGCAGACGTGGTGGTCAAATGGTCAGCGCACTGGGCCTAGGTTCAGAGGTCTAGGTTCGAGACCTGGTTGGGTGAATGTGCTATTTTCTTTTTACTCTCACCATGCCTGTCTTCACTCAGGAGTATAAAGGGGTACTGGAGAATTTTCAGAAAAGCCTGATGAAATGGTTTTTTTTTTTTTTTTTTTTTAATAAAGGGGGGTTGTCCTTGCAATAGACTGGCATCCTATCCAGGGGGAAGTATTGCTAACCCTGGTTACTTTATGCTACGGACACAGACTTTTCTACCTTCTAATATGATAACTTCCAAACTGAGAAGTCATGTCAGTAGAACTAATAATTTTTGACGTTAAAAAATACTTACAGACTGTTGACTGACTTGAGATATAGAATATATAAATAACTGCTTGATTTGAATAGTATTTTTTTCAAACTTAAACCCACAACTAGTGTTTTTTTGCAGTAGTGATAAAATTGATATGCTAATAATAATAATGATTATAAAAATTACAGCTATAATAATGACACTGTCACCACAATAAGGGCAGCTTTCGTCGCATAACACCCTTAATCTTTGAGGAACGTATAAACGTCTTAAAATGAGCCCTTTGATATCCATTTTTCACAGCCTCAGACACGATACAATATGTCCCTGTATGCACAAATGAAGAAATGTGCCCACAAGCTCGAGGTAAGATGGAATACACTGTAACCTTCCATCGAGACAAAGATACTAATTTTGTGAAATTCCATGATTCACATTTCCTGAGAGCGACGAGTCTTATTCGAATCAGAAAAATGAAAATAAAATGACGTGCAATTTCTCTTCAAGTGTTTACCTTTTTGTCAAGCATGTGACAGATTGATTTTATATCGTTCTTTTTAACAATTATTTTTATATTAATAAAGAAAAAAACTAAACTGTTGTTCTCGTCTTCTCTATACGAAGATAGAGCTCGTTTCATTTGACGCTTCGGCTGTTCTGAGTTTAAAGATCTTCATACTTAAGTTTTAACTTTTATCAATGTCCTCTCTTTTGAAGGTCTTTACCATAATTGGCTGCAGTGTGAGCGTTCCAGCAATTTTAAGATACACTTACCCAGGTAAAATAATCACTTGTATCATCTGAAATATAACCATACATAAGCTGACAGGGACCGTAATAAATTTGTGACGTCATTTCCAGGTTGTCAAAACATCACAAGTTTTCCAAAAGACAACTGCTACAAATGTGAGTATTCTCTACAACTGATGCACTTAAATTCTCGTCAAAATTGTCTTCAAATATGCCAATGCCGCCATTTTGAATCCTGCTCGAATCTGGGCGCTCCACTTTTGATGTCATTAGTAATTACTAGTAAGTCTTATTCTGCTTTTCCCATCTCTTGCTTTCCTTCTGATGAACAATTTGGGGCCACACAAAAAGACTTTCTTTACTCAAATAATAACTTTGTTGCAATCTCCAGTGCAGCGGTCGATGGGAATTGAGGGTTGTGGTTTTGGTACGCGAACTGGTTACCAAGTTATCCTTTCAGAATGGCGGCTCCCGGTGCCTCACTTTGACACATTTCAAGAAGTCTTTGTTACTTAATGAAAAGTAGTAAACATTTTGTACGATTTCAAATGGCAGTGATAGAAACTTGGTTAGTTAAGCAATGCCTCCAATGCAAATGGTCTATTTTTTTTTTATCCTATCCGCCCATTATCATGAAACTACAAATTTACTGATTGGGCTGGAAATATAGGCTGTGATAGACCTGGTCCGCAAATGCGGGAAGAATAATCTTAGGGTTGATCATATTATCACTCATCATACCAAAAAGGTTATTGTAAAAATGCAGATAGAAGAAATATGTACTTATGCTATATTACCACTCAAGTTTTTCTTTACTACAAACGGCCTTCCACAGTTGACCCTCCAGATGCGCCAATGGCAGACAGGATGGTCACTAATATCCGTCTCGCAGAACCTATGACACCTGCTCCGGACTACAGATTTTATGCGACGTTTACATGGAACCCGCCAGTTTACCCTTACAAGAACATAACTGAATACGCGTTTACATGGTCCAAGCAACCTGAACATCTGTATTTAAACAAGGGTGGTGGTAGCCCTGTAAGTTTTTTCATTTGTTTATTCGTTGATAATTTTAAATTGAATGTCAAAAGATATCTGGACCGCTTTTTTTTTTGCTTAACATCGCTCTGTGGTTGTTCCCGAAAACTTGCCCAACTGTTTCAGCCTACCAGATACACGACTTGGTCACTCGCGTTCTCCCGCGCTTTAGGCTAATTTTCTGTGAGTTCTCATCTATCCTGTTGTTGATTTGGCCTTGGTTGTTTTACAAAAATTAATAGCGAAGAGTGCTCTACGACAAGATCAATAATAACTATAGCTAAAACTACAACCTCAAAAGCGCAGGAATCACAAATAAGTAAATTCTTTAACATAACTCAAAGAAAACATTAGACTTCTCTTTGCTTTTTCAACTGCAGCTTTCTAATAGCAAGACCGTAAGTGACCTTTTGCCAGGGACGATTTACAAAGTTCAGGTGAGAAGAAATTCTACTTAAAAATGTGTCTGTCACTGCACAAGTATAATCAGTGGGAAAGGAATGTTAGGGGGCAAAATCCTAAAATCGTAAAATCCTCATATTTTGAATTATATAATTTGGCAATTAGCAGTCTGATCGAATCAAATATGTTACACGAACTAATGGTTTTACGCTTTTGAAGAAGGTTTCCTGATCATCTCTGATTAGTGAATAACAGTTAGTATTTCAAGACAAAGCTATTTCATTAATTCTCGGTGCCTTTCCTCCACAGGTCCTTCCAGTGTTTCAAGATGGAAGGCCTTCGTCAGATTTTAGCGATGCAACTTTTACCACTCCGGGTGAGTGATGAAAAAATGAAATAACTTGTATAAGAAGTGGGAAGGTAAAGGCACGGGAGATTTTGAAAAGCTTCTGCCCATAAAATAAAAACATAAACTCAATTGCATTAACGTTGTCATAGAAACAAGCAAAAAGGAAAAAGGTTAAGGGTAAATTTAATAGGCACAAAGCATAACAAGAAAATTTTAACTCTTGAGCAGAAGCATATGGCTCTAGCAAATATACTTTTCCCCCCTAATTTTTCGAATCACTTGAAATCGATAAACACCTTATTTTCACAAGAGGTTTAATTTTCTTTTTTTTTTTGTGAAAATTGTTCAGCCACCGGGCTTATCGCCATAGGGCAGTTTTATGTGCAAATCGATTCCTGTTTAGTTTTTTTTCCTATTTTTTATTTTAATTGTTGCAGTTTGGTGTAGTTCAACTTAATGTTGCATTCTTTTTTTAACGCTTTCACATACGATAAATAGAGAGCAGCTATTCAGTAATTCCATCGAAACATCTGCAAATTGTATTTCTTTACATCATGTTCATTTAGGAAATCGATAATTTTGACCACTGTTTTGACGAATATCGTCGTCGATAAGAGTACGTACTACACCAAACCATTCTTTGTTTTTTTTTTACCACAGTACCGACGTCAAGTAAAACGATTCTTTCAGTGCGTGACCATTGCGTTGACGCTAGCAGCGTTGTCTGTACTTTGTCTGTACGGCAAATTGACCAATCAGACCGCGACATTACTGCTCTGCATCCCAGGCCCCCCATCCCCCATTACCGCGTAAAATGAAAAATAGACGGAAGTTTTAAGTTGCCTATTGCCGATTCTCGCGGTTTGTTCGAAGACACTTTTTACCATCCAGGATGATTAAATATTTTTTACTTAGGGACTTGTCAGAAATTAGCAGGGGGGGAGGGGGGGTGGAAACAGATAGGGGGTCACAACTTTTTGAGCCTCAGAAAAGGGAGGGGTCATGAAAAATGGGCAGTTCAAAGGGGGAGGGTCATGCATATATATGCCCGTGATCATGTAGAGGTTCACCCACAGAAGAAAAAGGAAGTTCTTTATTTGGCAAAAAAAAAGAGAAAAATACAACGGTTTACGGAACGTTATGGATATAAACTGTGAAGTATTATAGCAAGAATTTAACAAACATGTACTTTTCATTTATAACAATGCTATATAGTCTTATTGAAATTATGAATAATGTTGTTATTAATAATGTTAGTAGAGTTCTGGCTATCCTATTCATCACTGTCTTCAGCATCACCATCAATGCTGCTGTGAGAATCTTGATCATCATCATTTATCTCATCAGCATTGATACAATCACTTTCATCGTCATCATGATTTTCATTTAAGTTGAAGCGTAGATATTGCTTGATAATGCCCTGTGATTCTTTGGTGAACAATCCCTTTTCAAAGGCATATTGGATATATGGCCTTTGTGTTTTGAGGAGCCCACTTATTCCTTCATAAGTGTAGTGTATAATAATGTATTGCAAGAACTAGATTTTATCATTTATACAAGAGGGGGAGGGTCATGATATTTTAGGCCAAGCTCAAGGGGAGGGTTAGCAAATTTCACTCCCATTGCAGGGATGGGTCACCTAATTTCCGAACCCAAATTTAAAATTCCCACCCCCCCTCCCCCCCTGCTAATTTCTGACAAGTCCCTTAACACTGATTTTGTGGTTTCTTTTTAAAAAGCAGAATTGTGATTTTTTACTATCCTTCAAGTCACACTGACTGAAGCTATCCGATCTTTCATAGATGGACATTAAATTTAAAAATGATGGTAAAAACACTACAAAAAATTCCAATGATGGCATGTTCATGGATTCAATAACTTGCGCTGGACTTGATGCGAATGACGTCCTTAGAGTCAATCCATATTTCACACTGACGTTTCAAATTGAAATTTCATAGTAATTGACCAGCCAACTTTTATTAGAATTACGTTGTGTTTGCCAAAGTCCTAATGCGGTAATCTTGGATCTTGTTTTCAATATCACTTTTATTAAAATGAATAAAAAGAGGATCCCTTGTTAAAAAATTGCCAACACCGTAAAATGTCTTTGACAATGTCAATCGAAAATTTGTCAATCTATTTAAAATGAATTTTTAATCTCGAAACATTGCCCGTTAAAAAAAATTTAAATGGTTTCATATTCCGTAGAGTGGTATCTTTTTTTTTTTTTATTTGCAAAAACGCAGTAGTTATATGTTACAGTTATAATAATAATTTCGTTTCTTTTTCCTTTTTTGAATTTAAAGGGCTCCCATATTCCGTGGAGCGGTATACCTTTTAATGGTAAAAAATGCAAGAGTTATATGCTACGTTTCTTACTAGTTTCTTATCGACAAAGCATGACTCGACCTAACATCGTCAAACAACTGACAATAACAATATCTTTCTCCTTGCTGTTATACTAGGCATTGATCCAAACGAAGTCAAAGTAACCCATTTGACCGCTGGCCAATTCACCGAGTCTTCAGACGGTGGCAGTTTAAGTGTTGTTATATCATGGGAAAAGCCTATTTTTAACTACAGCACGCTTGCTTTGTATACATTTCGATACAAGGTCGGTAACAAAAATGGCAAAGAGGAACTGATGGTAAGAAACTGTGTATTGAAAACTTTAAGACTATATAAATATCACATACTAATCACATACACGAAAGATCACTTAATACCATCAAAAGACTGACCCAGACAGATTGGTGTTGAAGCCATTGCAAAGACACTTTTATACTGCTATAAGTCAGACCACACCGAAGAACGTTTTTTCCTAATACGGCCTATCACTTTTCCCGAAAAACTTTACGCAAATACATGCGAGACCCCTTTACTTATGATTTCAAATCGTCGACCAAAGAATTCTTTTAGCCTTTGATAAGATTTTTTTAATTACTTTAACTTTATTGATGGATTCGGCAACAGGAGCATTCTCCAATTAATCGGGGATTTTTCAGTTTCCGGAACGAAAATTTCTGTGCATCGACTCTTTCACAGATTTCTAAACGAACGTTGCTATGAATAGTCAACAGAAATTGTCGTTTCTTTGCCTGGCAAAGGACTAATCATAGCACTTTTCTCTCTCGTTTTTAATTTGGATGTTTTGAATGATATATTTTGGTTGTTGTGGATACTAGTGCTTTCTCTGAAGTAACTGAATGTAATGTAATGGTCTCCGACTCTGAACTCTGGAAAACTTTTCCAGATAGCATCTGTTTATGTGACAAGTTAGACACTTTTAAATCTAAGCTTATGACCAATATTTTTGAAAAATATCTTTTTTTATAGAAATTTTAATCTTGTTTTAGTAACATTGATTTAGTTTCCATTCATTGCCCATTTTTGTAAAGCGACAGGAGCTTGTTCATCCATTTACCTTTATTCTAATATTTATACTTTTTTATGTTTATTTCTCAGCCTAACCAGACATATTTCAGCATTTCTGGAATGCTGCATGGTAAACTGGTCAGATATTGGGTAAGCTTATGTCCACGGATTTGTCCATTTATACGGGGTGAAACCAAGAATTTCTGGTGGCAGAGGGGTTAAGGATTTTACCTGCCTCTCAACGACAATTCCAACCTTAGTTGAAGTTCAAGTCTTCCCTATCCTGGTTATAAGCACTGCCAATTTAGTGACGAAGAACTCCTTGGCGTGTAAATCAATACACTAAGTAAAAATTTCTGGTATTATTACTTCAACAATTTAAACGAGCCATATAGTAGTTATGTCATCTACGATTCTTTTTAGGTGACGCCGCATTACCAACACGATTGGGTCAAAGGAGTACAAGTGTATGGAAACATTACAGCGCCTGGTTAGAATAAGGAAAATCCATTAATTATAAATAAATGGATAGGTCATAGATGTTGGGCTATTCCTTAAAATGGGTCTCAAGAATAATATTTAATAATAATCTGTGTGAAAAGTACGATAACGTGGAAACAATCCTGCTCGAGCAAGAATCAAGTGAAATTCAGTTTCAAATATAATTAACGAGAAAAAAGCTAAGGGTTCCTTTGTTTGTTCCAAAATCCCGAATTAAAAGGTACCGTTCAAACCTCTTCAAAATCTAACTGAGTACTCCCCAAAAAATATCGACAAAAAAATAAGAAACCAAGATATCACGCTTGAGGAGACGAAGAGCAGTAATTAGTGCACCAAAATTTTGCATTGAGAGACAACTGACTGCACTCTCTACTTAAACGATTCTTTTTCAGAATTTCTTGCAACACTTAAAGTTTGGGTATTCGTGGGTGCTTGACGGGAACATTTCTTTTATTTTTATGTTTTTTTTTCTTTTCAAAGAGCTTGACAACCAGGAAATACAAGTGCAAAACCTACGTGTAGGTTCGTTTCTCGAAGACGAAGAAAGCAACACTTTCAGCGTCAATTTCACCTGGGAACCTCCGCCATTCAAGTTTAGCACTGTGCACTCTTACACTGTGTCTTATGAATTATACGGAGGTTATTCAAGGGAAGAGCTTTCTTGTCCACCGTTACAGATGGACAGTCGCCGATTAGGATGTTCCAAAAGTGGAGATGTAAGTTTGGATTAGATGGGCGTGTGTAATGCAATCCGTTCGTCTTTGGTAAGAGACAATTGAGGATTTCAACTAGTTAATTTTCATTAACCCCACTAGAATAGAAGAAAGTTAGACAGTAGTTAGTTATACACATTTTCCATTTACAATAATATTGAATATAAGAACGAAAGTAACGACGAGAACAAGAATGAACTTTTTTTAGCGATAGCCGTTGTCATAGCGATGGCAACGCCATGTTTTTTTTTTTTGCCATTTGTGTTCATTCAGTAATCCTTTCATTGGTCTCCTTTTATAGAACTTGACATTTCTGCAGATATCTGGAATGTTTCCACGCGAAAGCGTCACTGTGAAGGTATATTGCATTGGTTGCAGTTTGAAGCCCTCTTTTGCCAACAGTGCAAAACGGCATTGACGTTTGACGAAAACTAAAATTCATCAAGAAGTATTTCCGCTTCCAACTTCAAAAATTTGTGCAGCGTGGGACTTGTCTTAGGAGGAAAAATTTTTCAATACAACCAATAAATCTCTTATATCGGAGAGACACCTCTTTCTCTCGAGCACCATCCCAGGCTTCAAGGTTGTCTCTCGAAGGCACTTCATGAATTGAGTAAAAGCTAATCGTTAAATGTCTGATTTAAAATTTTTAGGTTACGCCCATTTACAGCAACTCATACATCACTGGGAAAATGGCAGAAGAAAGAGGAACTGCGCCTCGTAAGAAAACTTTCTTTTGCACTTCACCAACCAGTTATTCGTTATTAACATTTATTTCAGCTATTTCCTCTGAAAGACTTCATTTAAGGATTATCATAATTATCAATGTGGTAAATAGATTGATCCATGACTCTGTGTAAAACGAAACTTCTATCCCATAGTTTTTTAACTAATGCAAATGGCTACTGATCTTAACTTTGGCGATTTGTATCCTGCCTAAAACAGAACCCAGAGAGGAGCTTGTTCAGGTTAATAGTTTGAAGTATGATGAGATTTTCCCGACTGCCAACAACACTTTCCGCACGACAGTGAGCTGGGAGAAGCCACTTTTCATCCACAGCGATGTACACCACTACAGTTATAAAGTGGTGGCGATAAATTCTCTGTTACGGAAAAGGAGGGAAACGCTTTCGAACACCATGATAACAACGGTAAGAGAAATTATTTTTATCATAAGAAAAACGCCCAAACAGTACTTGCAGTTACCCACAAAATGCGCAGTGAACTCCATGCACTGTACAGGGCAACTGCACAACAAAGATCTCAGACTTGTTGATTCTTAATTTCTACCTCAAATTTTTTGCACGACTTAAAGGGACATCAGGGAGAAGCGGTGGCTTTAGGGTTGGTGCGTTGAACTCCGCGTCCTGAGACCATAGTAATTCATTCTCACAGTGCACAGTGCTAAATGTGTGAAAAGTCTGGCAAAATGCTAGGGGTAACCTTGTGACGGCTTAGTATCCTATTCCCGGGGGGAGTAGAAATACTCCTCGTTGCTTCATGCAACAGAAACTGGGATGAGCATTGGATGGAAAGGCCTCGCTCGAGTTAAGAAGTTTCAAGACATTTAACTCAACCAAGACGCTAGTGAAAATGGAGGCGATTTGAACCTTTTATCCTGGCTAATTTGATCACCAGGAAATTCTGGGCGAATTTCCGAAAAGATCGAAGCAGGCGCACTTGGCGATGTTGGACGCCCATTGAGGCAAATTTGTCCCTCGAACTTGGTCCTAGGTTTTGTTCCAAACCAACTTTTATTAACTCAAATTTTGGCGGCAGTTAAGCTGCCAAAATTTGATTAAGCATACGCATAAATATGATCACGCATACTCATTTTCAAAAACTCCCCTTATTGATGACTCGCCGTCTATGTGGTTTCTCTTCCACAGACTGGTACCAATGTTACGATCAGTGGGATCAGTCGAGTCGATGGAGTCGAATTCCAGGTAATTTAGCACAATTCTTTCGCGTGAGCGAAGCTCAAGCTGTCTCCCCACGTACAAAGGTTAACTGGCGTAAGAAAGTTAGTTATACGTGTAACCGAGATATTCATTAATAACTAGCATAGAAGTTTCAAAAAATAAAGATCGACGATGTGAGTTTCATATGTAAGAGGAACATTGAGATATGACTCTCCATTAGAAGGATAGTGGAACTCTTATCACGAAACTGCTTGGGGCTCTCTATGGTAGGGGAGCTCTTGCTCGCAAGAGCTACAATCGGGGACAAAATTGTTGACAAACTGACCTTTTTAACTTCCTGTTAATTCAGTTTTTTCTCATTTGCCCTGGTTAAGTAAACCTTTTCGCCCCCTTATTCCCGAAAAAATGTGGTTTCGCGATTCCATGAATTTTTAGCTAGATACAGGCACATTGAATGGGGGAGGGAAGGTCTTGTCAATTAATTTGTTGACTAAGAGTGTGGTAGAGACAGGAGTGTCATTCTACACATAAACAGGACTCTTCATCATGATGTGTCAAATCATTTTGACACTGATTGTAGCTTTCATCATGGAGTTTACTCATTTATTTGTGCCTTTTCAGGTTACTCCAGTATTCTTTGTGTCTGAGGTTACTGGTGCAGATGCCAAGATCTCGCTTGCCTGGAAATCCCAAACCGGTAAATGTTATACTTTTATTTTTGAAACGAGAGTAGCCGGGAATTTGGCGTCATCCTCTCAACTAACCAGCCTAAAAACTAAAAGTAATCGCCATTTGGTTACTCGTGTTTGATCGCGCTTAAAGTTTGCCTGTTTTCACCTTGAGTTCTTACTGACTCTTCGTGATTTAACTTATGATAAACTTGGTTTTGGCTTTGCGACACCCAGTAGAGAAGCATACAAAGAAAATTCTATACAGCTTCATAGAAGAAGAATTGCTAAATTAATATTTTTCTCTTATCGCATTTTACGAACTCCTTCGAGCTCTTTCTTATGTTAAATATTTTCTTACATACATATTTTGCTCCTATGAGGTATATAAAAGGTTCGACTTTGACGACGATTATAGTGATTATTACGATGATGCTGCTGCTGATGACAAGGATGATGATGATTATCATTATTTTTAGATAAAAATCCTGTGTCTGATCCAATGACCACCGCTGAGCTGGCTGGGCTTGTCATAGGAGTGATACTAGCTGTATTAATAGCAACAGGGTTACTCTTTTGGTGTTACCGCGAAAGACAAAGGAAGCTTGGAGCTAAAGGACGTGTCTCTGGGTATGTTGATTTATCGTCTGATAAATTTCATTTATTTTGCATTCATCTTTTACTCATTTACTTTTCACCTTCGCAGCAAGAATGCTCTAATGATTGATCATTGGGAGGTAGATAGAGACTCAGTGACCCTGGAGGAGGAGCTTGGAGAGGGGGCCTTTGGAAAGGTGTACAAAGGGGTCCTCAAGGAATCTACATCACCATCACGGAGACTCTCCATCATGCGTCCCAAACGCCCCATGCGTAGAAACATGCTCAAGCAAACGGAAGGACGTATTGTGGCGGTTAAAATGCTACACGGTGAGTTGAATTTATGTAATCTTCTCATACATAAACGCCTTACACTAATCAAGAAAAATAATATCACACCCTGCTGGAGGTGGAAAATTAAGGCAAAGGTCGACTGAAATTATCATTTTTCATTACAGGAATGGCAGATAACGATCAGCGCAGAGAATTTCTTGAGGAGATACAGCTAATGAAAGCCGTTGGAACGCACAAAAATATTGTTAACATGCTGGGCTGTTGCACTGTGGAGGAACCAATGTTTTTGCTTGTTGAATATATTCCTTATGGAGACCTTTTGCATTACTTGCGAAAACGTCGAGGAAAGGTATTCACCTTACGCGATGTAACATAAAGATAGAAAAATAGCTCACTTGCACAATCGTTTTTAAATGAAACTGTGAACGAATCCTGCATCGAGGATTCCGAGTCATGTGGACACCCTTTTCGGTGTCATTCCTCTACTGAAAGACGTGAGATCAGATATCTCGAGTAATAACTTGAGATGGACTTCCTTACGAATAAGGGATAATTTGCTGAGGGGGGACTTTAGTCAAGTTGATCTTTTCTAAGTAATCAATTAGAAGATTTTGTCTGTTTCATTTCAAAAAATGGCGAATTTCGAAACAGTTATGAATCTAAAGAAATAAAGAAAGATGTTTTTCGTCTAATAAAACAAAACAAACAAAACCCTTCCTTTCTTTCTGTAATAAATTTATCCTGATCAATAATGTATATTATTTATGTGTAGTAATGGAAAATTATTCTTAAAAAAGTTGATGACAAACTAAAATTTGCAGTCCTAGAAAGTCAACAGGAAAACAGCGGCAATAAGGGTAACAGTAACATCAAAGGTTTTACTGAAAAAGAGAGTAAATGCAGCAAAGCCAAAAGAAATGAAACGAGTCAGATCTTAGTCAGACCTTAGTTTTTGCCAGCGAGAGCTTTTTAAATTTTCAAGCACCAAACTGATCAGGTAAGAAGTATGGACGGGAACAAGTGCTGGTTAATTGCTTAACTGTAATATCTTTGTGACCAACTAAGGATAGCAATCAATTTCATCCTCCTCCTTTTTTTGATTTCAACCTCTTCCGTTATGTCCATACCATTTCCTTTCAGACCACAAGGAGTGACTGCATTTATGTTAACAACACTGATGCACCAAAAGATGACGATGGAAATATTCAAATTCTATCATTTACACAATCTGCCAACACAGAAGAGAGAGGGAGAGAAAATACAGGAATGGACCAAGATGAAGTTCATGAAGACGCTGATGACGACGAGGAGACTCTAAGCCCAGGAGACCTCTTAGCATTTGCCTGGCAAATCAGCGAAGGAATGGTGAGACACTGATTCGTTTGAATCAACTCAGCAACAACTTGATGCTTACCTTGCGCAAGGCATTAACAATTGGCTAAATTGTTCGGAAAGTCACAACAGTGAACATCGGACTATTCTCTTAAAAAATATCACATTAACCTTGAGTTAGCGAAGGATTAAGTGGTTATTTTGAAGAAGGTCACTAATAGGCACAACAGGATTTTCTATCTTTATTGCTTGACCCTGTAGTTGACTTGTTCTATGCAAAAATGGACTAGCGTTCATGTGCTCGAGCGTGAGTTATCCTAGAGATTTCCTTGGTTTTCAATTGTGATCGAATGTTGGGACGAGTGCGAATCCACCAGCAGGTCGGGTACAAACCAATACAAACTGGGTTAAAATATGCTGAGAGATTGGTGTAGCCGTCCTATCATTAGAAGTACTACACTAGAAACGCATGAATCAAATACCATTCCCAATAACAGATCTAAACATAGAAGAGGATATGTGGAATAAGCACTTAAGGTCATCTGTAAGAAAAGTGTTGTATCACAGCAGTAGTTTTTCTTGCTTCAGTTCTTATTATTCGCCAAAAAATATGGAGCTAGGTCAGGTTTAGTCTTTTTGAGTGAATGCGTATACTGATAAAGAATTCTTGTGATGTTAGGTTATTTCTGTCATGGATGAACTCTTCTAAATTCTTATTTTTGCTTTTAATCTTGCAGGAGTATCTGGCAAGGAAAGGATTCGTGCATCGTGATTTAGCGGCCCGCAACGTGCTTGTTGGTGATAATAAGATAGCGAAGGTGGCAGATTTTGGTCTGACTCGCCACGTTTATGAAGAGAAGGTTTATCATGGAAAAAGGAACCGGAAACTTCCCTTGAAGTGGATGTCAGTTGAGGCCATCTTTGATCAAACCTTCACAGCTCAGAGTGATGTGTAAGTTAAAGTTTTGTTTAAAATGGCTTTGATTTTTATAAGGTGTTCGTAAAAATTTAGTGACTATTGTTCATCTTATTTCAATAACTAGGTGGGCTTTCGGCGTTCTCCTGTGGGAGCTGGTAACATTAGGTAAGGAAAAAGTTTCCTCAAATTCTTTTCGTTTATTGATCAATACGTTAGTCCACAAAAGCTAGTTGTACGTAGTTTTTAAGCTAGTCCAATCCAACGTAAATATGGAAGAAAGCCAATAGGACCTCACAGTAAATAGATATTCATGACATTACTGAAGAAATTCCTTTGGCATAGATTAACGATCGGTTGTTTCTCAGCAATCGGCTGAGCAAGTTTTGTTCGTGAGTTTCTGAGGCCATGGAGCACTGTAGCAAAACCAAAGCAATATCGTGTGTGGGCCGGACATATAAAGCGGCAAAAAGCATTTAAGTAACACAAAGTTATTAAGAACGGAGAACTTCATTATTCACTGGCACAACAAACGATGCCGACATTCATCTTGAATTACAACCTTGTAGCAAGCCCTGCGAAACCTGCGAAACATAACAAACATTACCTTGCGAAGCAAAACTCTAAACAGAAACTATCTATCAACTTACCATGATGATGAAGGGACGGCATAACCGAGAGAAATCACAGTTTTAGCATATCATAAACGAGGGCCTTACTTCGTGCGATTTAAAAGTGAACAAGCTACTGAAGCATTTTGGTCTTACGCGTAGAACAGTGGAATGGACTTAACATTAACGACTTGTTGAGGAAAAGCCGCAACAGCGTCGTACTTGTTTGTGCATTTTTACTTCAATGACTATACCAACTCATTTTATACTGAAAATTTCTTATGCGATCTCTTGCAGGCGGAACACCATACCCCACAGTAAACAACAGAGAGTTGCTTCGTCTTCTCAAAGATGGATATCGGATGGAAAAGCCAGACATCTGTAACGATGAAATGTAAGTAGCCATGCAGGTTATTTTTGTTTGACGTTAAAATATTGATATCGCACATAAATCGAAATTCTAGTATTGATAGCATCGAAAGGGTCTCAGTTTGCAAGAAGACAGCATGATCTGTCTTTCACCTGGTTTAATACCAGTTGACAAAGAAACGAAAAACATTTTCTTCTTTAGCTGAGTTAAGCTGGGCGAAGAAATCATTTCAATGGCTCAATTTACGATATTACTTTGCTCTTATTGTAATATGATTTTAAATTACAACAATTATCATTTAATCAAATTCACAAAATGCAATGGACGAGGAATTATCAGCATCTGAAGAAACTCTGAAGCGACTAACACCCCTAAATCGAACCACTACAGGTACAAAATGATGAGAGAATGTTGGTTGGAAAATCCCTTCGACCGACCAACTTTTACCCTAATCCGAGAGAGACTGGAGGAGATGATGCAGAAAGACAACCCATATTTGGACCTCAGCGTCCTCGATGAATCTCAGGATTGTTACAATGTACCGTCTTTTAACAGTTTAGTAGATGAGTCTGAAGATGAAGTGTTTGACAAAGAAGAAGGCTATGATTTACTTGAAGAGGACCATAAAGAGATAATCATTGACAAAGATCAGCCTATCAAGGACTCGAATAAAAACGAAACTGCTCCCTCGCCAAAATGTTCAAAGTTTCCAGGAGAGGAAGAAAATAACGAGCCAGTTGATGTAGACAGGATTGACTTTAACAACATTGCTTTTCAGAGTAATGACTTAAATAATCTCAAGGAGGTAAAGGTAGATTTTGACGCTCTTGAAATGGCGCTGTATCGCCATGGCGGTAGGAGATTTGTCTTTTAAGAAGAAATGCTGAGCCAAGGGAACCCCGAGAAAAGAACTCAAGCTGATCAAAAGTAAGAAAGAATCCAACAAGAAATTTGATATCTATCTTTAGAATTATAGTACTTAAAATACTCCATATTTTGTTTCGTTTTCTCACGTCATTGTGTTTTCGTCTAAGTATTTATCAGAGAAAAATATTTGCGAAAACCCTAAATTGCAGTTTTCACTTAGGTTTTTTCACTTATATTTTTAAGTGGATTTGCGACTTACAAGTTAAACCAATACCCTTAAGACAACAGTAATTTTTGCATGATCTTTGAGAAAACTGTACACAAATACAGAAAATCCTCTTTTTCATAGTTGAAGTTATTTATGTTAAACTTTAAGAGAACATTGCTGAAAGCACGCGGAAAAAAGTTCAAAATTTGTCTATGATCGTATGTAGTATAATTATACTAGTCGTTCGAAGCTTAACAACTAAACAGGCTGATCTCGTTTTTTAATTCGGTTTTGTTTAAGCTCCTTTCTTTGCTCAGTAGCTACCAGCGAATAGATTGCGAGTAGCGTGGCCAATCAGACCCCAGCATCTGCCATAAACAATTCGTATTACACAGCATTTAATTTCAATTTCTCTTTATTTTTCGGCGCTAAAGAGGCAGATGTTAGACAAACAGTTATGAATCCCAATTTAATTGGGAGTGACGCTAGTGTTAATTTTCAGCAATAACTTTAGTCATTACTTCACGGGTTTATTACGAACCTACAAAATGACTAGCTCTCAGTTGGCTTGTTAACTTAGTGATACAACACTATACCAGTATCATAGAGGTCATGGGTTCAATTCCCGCATACAGGCTTGAAATTTTTCTTTTCAGGCTTTATTTTTACCACTGCTAACGAAGTGTTCGTTACTGCGAAGATCACTCTCATGTTGAAATATTATCATTATTATCATAATTATCGATACCACTACCATCGCACGAGAAAATTATATACCAGAGCAAGAGATTATAATCTCTTGTCTAGAGTTATGATGACAAATTTAGGAAAACGAAATTTAAAATTGAAATAAATAGCATAGCTAAACCAACCGTATACCAGTAACGAGAAAAAGCTTTTGCAGTAAATTTAGGCCAAAATATTCCTTTTGTAATTATCCAATGATGGAAAACCGAACGTAACCAGCAGGATCTGGTTTTCTTTTATATTAAATAAATACCGCTAAAAAGTAGCTTATAAAAGACATTTCAGGTCTTATGAATATCCTAAAAATTGAGAAGGATTTAAATAGAGTCTTCTCAATCCTTTTTGCTCTATTTTATAACCGAAAAAAAACTTAAATTTTCCAATAAAGATGTTTTAGATTGAAAAGTTGTGATTTTTTCCAGACTTGAAATGATTGTTCAAAACAAAAAAAAATAAACATCTGATTTTCTGAGTGATTACTTGATGTAAAAGAGAAACAAATCTCAGTTTTATTTTTGCACTTAGGGCCCTCAGATATGTAGCGTCTTGTTTCGACAATAAATATAATAAGGGGGAATAATGAAACCAAACATGACAAGGTTTCCGCTACTTTTAATAACATGCAAACGCGTTTTCTTGAAAGAGAAGAGTTTTTATCTTATCACTGGAGCCCAACAATTGTGCATGCATGTTCTACAAGAGGCTCTAACAAATCAGACATGCTCTTGATAGTGAGTGGAAACTCGCCGCCACCATCGCTCACTTGAGAAACAACCGTCTGCAATACAACAAGAAAAGTTTCTAGCGATCAGTGAGTAAATCGTGCTCAAGCGAGAACGGAGGAACAAGAACAAAATTGTGGGAATCATCATATTTCAATTGAGATTGCAAACTGAAAAAGCCGGCGACATTTATATGAGTTACCTAACTGAATTCATTCTATGCAACTTTTCTGAGCAGATGTAACCCGAAAAAAACGGATTGGGCCAACGGCCTACTGAAATTAACGCGCTTCACTAAGAGCGGCGACGCCGTGTTGAGAAACCTCAAGAAGAGATCAACCCTTATGATCTCCTGACCTTACTTTATTCACTAAACTCCACTGAACAATGTCGTCGAAACAAGAGTTCAAACTGGCTAACGCTTTCTTTTCTGTCAACACAACAAAAGAGACGCTGGCGAGCGGTTTAAGAAGTTAAGCCACGGGATTTTGTTAATGAAAAAAATTAAGCAAAAAAAATTTGACTGACTGCTCTGAAAAAGTGTTCAAGATACATCAAATGATGGTCCAGCATTGAATGAAACCTTTTTCGGGAAAAATGTCCTCGGTTACTTCTATAGAAATTATGAGATATCACAGACGGTGCAACTATACAACGTCTTCGCTTAAAAAATTCCTTCCTAAGGACCTGATGCGGTCATTGTTGTGACGGTTCTGACGGACAAGCTTCAGTATTCCCATTGGTGCCCTTTTATTTGATTTACATTCGAAACTAGGAAAGATGAAGAATAGGGAAAAAGGTATAATTTCATTGTAACTGTACTCAAGCAGGAGGCGGCTGAGGCTAAAGCTGACCCTACCTGAATATTTACGATGACCCGAAAAAACACAAGTCCCAAGAAGAATTTCCAGTTTGGTAGAGGAAGACCGTTTCCAGTGAGATCACAGTACAAAGACAGCAATGCCTCTTCACTAGGTATCCCCTCTGAGTAATAACCTACAAAAAACATTTCCACTCATTTAATCGCTGAATTATTATTCGACAGAAATTCTGAATTTTGTTTTCTCCGAACGAGGATTTTAGAATGTAAAATTGGCAAGATACATTTGCTCATAATTGATAAAAAGGTAATCTGTTCCCAACGGCTGGACATTCATTTAAACTTACGAAGATATTTCCACTCATTCAATCGCTGAATAACTCTTTGACACAGAATTTCCGAATTGCGATTTTTCCGAAATAGGATTTCACAAAATAAAAATGGTAATATTCAATTGTGCGAATAAAGGTCATTCGTTCCGAACCGCTGGATAACCATTTTAAACGATACTGTCCATGGCAGTTGGTAATATGTTGTTTCACTAAGTTTTTTCTCTAAAGAAAACATCAGACATCTAGATCAGACTGACGATCAGTTAAACCCCTTCCATACTTAGTTATCCATTGGGGATTGTTGAAATTTCCTGTTGCTTTATTTGCAGACTCCTTTTGTGAGTCAATTAATTACTTCACTTGTGTTTTTTCCTCTTTGCCAGGATACCAGTAGTACCCTTGTTAAGATTGTCACTGCGCATGCACAACACATAGGCTATGCGCAAGCTCGTCGACTACGCGTCACGTGACACCAGAGGCGAGAAGTATCTGGAAGCGGCTTCTCGTTGGTAACAACTTCAATACAAGGATAACATCTATCTTAAAGTCATCTTTAAATCTTAAAAAAAACTCGTTTTACCAATCTTTCCAGCAGGCATAAATTCCAACGCAGCGGGAAAATGGAACGGAAAACAGAAATATGCCAGGTCCTCAAATGGATGCCCCCAGCATGCCCCTTCCCAGTCTATCACGGCCAGCGCCTGAGGCTGAAACAGGTAGCACGATTCGGTCATAAAGTAGTTGGAAAAAGATATAAATAAAAGGAGCGGTTCGAAGATCATATTATTAGGAAAAAGGCATGTCCTGATTACGCACCATATAATAAGTAAAATTAGTCTAGTGTCAATCGTTCTATAGACACTTACACCCTAGTTTACTAGTTAGTTACCTGTGAGTGTTTGTTTGTTTCATTAGTTTTATTGCGTACCAGTAGTTGATGTTTATATCGTTGCTTATTGTTACGTAACTTATGTGGAGTTCTTTGTCATGGTTTGGGTGTAAATTAAGACCTTCGGGTCAATCTTGTTATCCACTTTTTTTAAAGCAACTTAGTCGTTTTTTAAGTGCGCATGCCTGCGAAGCCATGCTCCGTTAAGGTAAAGCTATCTTATTTTACTGTAATTTTATTTGTAAGTTTTTGTTTTCTTGTTTGTATTTTTCCTACTCATGTTTAGTACCGTAGGCGTGTAGACAGTTTGAATAAATGATGAGCACAAATATTCGTAACTTCGGTTAACCTCCATAAGGATCGAAGCAATTGCATTTAACATTTTGTAGGTAGAGTAGCTCACATAAAGATGCCATCCATAATGTACGATGTGAAAGGACATAAAAAAGTTCCAGCTACGCGGGATACTTCCGAAGAGTGGTCTTCCCATATCACAAACCTCACCTCAAGATTGCACTCACTAAAAAAGTTTGAGAAGCCCAATGCACTGAGGATCGAGTCGCGCTCTTTCCTTGCCACAACTAAATAGAAGCAGGTGTTCTCATCCACCGAAACGACAGTTTAATCAGCTTACCTTTTAATTTGTGTCGAGATCCATACATGAGTACAAACATATTGCATTGTCTTATGAGTTAGTGAAACAAAATGCAAACATATTGTCTAAAAAACATTCTCTTAATTACCTCATTTGGGTGCCAAAGTATATTTGAAATTCTGAAATCTTCGTGATGGATGACTGCAAGTCAAATACCAACCATTAGAGGTTACAAAGCTTCGATTATCAAAGATAAAATTTGAAAGAGATTTTTGGGCTAATCCTTTGTTAAACCGTTGTTCCCTTGTCCCAGTCCTTCTCTCTCCCCCCCTCTCTCTCCCTCTCTCTTCCCCACTCCCTTTCCACCTCCGTTACCTCCTGACTCCCTCTTTTAACTCCCTTGCTACCACACCCTCAACTTGTCGCTCTTTTCCTACCTCCTTTCTCTACCTCACTGCTTCTCTCGTTCGGTCCGTCACCCTGGCTTCCTAGCTCCCAGGCTCATTCGTCCTCAGCCCCCCTCCGTCCCCCTTCGCACCTCTTCCCTCCCCTCCTCTCCCCTTCCTCACCACTCACTCTCTCTCGTTCACTTTCTCCCTTCCTCTTTCCATCGTTCCTGAACGCAAGTATCATCGCAGAAGCTCATATCTATTTTTGCGAAGATTACGAAATGTCGAATAAAGAACAGTTGCACAACGTTTCTTACCAGGTTTCTCGCCATCGTTGGGTTTTTTGTCTCTCAGCCACTCCATTAATCGATGAGCTTTAGGATTGGACTTCCTTACTGTCTTTTTGTAAGCTTCAAACAGCATATCCATCTGAGAAGCAACATATTTTCCCCATAATTATGTGAAAGTTCTTATTATTCCTCCCTTTTAAGCCCTTCTTACTATCACGCTCTCCTTTTAAACAAACTCCCCTCTCTCACATGCCCCCTCTTTAACAAGCTACCGACTCTAACAAGCTAGACCCTCTAGCCAGCCCCTGTTCTAATAAGTTCCCCTTTCCAATAACTACCTTTTCTAACAAGCTATCCCTTCTTACAATTGCAACCTACTCCCTCTAACAAGCTACCCCCTCCGACAAGCCCCCTTTGCTAAGAAGCCCCATTGCTAATAAGTTTCACTCTAAAATAATCCCACTCTCAAACAAACTTCCCCTTCTTTGATTGTTCCTCTGCCCAAGAACCCCTTTACATTATACCTCCCCGTCCGAAGTTTCAAGTTTCTAATAAGCTCCCTCCTCTAACGTCCAAGCATTTCTTGAGGGAGAGCTTTTTTTAAAGTTTTACCCACCCTCTGTTTTAAGACGTCTTCTTTGTCACCGATTCCTTCTAAGTTAAGCTGATCCGTATCCAGAGACTGAAGTTGCGCTAAGGCGCGTATCGCAGCTTCAAAAATGGCTTTTGTCTGGTCCGCAGGGACGCCGGGTAAATTGGCATCCGGGAACTGACGACCCTGTTGAAATGTAATGTTGAAATGCTGTCCATCACCATTTATTATTCGACATACATTAGACATAGGATCGTTCACTGGAAGTCGCATTGTATGATTTTGACCCAAAAAGTATAGCTAGAATCTAGAATTGAGACTCAAGTGGAACAGTTAAACAGACTTTGCAATAGCTGCTGGCTAGCATAACGTTTTCCTTCACCGTAAGTCTATGCCTTAGTGGCATGCAGATTGGGATATGGTTTTATTCTCTTCTTTTTCAAGTGAGCAGTCTTTGAGATGCGTAACAGCACTGTATAGATGTGCATGTCCTACTGTAAGTACCTTTCAGCAACATCAACTTCAATAGCTGACATTATAACAATTTATAACAATTTACTGTCCATACTGTGAAATATGGCACGCGATGCTCAATTGAATAAAATTGCTGATATGCCTTCATTTTCAGAGTGCTAGAGCACAACTTAAGAAGTCTAGTGACTACCTTTCATGGCCTGAGTTACTCAGGAATATTCTCCCCACCCCCTAAAAATACTACCTAAAGCATCTAGCTGTTATTAATATACATGGTTACTTGATCAGCAAAAACGACGAGACGTTTGCATCGTATGCTGGAACAAAAACAGCTCATCTGAGAGAACATCGCGATAATCTTTTTACCTTGATGTACTCCATGACGTAAAATTCCTGGCCCATAATTGACTTGTCCTCACAAAAGAGGTACATTTTCGGCACCGGAAAAGAGGCCTCTCCAAGAGCGGACATGATTCTATGCTCAACGTCGACCTGCGCGTATTAAATTGAAAACGTCCATGAAAAGCCAGATTATACTCCCTCTACCCTGTAGTTTGAACTGATGCAAGAACAGTACCTTGTGAAATCCTGCATAAATCTGGAATGGTGCCTTGTGCCTCAAAACGAAATCTTTTCCATTTTTTTGAAGCAGAAAGGTTGGATTCGACGTTCCAGTCCTTTTCATTGCATCAATAATACAAATATAGAATGTAATCGGTCAGTGGTGCAGGCAACAAATTAAATATGTGAATATTGACCTTTTTGACCAGTTGTTGATGTCTGCTGGACTAATAAATCCTCGTTGTTAAATGGAAGTAAAAACATCACAAAGAGTGAAGCCTGTATAAAGAATTCAGGCGTCCACAAGACTTCCTCCTTCCCCCCCCCCTACTCCGCCCCCTCTCCTTCCCTCGTATGCTCCATTCTGTAGCGTAAAGCGGTATACCTGGCTAAACCAGTTTGGTTCACTCAAACAGTGTACATGAAAAAGGTGTTTTCTGAGTCAGAAGCCTTCCACCGGAATTGAACCCAACGAAGTCCAGTCCACATGTTTAGGATTCTTACTAAGTGGGTTATTTTCATTAAATATTTGTTTTTCCAGCATAAGATTTTTGTCTTTTCACAAAATTAAACGATTAAACGAAACGTCTAATAACTTGAGGATGGTTTGGAAATCGGTTTTGCCCAACAACGGGCATTAAACATCTTTTTGTAATCGGCCATTTCGGTGTGTATGCTTGCCTTATCGTCACGAAATCCCAAGCGCTTTAGACGATTCTAAATACCTGCCTCATTTGCGTAATATATGCTCCTTTGATTGAAAAGTGATATTTAATGAAATCAGTGTTCAATGTCGCATAGCGAATCGTGGAACCGTGCAATATTTCATGATTTCTTGACTCTCTGTACCATCAAATTAAGTCATGAAATGCAATCACAGCCTTTGCTACAGAAATGTTTTTCTTATCGAGCCGATTTACTCGGAACCTATACTTTGTGATTGCAGTCATTGCAATTGTAATTGCGGTTCGAATTTTGCAGCGAAGTCAATCGACTAGCGATTCAATGATAAACAAATCCTGACTTTCCTGCAGCTTTTCGTGTCTCCTACCTGAATTTGAAAATCTTTAGTTCCCCATCGCCTTCAGGAAAATCCACCAGATTTTTTTTAAGGAAATCGTGAAGTTTTGAGCTATCAAACGTTTGCTCCTCCATTCTTTCTTTGTCAAGTAAATAACTTTCGTGACAAGGCACTTTTAGTTTGACGTCAATGGCGTTACATGACGTAATTTCATCACCCGTCAAAATATGTGAATAGTGGGTTCTTATGTTCCTCTGTATCATTCACTATTCCACATCTTTCAAACACTGCGCGAAACTAAACAAATTTTTTAATAAAGAATTACGTTTTACCCTCAAAACCTTCTCACGTCAACGGTTCATTGCCAAAAGATCAACGGGATTTGAGAGGAAATGAAGTTGAATAATGACTGTCAAAGCGTAGTCCACAATACCTTGCAGTCCTTTTCCTTAACATACTAAAAAGAATACCTCGTCTGTCTCTGTAAATCGACATTTAATCACTTAAATTCAAGTTTATTTTAACGCCGCATTTAAATTGCGCTTTCTTTGTAAACTGAACAGAAATATATCTAAAAAACTCAAAAACTGGTCAAGGAACAACTTTTAAGTTTTACAATTCACTTAAATGCTTTTTTTTTTTTTGAGGTTGTGGTCGTACACTACGGTCCAGAATAAATATTTTTGTTATAGAGAATACGTTCAAAATTTTGGAAGCAGAGATTGTTTAAATCTGTTTCAATATCGCCTAGGCCTGGTTCCACAGTCCACCCTTTCTGGTAGATCACAGTTCATTGTATCGGCACGGAGGAGCTGGGGAGGGGAGCACTTCTGACGGTGGGCTTTACCGATGTTGCAGATGATGAACCCCGCGCAGTCGTCAGGGTCTGGGTACGTACCACTTTTTCGATTTGCACAGAAGTCTGAACCAGCTTAAAAACAATAACCAAAAAGCATGAGTGTCAGAAGTTCATATCTAACACAACTAACCACAACAGGACAAAGAAAATGTTTAAGTGTTGTTAAGTAGTTCTTGCCTTTGTGAAAAGGTTCATCGACCAAAAAGTCACACCAAGACAAAGAACCCTACCTGCTCCTCCCCCAGAAGCTGTGCCAGGGGCTGTGACACCTCCTCCCCCTGTGGATGGTGATGGGAGAGGGGAGGGTGGGGGTGGAGGTGGAGGGCGAGGGGGTGGCTGAGGGGAGCTTGGACCACTGCCTTCACCTGGAACTAACACAAAGAATTACGTCAGAGTACTTAGCATTAAGTGACGTTAATTTTTACGGAAAAGCTAAACCTTAGCTCACACATTTATTTATGGTTCCATACTTAAGGACATAAACGATTTTGCAGAAACCCCACTAGGTATCGAAAACACGAAAAAACAAACCGAAGGGAAGAGAAACAGATAAGGAGTCACACAGACAGAAAGAAAGACAGACAAGCAGTGCGACAGAAAAGCTGGCAGTTAGACCTGGAAAGACGGTCAGAGAGAGAGAGACACCGTTTGTTGGTGTTTTTGGTGTCTCGTCTCGTTGGTGTCTCAGTGAGTCTAACAAACATATGTTTCTCCAACATTCAAAATATTTCAAAAGTATTAAGTTATTCCATTAGCAGGAGAACATCAGCAACTCACCCATCCCCCCCGAGGGATACGGTGGTTTGTTTCCTTGACCCGCGCATTTGATACTTGATGGGCCGGCTGCAAGAAAGAAAAAACAAAAAAACGCAATGATCAGTGATAATACTAATAATCATAATCATAATCATAATAATCATAATGATAAAAATAAAAGCAATGATTATGGCAATAATAATGGTAATAATGATAATTTGTGAACTCATAACTCTCCGACTCATCGCTGTATATTATAGAAAAATTCACTACCTGAGGAGAGAAATCGATGATTTGTTTCGGAGTTTTGGCTAGCAGGTTTGACTTATTTTTCCTCTTTTAGCTCTCAGAAGTCTCTGATGATAATGATTACCCACCACAAAAACTCGAAAACACAGGTAAGGCTTTTGAATTCAATCTCGTTGGAGAGCACAACACAAGATTTTATGTCAATCTTTAATCGACATTTAAAAAAAGAGGACGGATTGACACCCTATCTACCCTACCCGCACGCCTCACCCTAACATCGTACCTCCAGCTCCAGATCCAGAAAACTGCACATTACTCATTATATTATTATCGTTTTGCATAGACTGTAAGACAGCTTCCCGCTGCTCTCCCGTCACCGCCGTCACTCGTACAGTCATGGGAAAATCCACTTTACCCAGGCCATCTCCCACAAAGTGGTTGTCACTTGTCCGTTTCAGACAAGAATATTTTCCGTTCTTTAAAATTTCCATCCCAGCAACTGGAACCCTTCAAGTAAAGAAAAAGCCATGCAAATACAAATTTTGGATTTTAAATGCTTTTGTTTTTAGCTTTCTTTGTACTCAGAAAATTTTTGGTAATTTTAGCTCTTTAGAAAGATGGATAAGATAACTTTGGTAAAGAAATAGAGAAAGGGGGCCTCGCTCACCATGGAGTCTCTGTGGCTCAGTGGTAGAGCATTGGAGCGTGGAATCCGAAGCTCTGAGGCTCGATTCCTCGTGGAGATTTAGAATTTTTTCTTTGTCCTACGCTCGTGACAACACGAAAAAACATCTTTCTCTACTACAGCCCTTTTATCCAAGAAAGATCTTTCTCTGGGTAAAATTTATCTCTAGAGTGCAAGTTAAAAGTACTTTTAGTCAAAAGGACATTAATTTTAAATCATCACAAAACACGAAAGAAAACGTGAAAACGGAGATTTATAACACAGATGTTCTTGAGAAGCACACAGTCAGAGAGAAAGCCTCATTAACTCATACCCCATTCAAACCAGCAAAACTTGTTTAGATAAATCGGGTTTAACAGAATGAAAATCATAAGTAGAAATTAAAAAACCGAATTTCAATCAGATTCAAGTAATCGCCAACTTTTAATTTCATTGTGCTACATCTGAAGCCGACGAAAATCGGTTTAAGTAGCTTCTATGATGAGAAAATGTCAAACAGTTTTTAAAAAAAATTATCATTGTTGTCCTGCAAATCTGGTTGTAATGATAAAGGATTGAGGAAGGAAAAACTTACTTGGTGTTTCTAGCTTGAAGTTTAACATACCAAGGGTTATTTTCAGTGAATCGAAACATAATGTTCCCATTCTTTCCCGGGACAGTGGGACAGTCAATGGCTTTTGTTTCGATCTCCCATCTGCCGTCACCCGGGATGTACAGGTCATAGCCACCTGTGTTGAATAAAAAATGAGTAATCACTGATACAAAACAGCGTCTGATGATTTAGTTCGGTGTGGGTGACTCATAAAGTACCTATTTGCATTTTTCAGATTACCATGACAGTTACTTGGTCTCCATTTGTAGATTTTGGGTGTGTAGAGCCTTGGCTCAGGAGACGAAGAGGTGGTTCAGTGGTCTGGGTTCCAGCTCTGTTCAGTTCACCGCGTCGTTTTCTTGGGTAGGTACTTTAACCTTATTTCCCCTTTCTGTGCCTCCTACAAATCATCTTATAACGACACAAATCTAAACTACCTTTTCCACATCCGCCACACAGATCATGAACAACGGCTTTTATGACTCCAGTGACAGGATCTGACCCACTTCCTATCCCTGAGCCTTTGATTTCCACGCACATTCCACAGCCAAGGGAGTTCTGGAAGTCATATGCACCGGCCGCTACTCGTATCCAGCCAGGCTGCGAGGACATTGGAGAGAGTGGATCCAAGGAGCATGCGCCACCTCCGGGATAAACGCCATAGTAGGTAGCCTGGAAACGAGTGAAGTTTGTAGTTAAAGAAGCTTCGCTACTTCACTGTGAATTTCTATACATGTGATTTCTGCCAACTCAATCGAAATTGTGAGACAGCGAATATAGAACATGAAATCGAGAAGAAAAAGTCAATGATTTTTTTTAGGCATGTTTTGGACTTAACACTCGTTTTTTTTTTTTTTTTTTTTTTTTCGTTTTTTTTGTTATGAGCTTCGATTTATCTTATTGTGGGCTACCAAGGCTACGCTACGTTCTCGAGTTGAGGATAGGATTCGCACTCGCAGCAACGAGACTATTGCTTCATTCTCTTTCGGTCGTATTTTCTTTCTTAAATTAGCAAATGAGTACCATAATGTTTTGAAAATCGTTTGTTTATTGATAAAACTATTTATTGTTTGTTTATTTCGCCGTAAAATGATATCAAATACCTCCAGAAAAACGAATTGTGTTTTCTTACCTCCGACTTGAAAGTCGCTTCATATCTGTTGTATATATTTTCAGCATTGGATACATCAGTGTCTCGTTTTTGAACAACATGGTCCTTTAAAATGAGAAATAAAAATTGTTATCAATAAAGGGCAAAATTACTGAGCGCTGATTGGTTGAGAGAGAGGGCATTTTTTTCTTAATCGAGGGCATTTTTAGTAATCAAGAGAGGGCATGATTACCTTTTAATGATTGGCTAATCCGTTGCATAGCAACCGTTCGTTATCTTGAAATTTTGATTTTCCTTCGTATAAATTTTGCCCTTTATTGATAAACAAGTAATCCCATGAGACCTCGTACTATTAAGGATTAATTGCACTTGAGTTTTCAAAATTTTTCACGCGACTCGGGCAATTTTGGAAAATTTTGAAAACTCTCGTGCAATCAATCCTTAATAGTACTTGGCCTCATGTGATTACCTATACAAAGCAATCACAGGAGAGGTGATTTCAGATCGTTCTTTTAATTTTCTAAACGTGACAGGTTACCTCTTCAAGGGTGTTAGCGGAAATTTCCTCTACATCTGTGCAAGTTATTTGCTGGAAATAAAAGAGAAGTTTTTATATATTCTTGATTACACTGTTATTTAAATTGCTAACCACTTCTTCGAGTTTAAATACGGCTCATCGCCTCGTTGAAAGCACCGTGCCAAAAATGAATTCTCACAAAAGTGACATACATTGTAAGAACTTATAAACTACGGCATCCTTACCTTTAGAAAAAAGCAAATGACAAGGACTGTCAGATGTTTGCCAAGTCTTAGGTTTATGTCCATCGAAACACTGCTAGACTTAAACAAACGCCATAAATAAAATTAATGACTATTTATACGGTTTGTTACTTTTGTATTTAACATAGAGTAGTTTGATAGCGTTCGCACGAGCTATTACCTTTACGGCGTCCAGAGTTATAATAACTTGCATCGAGTCAGTAAATTTAATTGCTTAGGGTTGCCTTTTTTCTGTTAAACAAAGGCACTTAGAATACATTCAAGCCACAAAAAAATTAATAATTATCATATTTCATTACTGTCGCTTGGAACAGGTGATGGCACTGTAGATTCAATTGAAGCGTCAAGTATTAAACGACATGTTTAAACAAGCGATTAGAGTAATTGAAAGTTAAAACAAATCGTTCATTGTGAAACAATGTCTGTAATAAAGAAGATGACTAAAACGTAACAATATTCAGTCACAATACGAAAAACAGGAATCGTAAACAAACTCTAATAACAAACATAAGGATGAACCAACAGCAAAATTGAAAAAAGAAAACCCTACTATATCGGTTTGACGTCGTACCTCAAGGCTATTTTTAAAAAAATATCGCATTTTGAGACTTCTTCGGTTCTAGATTGCACAAACCCTCACATCGACCACGATACATGCATCCTATGTACTAATCACTTCAACGTAGCTTTCGTAGAAAACTACTGCGGACTAACTGAAAACTTATCTTTTTTCAGTCCTGAAAGTAAGATTTTCAGTGAAATACAACAGCAACTTTAAGATAACGAAAAGTAATGAATTATGACAACAAAAACAAAAATGACAACAACAACCATGGCCGGCTTTCATTTGTTATATATAGTGATATACTGATGCATTTGAAGAAAGCATGCAATTGGGTGATTCAATTTTCTTTTGATTCTGGCATGCTATAACATCTCAGAATTTTTTCCCTTAGCTAAAAGACTGTCTTCAGGATTTCACAACTATGTGCTTCCCTCGAAACTTGGCTCTCATTTTTCAGACAATTATAACCCACCTTCTTGCGTTCAGTATCGAATGTTCACGGGAGTTGCCTAAAAGGTTTTGTGCTTTTACTTTTCCTTTATAGCAAATAAACGAACTTTCTGGAAAGGGTGCAAACAAGGGATTACGTGTACCGTGATCAAACCGCTGACCGTTAGTTAACCGCCGGAAAGCCGCAACAGACTGGGAAAGACTGGTTGGAATCGGATGATGAGAAGGATGAGTACAAAGACATTAAGGCGATGAGAACGAATCACATACATAAACATCGACTGTCACACCACAACACAAAATAAAAGTGCACTGAAATGAAAGGAATCTCGATGACCGAAAAAATCAGCGACCCAAATGCCAAATGAGACCTGCGAGATGGCAAACATCATTCTCTCTTGAAGAATCCACGTTTACTTGAAAAATTCGTAGATGCAGTGGATCCTAAAATTGAGCCAAAAAGAACAACTGACAAACTGATCGCTTACCTGATTGCTTGTTAAATCTAAGATTATCGTATTATGATTAAACAACAATGAACCTTATTAAAGCTGACGAATTTTTTAATTAGAAACCCTACTTTGTATCGTATTTGTTCTTTTACAATGGCACTTGAAATTCCAGTAAGCCACCTAAAACCACCAGAACTAATCAGATCATTGCCGGCTGTCATTTGGTAAAAATAAATATAAAAGGGTTTGAAGGTATCTATGTAAGTGAAATAATATCATCCAATATCATCCAGTCGCCAGCGAGAAGCAATTAAAGAAATTGCTAAAAAAAAAAAACCTGAAAAAAAAAAATGAAAAAAAAAACCTTGATAAAAGCGCTAGTAGCAACAGAGCTACGAAGCCAAATGTCGGGATCGAAGCAAACTTTAGGGGCTTCTTCATTCCTGTGAAATGATTTGTTGACCTCAATTTAATGAAACAAGTTATCTTTGACCTACGGATGGTAAACACATAATGATATGATCGCAGGTAAGGTGTAATTTAAGAAATTGCAGAAAAGCAGCCGGGAAAAAAAAGACTCAGGCTTCGACAGAATTCGAACCCAGTAGAGCCCAATTTAGGTATCTGGAGGGCCTACCGACTGATCTACGAAGCCAGACGTCGGGAGCAAAGGAATTTTTTCGTTTGTTATTCGTTCCTGTAAAGGAATCCGATTGCAATAAAATGATTTCATTCATGTAGTTAGCTCGACATTCGTATGTGCGTACATTAAAAAAACTTGACCTAATGTGCAGTTTCATTCAAGTAAAAATCGTAACTTTAAGCTGTTAGCCATGAAGGATTTTAAGATGCTTCTTTTGAGTCAGTCGTATCTTGAATGCTGCCAGACAGAGGTGGAGTTTTCTATACTAATGTCTGAGCACTTTGTAGGCTTCGCGCCGTCTGGCGGGACGCGCAATTAAGCACATAGTGGTAAAGGGCCCTTCCGCACTAGCTACCAGACGCTGACAAAACTTTTATCCCTTCACCGAAAATCACATCAAAATTTTGTGTGCTGCATATATCAGCACCCCCCGGGGAACCCCTATACATAAGAGGGCGAGGATGCCGGGGATTTCGAAAACGACCCCTATATATATAAGTCTTATCCGTGTGGGAGGGGCATCAACTGATGTCTACCCCTAAAAAGTAACAATTTAAACACAAAAAATTGAAAAATCCCAAAAATAAAAACTCCTTTATCGATGTGCTCTGAGGCTCAAGTCAGATGATTAAAGTAGTCCTAGTAATGCTTATTTCAGGTATTTTATTGAGCGGAAAACACCCTACAAGGTACCAGCTAGGTCTCTGGTAGTCCACTGAAGTTTGAGACACCGTAAAAGGTACCAGATCACTGATTTTGACCCCTGAAAGGTACGACAAGCATCCTCACCCATTTCCGATTGCCTGGGCTCTTGGCAAAAAGTAATACCCAAGCGTAATATAATAACCGAAACAGCTCATTGGTCTAATAAAATCATAAATAAAGAAGGTAAGAGTGTTGTGTTAGATTTTTTTTTACAAATTGTAGTGATTTATGCCAATAAACGGTGGCGACAAGCAGGCACACCATGTATATTTCATAGTCGCTAGCAAGTAAATTTTGCCGGACTTTGAGTTCGTCTCACGATAGAACAACACAAATACACAAGGAAATTTTACAGTAATTTTTTAACCATCCTTTTGTCTTTTAAAAGGTAGAAGCTCAGTAGATTCTGTCATATCGGTCATTGTTGAAACTGTTTTTGTTTTGATGCTACTTTTCGACATAGAAAAAGTACGTCAGACAAAAATATTCACCAAAAAGTAACTATTTCTTTGCCAGCTTCAATAATGACAGGGGATTAAGTTTAGATGATAAAACAAAGGATTATTTTGACGGAAATACCGGAGGTCAAATGAATTCGTTGCATGACGTCACACAACTCGGGTAATATTCACGGTGAAAATTTGCATATTTGAGCGGTCGAACGAAAAAAATATTTTCTCGAAAATTAAAATATATTTTCAAAAAAAAACTACACCACAATTAGGACATGTTGAGCTACAAAATACGAAAGTAGGAGTGAAAGCAAGTTTTGGGTGACTTGCCGCTCTTTGTCTGATGCATTTTGACATTAGCTGTTAAGTTGTGCTACAATAAGATTTCTTGTTATATTGGTCTGCATGAGGAATGGTTCCTAATAAATTAAAGTTCACACGGCAACCAGGTGGACAATCAGACATGGTTTAATGCTACTCTGGTTTACAGATTTAATGAATGTAACCCAAGAAAGAAATAACGTCTTCGGTTACATTCATTAAATCTGTAAACCAGAGTAGCATCAAACCATGTCTAATGGTTCCTAATTCTATTTTCTTCGGCCTATATGGAAATCTAAACATGTGCTGATTTATTGTCTGAAGTTATTTTTTAATCATTGGTGGTAGCGCAATTAATTTGGATGGATTTCTGGAACACAAAGTTTAAAATTGCACGTGCAGAGATATTTTTCAACTCATTCCGTCGCCGACGTGGTTTGCTCAAGGATTCTTCTCAGAAAGGTAAGAGAGGCTAGTGAATTTTAAATCAATCTTTCACTTTAGTGTTAGACTCGAGCCTGTGAACTCGGCCTTCGAGATCAGGCTCTGCGCCATACTATAGCAGGGTAGAGTTCAGCTCCTGTATTGCCTGATTGGTTATATATATATTGAGTATGAAGAGACCTAAGCTAAAAAGAATTTAATTTTCTCTATTCGCCTAACACTTTTAATTTGCCCCAGAGTTGACAGGAACTGACAATCAAACGAGAAGGATATCTGACACACTGCCGTATGTTGTTCATCCGTCGAGGGTCGATGTACTAACAAGGCTACACTCATATTTCAGAGCTGATGTATCTATACTCATTCTTGGCTTTTCATTTTGACTAATCTATGCTACAACGGATCGTTCAGTTTTTCGTGTACCACTCTTTACAATTCGTGAACGAGTGAAAGTAATCGAAAATGGGAGTACCCATCAGCCAGGGAGAAAGAAAGTTCAACGTAAATGCCACGTGGACCTTTTCATAATATGACATTAGTTTTCATTTTCCCACTCTATTAATTTGAATTTCAAATTTAGGGAACTTCTTTGTTTACAACTTGTTCGTCGATCAATTGGGGAATCAGAGATATCCATGTACCTCTTAGTAAAATTCATTTACACACTGATGTGGAAAAATTAAGGAAAGATTCTCTGGAAAAAAAATCAAAGTAAACATGGTTGATCTTCAATTATTTTTGGTGTGACTAGTTGCTCCTGATCACTTCCGTAGAAAAAAAAGCAATAAAAGAACTTGAATCATTTTCATGTTTTCAGGAGCCTATGTCAGGGTTTTATACACGGTCACTCAAATATATCACTTCATTTGTTGCGGACCTTCGATCTATCACAGGCGCTGAACACGATCATTGTAAGTTGAAAACACGATTCGAGATGTTTCGTAAATCGAACTTAAATTTCGTCTTAATTTGCCTCTTGCTTCAATCCACCGCCTCTGCGAGCGTCAAACCCAAAAATTTCAGTGGCGTTAAGTCCAATTTCAGTAACAGTCACGATTTACCAGAGACAGTGGACCAAACTTTTAACATCAACAACTGGGGGCTTGGAAAAATTGAACGAAAACTGCTATTGGACATCAAAGTCAAAGTTGATTCAATCTTCTCCAAATGCAAAGGTATGTTTGAACACCTTAACATAGGCGCGTCGACGGGTAAAATTATTTCCATGGCTCTAGGAAAATTCTTACGCAGCAGCTTCATGATATTTTTGTTGCAATTGTCCCACTTCTGTTTATTGTTATTTCAGCGACCATTTCAGAGTGTCCAAAAGGCTGGGTTTCGCGTGGAAAGTCATGTTACCTCGTGATCGACGTTCTAGTCTTGAAGTGGAGTGAGGCGCGAAGAACATGCCAGAATTTGGGAGGAGACCTTGCCATCATCAAATCTGCCATTGAAAATAAATTCATCTTTGACTTAGTGAAAAAGCAGAAGACAGTCACATCCTATGGCGTATGGCTTGGCCTCTACAGGAAGGCAGACAACAAGTTCTACTGGGTAGACGGCACTCCAGAGGCAGGGCAGTATTCTACCTGGGCAAAAGGGGAACCAAGCTCTTTTTCCGAAAAGTGTACGGTCATGTATGGAGCCACGAGCCTCCAGGGAACTTGGAATGACTTATCATGTAACCGATCGTACTCACGCAATAATCCAGTCATTCTTTGCCAGAAAAAGGCCAACTGAGGTAGCTGCCAATACCTTTGTCATTGTTTTTTATTAGTGCAGTCAATCGTTGCAAGATTCCATTAGAGATACAGATAACATGACGTATTGCCTGTTAAATCTTTGATCCTGTTGTTGAGAATAAACTTGGTGATGGGTGAAAGCTGACGTGTGTTTCAATCTTAAATTTCCTAGAGTATCTTTTCACTCATTTCAAATGGGATGGGGGAAGGGGACAGGAGAGAAGCACTCATTGAATCACATTCTTCTCTATCTTCCAAATTGAAAAAAATAATATAAACAAACAAAAACCTTAAATCCGCAGGTGAATCAAGAGTCCTTTCATGTTCACTGCAACCAGATCACCTCACTCGAAATATCCATCTAGAATTGACCCCGCTGTTTAATCTGTTTATATGATTCGAAAGTTAAAAAATCGAAAAGTTTCAAAATATGGCGTTTTTTTTATTACATTTCGAACCGCAAAGGAAAGTCCAGTAAGACGTGCCAAAAATTTCGCAAACTAAAACTCCTGCAATTTTGCACTGTTATATTTGTAGGAGCAAGCACCACCCCAGATATGTTTTAATACTAATCAGTCTAATATTTGTAATAATTGACAGAACTGGTTGAGATCGAACTTTGCAAATATCGATGCGTATGACTGTTAAGTCCTGCTTTGACTGTCACTGGTTTTTTGTTTAAATCATCCACTAGACTGGTATCTCTTATCACCTTGTAAGAATGAGTAAGGAAAGAAAATTATCGTGATAGGAATCGGACTCGATCAGTAACAAAGAAAACTATGTGTAGCCTCTAGTCACTCTGGAGCGCTGTCCACTAAACATCTTGGAACATTATAATTGTAGATATATGAAAATCATTTATTTTTTTTGAGAGGGCACGGTAACGAATCTAACAATCTGATTGGTTCTTTGCCCGGTCAGTATTTTCCTATCTCTGCCTACGGGCCACGGTAACACTTTCGTGAGTCGCCAAGTACATCCCAACTTTGGTTGCCATTTTCCATAAATATATCTCGTTTTTCCGGCTGGGCAGTATTTTTAAGCAAACACGTCGGTCACTACCTCAAGCCGATGATTATGAATCCTCTCTTTTCTCTCACTCAAATCACTTTGGTTGACATAACAATATTGGTTTCAGAATGAATTTGTATAATAGTTTCATTACGTGGGTTGACAAGCGGCCTAAAACCCGTCTGCAATTAATTTTAATCGTTCACAAAAAGTACCTAGAAAGTTAAAACGCGAGGTATTTGGTTACAATTAAACTGAACGATGGAACTTTCATTCATTTAATACCTGAATTTTCTCAATCAATTTGTTCGCAGTGAAAGAGCGAGCGAAGTTTTAATTTAAGTTCTACAACAAATATACGCTCTCGGTGAGTTTTTGCAAATCCGTTCAATTTGAACATTTGTACCGTAAATTGCACAACAGAAACTGAAGGAATTTTTGAGAAAAGGCCGCATTAAATCCCCTTGTGTCTCGTTGGAGTGTGCCATTCGAATTTAGTTTTTGTGAAGGAAAGACCAGATTTACACACGCCATTGCAGCAAACAAACGAGCAAACTTTCACAGCTTCAAAATAAAAAAATTGAATTTACTCACAATTACTTTCCTCGCCGTTTATTTAATGAACAGAGGTAAATCTTCGTACATGAATGAATCGTCGATGAGAGTGAATTATACTTTCCGGACTTCAGATCATTGACTGTTTTTGAAGAAAACATTGTCGTGACAGTCCTTGCCAAACTAGTTCCGTTGTTTTTCAAATGTTCTTACGCTTTTTTTTTTACTTACACGCTCTCTAATTGACAGGTGTCAGATAGTGACAGATACTTGTAAAAATAATGTTTCAAAGTTTGTTTGGAAGCCTTTTAAATTATCGTTACGGAAATGAAAATGTTTCGCCGAGGCATCTCTCTTGAATTTGCATCACCTCTATTTTAACTACCATTTACTCGCTCAAAAGCTGTTCAGTTTATGGAAGATCTTGCCATATTTACAGCCCTAAATCATTCGGGTTCTTTCAGAAAGAATTTCGTAAAGTTTCAAAAAAATAAATATGTTATTTACCGGCTAAGGGTCGGTCCGTATGGTGAAAAACTGTGACCTCGGTCTTGAAAATGCTGCCCTCGGCCCACGACCTCAGGCAGTATTTTCAAGACCTCGATCACAGTTTTTCACCATACGGACCTCCCAGCCGGCAAATAACATATATATATGTGCACTGCGGTGAAGAAACGCATATAAGAGATTCTCGCAGCCATGAACACTACTGAACTAGTATTTGAAATTAGACCTGAAAAAAATTCAGGGCCTGAATTCGTTTCTTCCCCGCAGTGCACATATATGATTTTCATCACTTGGATGGTTTATTTGGACCAAACATAATGACCTGCTCCCAGTTGGCTTGTTAGCTCAGTTGTCAGAGCGCTTCAAATCCCGTACGGGCCTGAATTTCTTTCAGGTCTCATTTCAGCTACTAATTTAGTAGTGTTCATAGTTGCGAGGATCTCATATCTTAAAACATCTTGAACATCTTCCTAATTTGTCTGTGGCTAATTTCATTTTTCGTTTTAAGACTTAAATGGTGGATAGATTTCCAAAGCTTATTGGTCAGTTTTGGTGTAGTTCTGTTGCGTAAAGAAACTCGGACTTACTGGCTGACTACATATCAAGTTTTAAGGGAAGCTGGTCTTGTGATGTTTACAACCAAAATAGCGTCGTAAAAATCATTCATCAAACTTGACTCACACTTCATCTCGTGGCTGAATAAGATATTTACTTAAAGGAAGTTTTATGCAGAACACACCTCCAACATCCAGGCGCGCTTAACCTGCGAGCAATCAGCTCAACGGCCCGAACGGTTTCGTCGGCGGTCGGGATAGTTCGATTTGACGATCAAAGCGAGCCGGGGAGAGGTCTGTGAGGGGACTTGTTAACAGGCTGGGCCAGCGGCTTGAGGATCCCTGCACTCAAATGTGTCAGTGCCCAGTCAAGCATTCAAGTACTCTTACCACTAAAAGGCACAAAATTTCCCGCCATGTTGAGTAGCGATTCAATAGAGAGTAGATAATTTGTGAATGACTTCTGAAGCATTAAAGTGAAGGTTTAAGGAAAAGGAATGATCAGTAGCATGGTATACCAAGATGCTACATCATTCTTTCCAAATTTGCCTCGTCATTCCAAAATCTGAAATTTTTCAGCGAAGCTCTATTAGAAGGGTCCCAATGGGATGATGGTTAACGACTAACTTTTGTAACGCTAAAATTTCTCAATTTTTTACGTCTGACGGAAATTTTTTTTTGCCAATTTTTGGCGAACTGTTAACTCCGTTGATACCTTCTATTCGATAGTCGAAATGATATTCACGGTTCAGTAGAGCTTTTATTTGCGGAAGAACACACTCGCACACAAAAATTATTGATATACTTAACGTATGACTGTGTCCTCTGTATTTCGATCAAGGTAACAAGCCTCGGTTTCGCTAGTTTTTACGTTGTTGAAAGCGGTCTTTCATTTGATGACATTACAAGATGAACACGCAAATCTCGCTCGTCATCCAACTATTATTTGGATCACTACTCATGACTGTATTTCAGTTTTGAAGGACTTTCATACCGCTTCTTCTATTGTAATGGGAATTTTTAGCAGTATTATGGGTTTGATCAGTCATCTGATGACCCTCAGTGACATGCACTCTTGAAGCTTGATAAATCTTCATTACTGCACAGGGCTGTTTTATTTTTTTTGAGAGAGAGGCAGCTGGACGAAATGAGTAAATGCCCAATATAGTGTTATATTCACGACACATTCTCGTGTAAGTAAGACGCAAAAGTTATTTAATTCACCACGTGGTGTAAGGGACAGCAAAAGTACCATCTATTCAGCCCCCACGTCACACCTCTCGACATAGGCATGATTCATTGGCTAAACTTAACTCCCCGATGTCAAACTCGTAACCACGGTTAACCTTTTCACTGTTATGCTATAGTTATTTTTAAATATTCGTATATCATTGTCATCTGAGCCAATAATAAAGATGAATGCAAGATCAGTTAGGAATCACATAGGAATTTGTAAAATCAAAATCACTCTGATCGTGCCTTTGGCGCGTTTTGTATAAATCGGTACATTTATTGCTGCGAAAAAGCGGGTAGATGTCAGAAAATCCCAACAGTAAGAAGAAGGAAAATATCTAACATAAAGTCTACTAGTTTTAGGAATAAAATTGAAATTACTACGTGGTATTTCACTTTTCGCTGTAGCGGAAACTGAATCATTTTCTTGTTCAAGTTCTAATTTGCTTTTGGTTTTTTTTTATCGTCGAGGTATATATATGTATGCGGATCATGTGCTTCTTATACGAACTCATAACAGTAGGTCAGTTCACTTGTTGAAGTCTTCGCATTACTTACTGTTGTTCGGACTGATATTGTCATCAAAATGTTTTGTAGTTGGGTCGTAGTTTTCATTTTTCAATTGGTGCGTTTTACTATTTCACGAGACGTCGAGCTTCAAAGTTCCACCGGTGCTACGTCCGAACTAATAAGTGACAAGCGTGACCCACCACGTTCTAAATTCGAAATGTTTGACTTCAAAAAATTTGGACCTGGTCCCCAAGTAGTGGAGGATACTTTTAATATCAAGAGCTGGGGGTTCGGAACGACTGAGCGAAAAATGCTGATGGACATCAAAACTAGAGTTGATTCTCTCTCTGCCCCATGTAAAGGTATGAGCACATTTTGAGTTGAATATATTTTTGGGCGATTAAAACTTTTATTATCATCGTTGTTCCAGGGGCCGCTTCAGAGTGTCCTAATGGTTGGGTTCCGTTCGTGGACTCATGTTACTTGGTCATCGACATCCCAACACTGAAATGGAGTGACGCTCGACGAACTTGTCAGAATTTGGGCGGAGATCTTGCCATCGTCAAAGCTTTCGTTGAGAACAAATTTATCTTTGAGTTGATGAAGAGGCAGAGGACAGTCACAT